GTAAACAACAAAAAAATGACAAAAAATGTTTATTTAGATCCACACTCGTTGTTAGTCCAAAGTACATTTTTTGCGGACGTCATAAAACATCATCGCTCATTTTTCGCTCATTGCAAAGTGAAATACGAGAGTAAATGCTCGTCTTTTATATATTTTTACCGTACACGTGATCGTCCGTCTAAGTATATAAAAAATGAAAAACGACCAAGACACATCGACCGATGTGATGGAAGAAGAAAACGAAGAAATCATAAGTTTCTTTAAATAACGTTTAAGTCGCTACAAGTTCATTCAGTTTCAAATTGTCAACGGGAACGTATCGTTCAATTAAAAACGTTTAACAAGAGAAGAGAAAAACCAAAAGTATTGATTGAAAAATAAATAAAAAATGTGTTTCTCAGTAAATAAAGAAGTTTCGAGTTATGATGAGTCAGATTCGGGGGCTCGTTTCTACAACAAGTTTCATTTAGATAAATTTAATGAGAATAATTGTGATAGTCAAGAGGTAGATGAAAAAGTTTACGTGTCAGATTTTTTGGCATTATCAACACAATATACGAGAAAATTCTGTCAATTCCTTCTTGCTGGTTCAAGAAGGTTGAAGACATCGTCATCTTACAAGTAAGTTGCATCATGCTATCGTGAAGTGAAGTCATCGACTGCCTATCCCGCTATAGTCACGTAGGCTTCAAATTTCTTTCATTAAATTTTTCTTTCAATTCTTTTCGTCAATTTATTTTGTTCACAGGATTCTTACAAGAACAGCACAGCCTGCTTACTTTATGACAATTGCGATGGTTCTTTTTATTTCTTCATGCATTTGGCCCAATTTAAATGAACAAGAAGAAGGAAAAAGTGGGAAGACAAGAAGCTTGTCAATGACTTTACTTTATTTGACATCAGTTGGAACACATTTTGGTGCTCAAATATGGATGACATTTGTATCGGGCTTGGCACTTTACTTCTCATTGCCTCGACATACATTTGGAATGTGCCAGGAAATTTTATTTCCAAAATATTTCTTATTGAACACAATTTTGAGCACAACGACGCTCATCTCTTACCCCAAAATCAGCACGAACCATAACGATCCTCAAGTGATGGTTCAAGTGATTAACTTGCTGATTTGCGTTCTAATCGAGATGACCATTTATCTTTTTTTGACGCCGCCTCTACTCGACCTCATGCGTGCAAAATACCAATTTGAAGAAAAGCTCGGAAATGGTCAGGAAATTGGCTATGAAAAAGAAGTTGTCGGAATCAAATGCCCCAAATATCAAACAATTCACAAAAGCTTTCGAAAAGCTCACATTAAATGTGCCATTGGGAATGTGATTGCAATTTGTTGTTCCTTTGTGCATATTTATTATTTGGCCTCAAAAATAACAATTCTTTGACGATAAATCATTGGGAAGACATCGTGGCTTGTGGAAATTATCAATTCAATATCGAAAGATGGAAACATTCTGTCAAAATCGAGTTTAGCATGAAATTTTAAATACATAATTAGATAGCTGAATTTATATTTAAATCTCAGTGTGACATGAACAATAAGACCAAAGAAATGTCATTGAATGAAGACTCATAAATGAAACCGAACTCTAATTAATGTTAAGATAACATTCAAGCTCTCATTAAAAGGAAATCAGTATAAGACATCAAACTACTTTTAGTCTTCGACAATTAAAGGAAATCAAGAACGAGAAGAAATGTCTGAATGTTGGTTTTCCAAGAAAGAACAATTAAGTAATCATAAGTTAGTCTAACTTTTAAGAAAACTCACAAGGCGTGTAGAGAATTAATAATTCAACAAGATGTATAAATAATGTCCACAATCGCACAGGTTCTTAAAAATGAATAAAAGAAAATTATCGTGAGAACTTTTGATGATTTGTTTTAATGACATGAAGAACGAAAGAGTGGAAATGATTTGCTTCATGTTTTATGTATTTAATTATTCATTCGCTACTTAGTCTGCTTTAGAGAAACGAAGAACACAATGAAATTTGCCAGAAACTTTTTTCTTTTATGACTCTATTGAGCATAACGTTGAACTTGGCTTAGTTCTTCTTCACCCTTCCGGTAATATTTATCTTTCAACTTCCATTTATGCGCAACAAAATCAATATCAAAGTAACACATTTCCTTCTTTTTCTACATATTGCGTTCATCCTTCGATGTCGCTATACATTTTTCAAAGGTTTTCTTTCTTAATGTCATTTTTTATTGCTTCTCATAACGAATGCTGAGCCATGAACTTGAGATAAATAAACCATTTCGAATGGGAATGTCATGCAAGATAAGGTTTAAAAGATTTACTCACCTCTTCGATTTCTTTGTCAAATTTCACAGGTCTTAACTTGCAGATAAGTATGACCATGTGAATGAGGTTTGCAAGAATAAATATTGCTGACCATAAGAGTACATCAGGTCGACATTCTGTGAGATAAGACCACATGGCGAATAAAATACAGCCGAAGACAAGCATGCATCGCATATAGAGAGCGGCGCCTAATCGATGGCTTGGAGCAAGAAATGCCAGAAGAAAGAAAGCACAGCCGATATGATAATAAAGCGGTTGGAGTGAATATGTTGAGTGACATTGACCAGCAATCAGTGACCCCAATTTCTGAGACACAAAAGTCCATACAAGGTCAGGTGCTTCATTTCCATTATTCACAACACCGCCGCTCTCATCTGCATCAATATTTGTTGAAATTTTTAAAGTTTCTTCAAGAAAAGTTTGATTTGTAGGAACATCGTCAGTGCTTCCTGTTTCCACTAATCCAAGAGCCATTAATAACATGATTTTACAATTTTTTCTATTTTCTTTAACTCTTTGTATGACACTTAAATTTTGTGCTCCGTTTTACTTGTAACGGCCACCAATTAACACAATTATATTGTCCTAACTTGATTTGTTAAATTGGTTCTCCATTATTTTTTATTTTTACGTTTTCGGCGTTCAAATTAATTGCACAATTTAGTTATAAAGCTTTTCGCTAATTTAAAGCGAAGCTTCAGAGTTACCTCATACTTCCAACGTTCACAGAAACCAATAAGCACACGAACAACGATTTCTTTTTGTATCTACTTTATTTAATATGACTTTTTTAAACGATGAGTGGGTGAATTTTTTAATACTGCACAACAGAATGTTTTATGAATCCCTTACATGGACTGACAATGTACGAGTGTGTGAGCGCTTATTAACATCCATATGATTCTAAATATATTCAAAACGGACATACAGAGAGTAGGTTTATGACTCAAAACTTGATTCTTGATTTCCGATTACTGTAAATAACAATTTTTGTTCTTCGCTTTACTTTAGAAACATGCAAACAAACGATAAGGGCTTCTGTGGTTGTGCCCGTATGTTGTTTGGTTTTCTAAGCAACTTTACAATTTGAAAAATATTTACTTTGAAGTTAATTTATCTGGCAAGATTGTTCAAGAAATACTGGGTGGAAAAACTATTATTTTGTTGTTGTTATTCAACTTCTCTTTTGTGTTTAATATTATTTGATTTTTCACTGTTCATTCGTTAGGAATTCACTCAACTTTCATCAATTTTTGCTTTACATGAACTAAATTTAACTGATGAGGCATAAAACGATATTAAACATTGAAGGAACTTTAGAAAATAAAAAATAAAACTTTTGGATAAGATTGTACGATTCATCCAAACTCGCGACGCTCCTGTCGACTATCGAAATGGGAATTTCCAAACATTCCACTTTCGTTTTGAGTTATCGAGTGATGAAAAATGTTATTTTATGATTCTAAAAATTTTCTCTATTTATGAATGAAACTTTCGTAAAAATGAATTAAATTGTGCTGTTCAATAGCTTTGATGTTGAGTTTAATTGATGATATTGCTGTTTATTCAATGAACATTTTATATTTCCATCTTAAAAGTAATGATAAGAAAACTTGAAGTTGATGGCAGAACATCTCGGATTGTCATCGCATGCTTTCCAAAACTTCGCATTTCGAAAAACATTCTTCGCATGTAATTTCGCATTGTCGATCATTTTCGTCTCGTTTGTTTCATATTTTTCTTTCAATCATTCGTCAGTTAGAATTCAACGCGTAAACACTACCTAGTAATCCGCGGAAATTTGAATAGTTACTTCAATATTCATACAGAATAATTCATTCGTGAAACAACTACCGACTTGAACGGACATAAAAAAGAAAGCGCTGGGAAAATGATCTGGATTAAACCAAAGTGCTGATAATAAAACTGCAATTAGTCGTTAGCTATAAAGTATTCAGTGCGCACAGGAATTAAAAATAGAATTAATATTAAGGAAGAATATAAGAGAAGAAAATGTGGCGCAAAATAATTTGTCGCAATAAATCCAGCAATAGCAAAAGCAAATCTCATGTGATATTAATTTTAATTTTGATAGTTTGTTTTGAAAAGCCGATAAATTGTTTAACATCGTTGAATAATAATGGATTATTACCTGCTAATAATTTCATTGAAAAATGTGAACAACGATGTAAACATCAGGTAAGATTAATAGTTTCGGAGGTCAATTTTAATTAGTTTATTTCGTACATAGTTCAAACGAAATCAAAACTTTAATTAAAATTAAATCCCTCATTTATCAATTACTTGGTCGTGACATGCAACAGAAAATGTCGCGATTCGTTAACGAATTCTCTCGCAGTTAATTAAGTGGTTTGCTTTAGAAAACATAGATGCTACATAGTCGCAAATTGAAGTCATACGCAACAAAATAATTCAATAGAACGAAAAAGAGACTGAAAAAAAAGATAATTTGATTATGAAATGAATAAAAAAAAACATCACAACGACTGTTGGACATGTGTAGAGCTAAAAGTGATCTGTATTGGGAATTAGTCCCTAAAAATATGTTTTTATTTAATAACATATGAATGAGTGAATTAAAACAAAAATCATCTCAAGAAAAATTGTTGTTTATTAAAAGTCAGATCGTCTTCTGAGAAAACACGACATTCCATCTTCGTTCGTATTAAAAATCATTAGAAAAGTTTGATATGATTTAAGGTCCAACATTTTCATGAACTCTCAAGTGATAAGTGGCTTAGGAAACTATTGATTTCAAAGAGAATTAAGTTTTATAATCGAACTTTGAAGTGACATGAAACATCAACACAACAAGCAGTGTATCAATTTTCGTGCGTTTGATAACCTTTTTGTTTGAAAAAATCTTTCTTAATTCTTTTAAAAATAACATTTTTGATAAGCGAAGAGTTATTGTGCTTTTTTTAATTATCACGCATCATGTCTGGCGTCTCACGAATAAAAAAATCAATTAAACGCTTTATAAAAAAGTTTGTTTTGAATTTCGAAGCAATTTCGACATTAAAATTTGAATAATTGCTTTGAATTCCTTTGATAGTAGCCAAGATATTAGTTGCTACTAAACAGGTCATCATGTGTTAATAGATGTTATAGCAATAAATAAAAATTGCGAAGCTGATTTGTTATCATATTTACAATGTAAATTGAGAGATTAAACATGAAACTTTCCTTGTTTTTGGAGTTGTTAAATCTTCCGAATTAAAAGATTTGCAACGACAAAAATGTTGATTAGATTTTCAAATGATTTGAGTCTTAATACGCCTCTCGCACAAGACATTTCTCAGTGTCCAACAAGTTTCGTTTCACAGTGTGAACATTTCAGAACAGCAATAATGCAAATCATAGAATAATTTTTGCTTCCTTCCTATCATCAATTTTCGCCAACTTGATTGAAGCTATGTGCCAGTTTTCAGTCCAATTTAACGTGAATCTCTCTCATAATCCGCATCGGTTGATGTCTGTTTTGTGCTGTTTTTTGTGATATTTGTTACGCAAACTAACAACGGAATTCTTTGACTTTGCTTCTGTTCTGCAATGATTGAAATTATTAATCGAAGTTGTGGGAAGAGAAATGAATAAGTGCATGTCTCTCAAACAGATATGAAATTTGAGATAACAAAAGAAATCTGCAAGTTTTAAAATTAATGCGATTGTTCAAAATAAGAACAAATTCCATCTCAATTGAATTGCATTCAGTCAATCCGTCAAATGTATGTAAATCATTCATGATGTGTTTTGTATGTACTTGTAGCTTCAACTGCTTCTATTCAACAATATTAAAATCATTTCCCACTGTAATTCCACTAATATTGTTTAACAAGATTCGTTCTTCCAACAGAGTCAATTGTCCGAAAAAAAATTGACGTAATTTTAATCGTAGTTGGTGGAAATGAATGGAAATTAGTTTGCAAATGATGTTTGGAGCTACTTTCATGATTATCTCAGTCATTAAATTGTTTAATTGCTGCTTAAAATTTTCCCATGGCCATTTCCTTTCTGAAGAACATCCATCACTGCTGTACAATCCAATCACATATCACATTGATGATCACATTGGTATGAATGTTTGCGTGATTTCACGCAGCACACAAATTGTTGTATCATTGTCGAAGCCCATCTCGCGCTGTTGCTTTAAACGTATTAAACGTTGCCATAAATTAAGTGGAGAAGGTCAAAAATAATTTTTTGCGCAACTGTTCTATGATAAAAAATAACACAAAACACAATTTTCGTCTGTAATATTTACGAAAAGATATTTGAAAACAATGCGCATCTTTCAAACAAAAAGACGTCAACGAGAGGGAAAATTTTTCGTGCACAAATTTTCTTTTGAAACGCAAGAGTGTCATATGAGACAGAAAAAGATTTTCCTTGTTTTTATATTAATGGCAAATGATAAAAATTGTCGGAGAATATCTTAAATATTTCACATCGTTCAATGAGACACTTAATTGTTTTTTTTAGACATGCAATTACTTGATGAACTGTGAGAAATACATTTTTTCTCACAAACTTCCTTTCCTTTCGAATAAGTTTTGCGAGAATGACAAGAACTCTTTTTTTCCTGCTCAATTCTTCTGCGATATCTTGATGCACTTTAATTACAAACGGATATAAACGTGATCGCTTTTTTCTCGAAGCGATGAGAATCATTGCGTGTCGTGACGCTTAATGTCGTTCATTCAGTATTTACAATTCCACATTATTTATGTTATGTCGTAAAACAACCTGTGGAATGACCTGAACAGCATTTTCCTTGTAGTTGTTACAATTTTGATTTCATACCGACAAATTTATTTCCGGTTTTTAAACTCTCACACTTTTGTAAACGATCAGCGATTAAAGTTTAAGAATTCTTCTTTATTTTGCGTGTCTTGTTAATTATCGTCCGAGACAATTCATAAATGAAAATATTCCAAAAAAAGATTTCGGAAAAATCATTCAACAGAATGCAGAGGAACAAAATAAAAAATAATAAATCAATTTAGTGCCGTTGCTGACCCTTCAGAAGCTCCAAAAATAAGCCATTATTTCATATCTGTGTTTAAGTAAATCTTCCGGTCTGATGCGGTGAAATGAGAATTAATTGACTGCTAAATAATAAAAAAAACGAAGTGTTGTTTGATGTGTGTGCGTGATGCTCGAGTTGCATTTATGATGATACATAAATCTCAATGAATGACTCGACTTCTTTCAGGCCGATGAAACCAACATGAAAAAAATTGTAAAGAACCATTGTCCATGACAATTATTATGGAAACAAACGTCACAAAGAAAGATGTGATTATTCCGCTTTTATTCTCCATGTTGTTGAATCTCTTCTGCTTTCGCAAATCAGACATTTTTATGGATGGAAACAAAAATATTATTAATCCCAAAAACGACACAAAACAACTCCCATGGGAAACAATTGAAAATTAAATCCAGATTTTTATTCTTCTATTTTTAGAATCGCACTCATTCCGATTTGTTTAGTGATGAGGATGAAACTCTTTGTAAGAAGGAATGTCGAATTGTACAGGTGAGTGATATGAAATGTTAGCTTGGGATTAATTAATGGGATTTACTAAAACTTTATTATCATAAGTCGGGGGAGTTTCAAATTGACATTTTATTGTTCGTGAACTTGAGCTGTGTAAATCATTAAATGGCATAACAAAACTCAACTTATAAAAAACTCAAGGATGATGCAATTTATAATATTCCCTCCAAAATATGACAACATAATCGGATCCTCCGTTATGTCAAGTGCTTTTGTCGGTATATCACGCAGTAGGGATCTTATTTATCAATTAAATTTAATATACTGCTGATGCTGCCTTTCGGCAATGGCTAACAATATGATAGAAAGCGTAAAACAAATGCAACAGAATAAATATTAACCATCAATTTCCTTATTATTCTGCATTAGTCACATTTCTTTTCATTATTTATTGTATTTCTCATCGTTAATCATAAAAAACATAAAAACATGTTGTTTATGTGTATCAGAAAACAATGGGACTTGTTACATTTAATATTCATGCAAATTATTCATATTCTTGATCGTTTATTTGATATTTTTATGCCACAACAAGTGAGATGCATTTATCAGATGAATGGAAAGTAAGTTATCATCAACATCGAGGGAAATTTAATGTCTCACTCAGTTGCTTGTTTTCGAATTGAACAATTGCGCTTGAAATGAATCTTCATGATGCAAAATAATCTTCAATGTCACATAATAATCAAAAAGAAAAAATTGAACGTTCACACAATTTAATTAATTCACAAAAAAGGTCGTCACGAGAATTGAGTGTTAATTAAAATCGCTCTTTAATCGTTTAGCAACTTTTTTGCTTTTTACTTTTTTACTCCACTTATCTATCTTCAGTTGTTTATTTTCGCGCAATTTTTTTTAATATTTTGCTAGAGTCCGAAGATTGAAATGCGAAAGAATAACAACAACAAATGGAAAATTGCAATGAAAGAAAATTGAATGACAATGAAGAAATATTAAGTTCGTGAATCGCGGACGATTACAAACACAGTTGAACGGGGCGAAACTAAGGATGTAGCCAATTCAAATGAATTAAAAATAATTAACGAGAAAAATTACAATTTCTCACTCACACCAAGTGAACATTGAATAAATAGAAGAAGAAATGTTGCTTGATGACGCTCGATTACTTATCGCGATGATCCTGAAATAAGAACAATCTTGTTGTGATTTATTGTTGACTTAAAATGTACGAAACATTTATAAACAACACTTTGAGTCATCTGCTTAAAATTCTTCGAAGTGTGTTCTGCGCCCAATCAATTTTTTATTCATATTTTCTCTCCTTCTTCATCTCAACGTATTCAAACATTTATTAAGAATTTTGAGAATACAAAAAATAAAATGAGAAGAATCTTAGCATCAAATGCCGTCACGTGTTTAGCCTTAATGATAAAGAATCTCACAAGTTAAGCATATGCGATTTGGAAATATTTATTTTTTTTGTACTTCCACTGGACCTCATTTCATTAATGTGAGAAAATTTGTGTTTGTAAAGACTTCACAATAAGAAAAATCCCCAAACATGTGTTTAAAAATATTTCAAGTGAAGTAATTATTGCGCCCAATTTAGTTAAGCTGATTGACGACTACTTTGATGGATGATTCGGGATGTTATTGTCATTGGACAGTGACAGTGCTAGTGCTTGCTTCATTATTAAATTCGGGGTGATGAAATCAGGAAGAGAATTCAAATTTTATTTATGTATGTTCCGAGTCATTACGACAAGTGGCCAATTAAAGAAACTTCGATGATGTTAATACTTATTAAACGAAGTTTAAAGTATGAAACGTGAAAAGATTGATAACGGAAAGCGTGGGTGGAAAATGTTTCTTTTATTTCTCTTAATCCCGCAAATAGCTTTTTAAAGATATCTCAATGTGGAGATTATTCATTGTCTCTACTTAAAGTCAGACGATTATTTTTGCTCTTCTTTTCTTATGCAGTGCAGCATTGGATGTACACTTTGGGAGAGTGCTTTGGACGCATCATGCCAGAAAGTTTGTGTTAGTAGACAAATTTAACTTCTCCATCTTCATTTTTAAAAAATATTTCAATGAAACTTTTTTCAGAATAAAACAGAAATAAACGATTTTGATAATCGGCAAATATTTTGTGTGAAAGGCTGCAATGATGCTTCAAACTTTTATTTTCAATGGATAAAACAAGAAGTGTCATCACCAGCAGCTCCTGCTTTAGTTCCCGATTCACTTACATCGACGACACTTTCACTGGAATGGTTTGTGCCGTCAAAATTTCTTGAACTTGCTAAAGGAAATTTATTTAAAAAGACAAAGAACGAAACTTACTTTGTGCAATGTTATGAAGATGCTGAAGATGATTGGAAAATATGTGGAAATCAAACAATTTACGAGAATTCAACGATTCATATGGAACGTTTACAGCCTTACACAAAGTACAAAGTGAGAGATAATCTGAAGAATCTTTTTATAATATAAAAAACTTGAAGTTATTTATAATTTTCTTTTGTCTTTAATAGTTTCGTGTAGCTTTATTGTTGTCTGAGAACGAAGCAATTTATTCGGAAGCAAGTGTTGTAATCAGCACAAGTGAAGAAGGAGTTCCAGAATCATCACCGGTGGTTGAACAAATTGGAGCAGTTGATCAGACACGCATCATGGTGTCATGGAAATCTGGTTTGAAGAACAATGGACCGATTCTCTCTTACAATCTTCAGATTCGTGATTTAACTCAATCGGGTTATAATGCTGTGAAGGTGCAATGAATCTTCTATCTAAACACAACTTCTTCTTACCTCTTACTTCTCATCTAAAGAATTTCAATTCATTTTTCAATTAAAACTTTGCATGCCTAAGTTCATGACTTGCATGGGAATAACACAATGAAATGATTTATGTTGCATGCTGCACTCACTTACTTGATGATCTCAATTGTCATTGATGATCAAACACTTCATTTGATGTTATTTTTAACTAATGAAAATAAATAAATTTTTATTCAGGAAGTTCCGGCGTCGAATCAAACGAATTATTACATTTTCGAGAAGCTTTCACCAAGTCGGAATTATTCGATTCAAATAAGAACGCGTAATGCGAGAGGTGTCGGTCCACATATTGAAGTGAATGCATCAACTGCGCCTTATTTAAGTAATAAGTTAATTAAACTTTAATTAAATGATTTAAATTGACAGTCAAATAAACATTCACAGAAAACGACCCTAACAACTTCCTCGATCCGAAAATCATTTTGGCTTCTGAGAATACAATTTTATCACAAGGTCCCGATTTTCTGCTGGCACAGCCGATCACATTCTACATGACATCATCGAAAATTACTGGCATCGCTCTTGATGTTCGCAAGAAGTTAATATTCATAGCTGAAGATGACGGTTGCATATATCAATCTTCATTAGACTTAACTGACAGAAGCGATAAGGTTGAAGTGATTTGCCAGAAGAATGGTCTCAACTTTAAACCGCTGTTGCTGTCAGTCGACTGGTTAAACGATCATCTTTACATCATGGGTGAAAGTGCACATCACGAGAGTTGGACAATCTCTCGATGCGATTTTGATGGGAAGAAGTTGATTGTAGCTGTTGGTGGGTTGAATGGCAAACCAATTCACATCGAAGTCGATCCATACAATGGTTATTTGTTCTGGGTGATTCCTGATGGAACTGTTGACAGCGGACTTTATCGACTTGATCTTGGCGAGATATCAAATGGAATAAAACATGAAACGAAACCTTTTCAAATGATTAAAGGAAGAAATCTCGGCGCTTTCATCGTTCATCACACAAGATTTCGATTACTTGTACCGATGCAAGATGAAAACACGATTATGTCAGTGTCATTGAATGGAAATGATCAGGAAGATATTAGAAAGAATACTCAAAGTCCTTTACTTCATTCAGTGAAGTCACTTGCAATGGCGAATAATTTGTTCTTTTGGACCAATGGAAAGGAAATTTTAACTGAAGAATATCATCAGAAGCATCACGCTTACTATCATAACTCATATCCTGATGCATCAAACACTTCCTTAGTTGCAGTTTGTGTCAATTCATCGTCATCCCAACCTATTCCAGTTCCTGTCAACCCACCGCATAATTGTCAAGCTTTACTTGGATCAACAAAAGCAAAAGTTTCATGGCAAATTCCGCAATTGGTTGGCGATCAAGGCAAAGGTGCATTTAAGAATTGGTTTTATCGACTCGAAGTTACTGGAAATGATACTCAAACATTTGAAAACATCACTGGAAATTCTTATGTTGTTCAGAATTTAACACCAAACACTTTGTACACATTTAAAGTCGCGGCTTACACATCTGGCGGATCTGGTCAATGGTCGCAAGAATTTAAATCGAAAACATTGAAAACATCTGATGAAAGATATTTAATTTGGGCTTCAAATGATGGACTTTTACAGTCAGATGTGACTGGTGAAAATATCATCACGTTGCTTCCTAAAGATGAACTTGGAGATCTGCTTGTGACTGACATAACGTGGTTTGAGAACATTCTTTACATCGTCACAAACACAACATTAAAGATTTACAATCGAACAAATGGCGATCTTTATAAACTTGGGGAGTTGGATTCTGTTGGTGGTGTTGCTGTTGATTGGATTGGTCGAAGACTTTACTGGTCTAATCCAACACAACAACTAATTAATCGTGGAAGATTGGATGGGGAACAACAAGAACCACTTTCAATTGTTGCTTCCGCTCGTGAGATAAAAATTGATGCTTTGCGTGGTAATATTTATTATTCAACTGGCTTGACTGTTGAGAGTTGTCGACTTAACGGGAAAATTCCCAAGAAATATTTTACTGTGCCACCGTACAGTGGGAAGCAAGTTATGGGCTTGACTTTGGATCTTGATGATCAAAAGATTTATTGGATTGTAAGAAGCTATCAAGGATCAAGTCTTTATTCAGCAAAGCTTTTAGACATGTGGATTAATGAAAGTGAACCGGAAATCGTTGAAACGAAACTTGATGAGAGAAGCTTAAATGGGCCGTTGACACATTTCAGTGATCGTCTTGTATGGCGACAAGATGACAAGACAATTGTTTTTGGTGACATGGATGGAAGGAATTTAGCTTATTTTAAGAATGACAAGCTTACGGGATTAACATGCATCATGGTCATTGATAAAACTCATCACACATATCCAGAAATTAGTGGAAATATTAACGTCATTCCCGAAGCAATTCCAAACTCATCAATTAAAATTATCGGAACTTATAAATTCTTCAACATCACGTGGAATCGAATAATGAATGTAAACTTTGGTAATGTTTATTACGAGATTAAAATTAAATCGTCAAAGATTGCTGATATCAACGCTGAACAGACGGAGAATGTTTTTCAATTTCCAGCGAATACTCTTGAACCTTACACGTCGCTTGATATTTTTATTCGTGCTTTTACATTTTGGGGATCATCGCCGATATCGAAAGTGACGCTTCATTCGCCACCAGGTCCACCATCAGAGCCGACAAATCCGAGAGTGTACACGAAACATTTGAGTTATCCTTTGAAAGATCGAATCAGCATCAGCGCAATTTTCCGATGGTCATTACCAGCTCAACCGAATGGGAAGATTCTCGGCTACAAAGTTCGATGTTATGAGTTTCGAAGCGATGGCGAACGACTTTTACGCGAGAACAAAACTGTGATTCATATGGAACAAGTCTTTGAAAATCTTAGAATTGATGATCGTTACACTTTTGAAGTTCTTGCTTACACTTCAGTTGGTGAGGGAAACATCTCGGAACCAGTTTATGTAGAGACAACACATGAACGTCCAATACCGAAAGTTCTTGTTTCAACACAGGAAGAAATTCTTGAAGTTGATTTAGATCGTCAACAATCGCAGATGCTTCAAAGTACAAGAAATCCCGTCGTCGCCCTTACTCACATTGCACATGAACAAAAGCTTTTTTGGTTCGATGAAAATAATGATCTCGTTTCTTATCACATTGAGAGTCGAATGAAAACAAAGCTGATAACAACAACGTCGGCTGTGAAGTGTATGACGATTGATTGGATTGAAAGAATTGTTTACTGGTCACAGATTGACGACAACAAAGGCGTGATTTATTCTTTGAATTTGAATCGTGCTGAAAACATGAACGCAAAAGCTGTTCATTTAACACAAAAAGTTCTCGAGAGACAAAATGTCATTTCAGATTTAGTGATTTCGCCTTTTGATCGGAAACTTTTCTGGATTGAGAATCATAAGAATCTTTCGGAAGAGTCGGGAATTTATTATTACAATCTTGATAAACGACAAACAAAAATGCTGTTTCAAGAAGCTGAAGAATGTATGAACAAAACTAGCACAACAATCTCGCCAATTCCTGAAACTCTTCTCTTTGCAACATCGCCGATTAATCCATCGAATGGTGACAGTGTTAAACATCAATCAATCTTGATTTTCGAGATGAGAAATCAATTTAGTCAACAATTTGTGGCGACTGATTTAGAGACGAAGGAATGTTTTGATTTTGGTACAATTGTGCCAGCTGAAGGAACAAATTTAGCTAAAGATAGCAACAAAGTTTACTGGATTCATGGCGGAATGGTTTATGCCAGAGAAGATGCGACAAGTAAAGTTATTTCACTTCCAGTCACTCAGAAGACCAACAAACTTCTTGCATTCTATCAACAAAGATATCCAAAGAAGCATTGCTTGATACCAAGACGATCAAACTACGTAATTAAAGTCGTTGAATCCACTGACATTTCACTTGTGCTTGAATTACCAAAGCCGACACTTCTTTCTGATTGCACATTGAAAAGAATTCCAATTAAATATACAATTCAATATACTGACGTTAAACGTCTTGGATCTGATCGAATTAATTGCACAAGTAATGAAGATTGTCACTCAATTAATACATTTAAACAATTTGAAACAATTCAGAATCTTAAGCCATTCACCAATTACTTTATTCAAGTTGCAATGTCGAGTGTCTTTGACAAGTCGAATGATGTTCGATTTATTGCTAGTGACAATTTTATGACTGAACCTGGTCGTCCATCACCGCCAAGGAATCTTTCAGCACTTCCATTGAGCTTCAATGAGATTCTCGTGAGCTGGCTGGCACCAGAAACTTTCAATAGTCCCGAGATTACATACGAGATTCATTGGCAACAAGAGAATATGGTTGAACACATTAGAAATAAACAACAACGAACACTGCCGCCACTTCAAGATAAAAACAAAAGTCGATTGACAGACGAATTGATAAGCACGATCATTAAAGTTCTTCCTAATCAATCGTATTCGATACTCGTTCGTGCTTATTCAAAGAACCAGACGTACAGTGAGAGTGAAAGTATCATCGTTGTTTCATATCCCGAACCGAAAATCGTTCAAATGAATTCAACAACACCAACAAGCATGATTATCGCTTGGAATCCACCGGAAAATGTTTCATCATTTGCCATACAATACACGAAGCAAGACTCAAATGAAATGTTTAATGTCACAAACTTTCTCGATAACAAATTCAATAACAAATTTTATCTGGTCGACAATCTCGAACCAAAGACAAAATACATTTTTTCACTTTCATTAACTTACATTAACACCAACCGGTCGTATCGATGGGCACCGACAGAGAAAATAGAATTTGAAACGCTTGGTGATGTGCCGAGTTCACCGGGAAAGCCAATTATAGAACACGTGACGGAAACAGTTTATAAAGTGACTTGGAATGCATCGAAAGACAATGGAGCGATGATTATTGAGTATGTGTTGGAGTCGAAAAGAATCTTCAACTTTGCAGAGTTTGAGAAAGAGAAAGAAATGCGATATAAGCGGTCATTTAGTGATACAAATGATGTCGGACAAGATCATAATGAGGTTGAGATTGATGAGGGTCAAACAGAAATTCCAAATGAAGTTGAAGAGAAACCGGAAGAGAAGTGGACAGAACAATATCGCGGAGTTGAATCGCATTGGATTGTCACTGACTTGAATCCAATCGACCAGTACATTTTCCGCGTGAGAGCTTCCAACAGTTACGGTGATGGACCTTACAGTGTAATTAGTGACTTCCTGAATGCAACAAATTTTAAGAACTCAGATTTGACGAGTGCTGTGAATTATGAAAAATCGAACGTTTGGCTTCTGATGATTTCCCTGCCAATCTCAATTATCTTACTCGGCTTGTTTCTTGTTTGTTCTATCTTAAGTGAGTAAATTTTATTCATAAATTTAATTAAATTTTTAATCTTTTCTTAAACAAACACCCAAAAAGTCATTTATCGAAATCGACGGAATAAAAAATTCCACGACGACATCGCACCAATTCCTGACTTTGAGCTTGCAACATTACGCGACTTGCATTCAGGTGAACATTTGATTTTGAGCAACCGAAACATTCTCTACAATCCGTTCAATGGATCATCATTTATCAACACAGAAATCAAACATTTGCCGAACATTCATTTGAGTCAAATTATCATCACTGATCGATGTTTGGGGAAAGGCGCGTTTGGTGAAGTTTGGTGTGGAATCATAAAGAATGAAGATGGAACTGAAGAATGTGTTGCAATCAAGGTGAGTTGAAGAACTTCATTGAGATTAGTTGATCATTGAGTTTCTTTCAGACACTTCACAAAGGCGCCAATGACAACGAGAAACGAGAATTCCTTCAAGAAGCCCATCTCATGAGTAATTTCAAACACGATCACATTATGCGTTTGATCGGTATCTGCTTAAATAAAAACGAGAGTTTGCTTTATATTGTCATGGAGCTTATGGAAGGTGGTGATTTGCTAAGCTTTTTACGAAATAATCGCCCAACAGCAAATCAACCATCAAGCTTAAAGCTTCTAGATTTAGTGTCGATGTGTGTTGATGTTGCTTCTGGTTGTCGCTATTTAGAAGAAATGCATTTTGTTCATCGTGATATTGCAGCAAGAAATTGTTTAGTGAAAAATCTCGTACCGAATGAGATCAACAAGCGTGGGCGTGTTGTTAAGATTGGTGACTTTGGATTAGCAAGAGATATTTATAAAAATGATTATTATCGTAAGGAAGGTGAAGGACTCTTACCAGTCAGATGGATGAGTCCGGAATCTTTGATCGATGGTGTCTTTACATCGCAGTCTGATATTTGGGCGTTTGGGTAAGAAATTTAACAAAAGTTTGTGTGTTGTTAACTTAAATTTTTTTCTCTTAAAAATCTTAAATTTTCTTTCATTTACATTTTGATACAAAAATTTAATTTTGATCTTAAACAGCGTGTTGATGTGGGAAGTGATAACACTTGGCCAACAACCATATCAAGGACAAACAAATGTTGAAGTTCTTCAGCATGTTAGAGCTGGTGGACGTTTGCCTCGACCTCATCAGAATTGTACAGATGAACTGTAAGAAAGAATTTCTTTAATTCAATTCGTTTAATAATTTCCAATTTCTTTCATTGAAGTTATCAACTGATGTCGAAATGTTGGAATCGTGTCGATCAAAGGCCAACATTCAGATACTGTCTTGAAGTTCTCCAGCAATTGTATGAAAGAAAAAATCTCTACGCTTCAATCGAAGCTCAATTTCCTCATGATGTTCCTTACAAATATGTTTCCAGTGACGATTCATCGATTCTTAATGAGAAGATGAATGGAAATTTAAATGAAACTTCAATGGAACCATCAAACATAAGTCAGGGAACGCCATCGATACCAAAGTATATTGAATTGACATACGATGAGAATCACAGTCGAAGCATTGAAAATATGTGCGAAGCACCATTAAATTATTGTGAAAAACATCAGAAAGATGATGACATTAATATTTCTCATAGAAATAGTCAGAAATTATTAAATAATCAAGATTTTGGCTATGAAACTCCAATCACGTTGGATCCAACATTAGACATAAATGCCAATAACGAGCTAAACAATAGTCTTTCTAAGTCAAGAACCTTATCAAACTCATCAACACTGAGCAATAAAAGTGAACACTTTCCAATTCTTCCTGAAACATTTCCCGAGACATGCAAGAGAACATCGCTGATATTAGATAAAGATCCGAGAATTTATCCAGCAAAAAAGATCATCACACGTCCTTCGGGATGGGTTTGAAGCTTTAATTTCTGAACTGACTGAATATTTGCTGTCTCATTGACGCTCTCAGCTTGATTAAAAGACAATTAATAAAAAAAAAGTACAAAGAAGAATTGAAATGGAAGGTTTAACTTGAAATCTCGTCTGTCTCAGTAAAGGTTGTAAATAAATGAATATAAATAAATAAATTTAAAAAGGTCGCACAATTTTCTCTTTTTTCTTTTCTACGTAAAACTTCTACGTGGCAATAAAATTTTCAAAATTTTCATGTTTTTCCTGAAAATCTCAATAAAATGTTGTAAAATATTTCCATTGTTGTTACAAGTTTTTATTTACGTATTGTGACAAGAAAATAAAGAAAAAAGTTATTCAGCAGTGGCAACTGTTGGTGGTTCCTCTTCTTCCGCTACGTTATCATCTTCAGCTTCATCTTTTGATGCTTCGTGAAGCAAAACATATTCACGTGAACTAAATCCAAACTTGATGACATCTTTCTCCAAAAGTTCGACAAATTTCTTCGAATCAATTTTTTTGTTGTTCACAAATGTGCCATTAGCAGATTCCAGATCAATGATGTAAGGTCGAACTCGTTTTCCTGAAGATCCGTCGTCTCTTTCATACGGTACAAGTCGATATTGTAATGCAGCATGTTGTTTGGAACACGAAGGATGATCAACAGCAAGATCACAAATCTTTCGATCACGACCAATCAAATAAGCACTTTGCCTATGAATGTAGAGTGTTGGCAAAGCTGTTTCACCCTTAAACGGATAAAGTCGCCATCGACGTTTGGGAATTTTTGCTTCTGGTGGTTCAGCATATTTAATAACAATGCCATTAACTTTGTTGGTATCTTCTGCTAATTTTCCAGATAATCCAAAATTCGGTTTGTCTTTTTCCACTGGTTCCTCATCAGGATCTTTCTTTATGCCTCTTTTACCCCATTCATAGTTGCCATCGTCATCTTCCTTGTCATTATGCCTTCGTTGTCTGTTGAATCTGCCTCCTCTTTGCTCATCTCTTGAACGACTTCGTCTACGACGATCCCTATCATGATCTTTGCGATATCCTCTTGAGTCTTCATGACGTCTACGGTCATCTGGACTTCTTCTCCTGTTGTCGTCACGATCTCTGCGGTCTGGTGAACGTCTGCGATTTGAATCATTCCTTCTGTCGTCATCTCGTTGATTTCTTTGTCTTGAATCTCTTTCCATTTGATCATGAGATCTAAAGTTTATTATATTTATTAATTATAAATTGACAGCAGTTCTGTATGTTTTCTTATTTTACCTTTTTCGTTCTTTTTGTCTTTCCTCTGAATGATTTCGTCTTCTGGATGATGACGATTGATTTCGTGGACTATCCCATATTGAATGTTCTGGTTTACTATCCTTATCTTTCGTTGGTTGTTTCTTACTTTTCTTGTGTCTTTCATCTGAGCTAGAGCTACTTGATGATGAACTCGAATCAGAATCGCTTTGATGTTTAGATTTTTTCTTCGTTTTCGACATGCTTTTTAATGATATTTGATAATTATATCTAATTATAGGAAATACTAAGTATTGAAAGCGTTGAAATGAATGAACGACTTATTTTTGTAACACGATTTTTTGTAATAAATTTGTAATGAGACTTGAGCTTGAGAAAAAAATTTGTAAACAAACTTTTCAATAGGCGTAGCAAACCCTTCGGAATAATTTTGAAAAAAAATCGTTAAAAAATGTTACGATATTCATCTAAAGGTTAAGATTAAGTTATTCACCCCAAAGATTAGTTTGCAGTGTTCATTAAAAACAAATAAAAGGCGTTAGTGTGGATGTTTTAAATACGAGCAAAATCAAAACAAACATTAATTGTCTCGTAGGCAAATTTACGACCTCTCACTGCATTTATTAATATCTAAAATTTTATTATTCATCAATCATTTCTCACTAAATCTATGACTAACTTTTAATGAAGATAATATTATGACGTAAACGATCTATTTTTTTTCACAATTATTAAAATAATGCTTCTAGCTATCAAAGTTTTAGCATATAATTGTTGAGAAGAAAAAATAAAGTAAAAATTGCTAATAAAATTAAAATTAACAGCCACTCAGTTGAAACTGATTTTTCTTTATTTTGAAGTCTATTGTGCAATGAGATCCATCCATTATTCTCTGATAGGAAAGGTATTAGTTCATCTTCAATGACACCTAGAAATCCTTCTATAAGTGTTGGAATGTAATCTTCCTGATTTTGTCGAACTAAATCAATTGATAAGCCAGCAGTGACCGAGAATAAACTTATAACTTTTCCCCATGTGATGTCATTTTTAAATAGAATTTTTCCAAATGTTGTTAATAACATTGCGATATCTTCTGCACTTTCTAAGCTTTTAGGCGAATTAGAAAGCTGTCTTGATACATTTGTATAAATTTTCGCATGCAAACCTTCGAGAACTGAAGCTGCCTGGGAGAAAAAATGTTAATTTTTTTCTTTGAATCAAATAATTTATTTATGTATTGATTTACCTCTTTCAAAGCAATGTAAACATCTTTGATGTCAGCACCAATAAGCAAAGTACGTTGCATTTTCTGTAATCCAATTTTTTTCTTTTGCTGATTTAAAGAAGCAGCTCGTTTTAAACGAAATCTGATGTAAAGAGTGATGAGATATTTTCCTTGTGATAAGAGAATGTCTTTTGACGGTGACTGATGCCATCCAATTGCTGTTGATAATTTTCTTACACGATCTGTGACTCTATCGCTCACATTACTCAAACGTCTCGACGTTCGACCAAACGCATTTGAATCATTTGCTAAAAGTTTTGAAGCATGAAAACTTGCCGGAAAGCTGAATTTTCTATCTACAAGTGTTCTTGTTGCTTTCAATATTGTTCTCGGGGGCGCGAGATCATCTGATGATGTAAAAATTACTTCCGGTGTGAATATTGCCCTGGTGGGATTCGTCATGATGTCTCAACAATAGAAACTCGTCGATTGAAAGACTGTAATTAAAAATGATTGACCGGTGAAACAGAAGCATCTAAAACAATATAAATATGTATGCACAAGCGTGAAAATAAAATTTCATTGAAGATGAAATCGATCGCTTGTGATTTCAAATAAAATTGTGTTAGTTTGTCTAATTGAATACACTTGTGATTGGCCAATTATTGCCTTCTGAGCATACAAAAATGATTATAATGTCTGGTTATATTTTCGAGAATGATTGTGTAGTTACATCTCATATGCTATCGATTACTTCAATTAAATCTCTCGTTCTACTGGATATTTGTGGATAATTCGTGGTATTGTTATTAGAGATTCTTTCCAAGTCTGAGACTCATTAAATCAAATTGAATTGGCTAATTACAAATACCTTTATAATTCTCCTAATAGATAGAACAACAACAAGAAGAAATGGTCAATAATTTTGACACTTTTCTGAGTAAATCAAACACAGTCGATGTTCAGTTCATTTTTTTCTGTTCTCGTAGCGAATTGATACAAAAAAAAAGCAAGTTAAACGACAAAAACATGACTTACGAGTGTGAAGATGACGCAAATCATCATTTGATACTTTAATTTGTTTCTTTTTCTGACCAAGAGAATCAATCAATAGTTGTAGTGCGATATTGTTGTGCGAAAATACGTATCAGAAATGTAGAACTAAGAATTCAGTGGAATTAATAACTCATTTACCTTTAAGGTAGTAAGACAAGCGTTACATTTATCATATATGTGTCAATATAATGATAGCTACTTGATCTTTCGTTAAGGCGATTTTCATTTAGCAATTGACACGTTTTGATATTTCAGCGAAAACAAGAAGAAAATTATTTAAGTAGAAGAATTTTATCAACAATGTTATGAGAATTGTTTGTATCTACTTCAACAATGACTAAATACTTTGTAGTTCACAATTTCAAATGCAAATGAAAGAAGTAAACTTTGAAAGTTAAACACTTATGGAATAAATGGATCGTTTTATGATAGATTATTTTGGTTAGCAATGACAGACGAGATAAATTTATTTTCATCTCATTTCATCATGACTTTCTTCTACTTTAAGTTGCCCATAAATGGTCTTAAGACGAAATATGTGAAAATAAACGTGTGATTAAAATTCACACGATTTATGCCACCTTCGTGAGGCATTTCGATGCAAAAATACTCTGTAGGTTCACTTAACTTGCTTTTATATTCAATCAGTGTTTCTTCCCATGATCCAAAACACATTTGCCACTAATAAGTCACTGCATGCCTTGAAATTCCATGCTTGTTATCAATAAATGGTATAAAGGAAGACATTTACACAACCTTGATGTCTTTTACTTATTTACATAAACTTCGTCATTTTTTTAATGAATTTAATTTTTATTATTTTATTACCGCAACAAAAATGTTTTCTTTTCACTTTTTTTGTCATTGGCGAAATGTTTTGAAGTTTCTTTCAAATTAAACATCAACATACTTACTCAAGTAATAAAATTTGGCAAAGCAAAAATAAAATTTCAACATCGTGTTCATTGAGGGAAACTATTATGAGTTGATGTAATGCAAATAGAATTGAATGGATCATTTGGTTACACGCATTATTTGACTTTTATTTTCAACTTGAATTTCATTTCATGAAATCGTTTGTCAATTGGTTTGATTATTTATCACAATGCAATGTAACTTTAATTTATTACAGTCATTATTTTACCTTTTAACTGCACCGACTGCTGATATTTTTCGATTTAATCGTAATTTATAGTTCGAACTTGCTCTAAATATATACAGATAGGGGAAAATGTGTGGTGTCAATTTGCGCCTAAGCATTCGTCACTATTGTCCTTCTCAGTATTTATTCCGTAACGATACGAAATTTCACTAACTCACAATCATTGTATGAAATGCATTTAGCAATCAACAAAAAATTAAGTTTTTGCTCCACATTCTTCTTCTCCATTTTCTATTTTAATTAACAAAAGAGATTGTCTGCACTTTGCGCGTTTAATGAGATATTTGATATCTATCTAAAATAATTAAAACGATAGGTTAAGAAACTTTTTTTCATTTCTTTTTTATTAACTATTATTAACTATTACGAATTAATAAATCGTAAACTCGCGAGCGTAAATAAACAATCGACTGATCAGTTGAAACGCTGATAAAAAATGAGAAAATAAACTTAACTGGTTGACTTTTTTTTTCCAGAGAAGAGAGAATGGGCTTTTGAAAGCTTAGATTATCTTTAACGGTTCTCAAACTTTTGTCAATATGATTTTAACAAAGATTTTCAAAGTGTTACATCACAAAGTTTCTCAAACATTTCTTTTATTCGTTTAAGTCTGGAAATGTAAATCAATCAAAATCAATCTGAAAATTAAGGAAAATGAAAAGTCTTTCTCTCTTTTTAGTCTTCAATTTGTCTCATTTTTTATTATTTTATGTTCGTGGTTTTTCTTTTAGCATTACAAACCTTCAAATTGTGAAAAGCGATTATTATTTTATATATAACTTTTAATTTCTTAGAAAAATATTTTCAATAATTATTCTTTCAATGTGGAAAATTTCGTCGAAATAAAAATTGGAAAGTTAATTTTAAGGTAAATTCTAGAATTTAATTTGAAAAAAAATCACTTATTCTTGCATCTAAATCCTACGTATCATCAAGGTGGTGCTTCAAGCTCATTGAGTTAATTTTTTCTCTTTCAAAATGAAGCATTTGTCACCTTTTCACGTCATAATCATGTCATCTTTCATTGACGAATCGTCTTCTTCATCTTCCTCTTTAAGCATTGCTTCATCTCCAAGAGTTTCTTCATTCACATCAGCATGTAAAGGAATTGTTTGTCCATATTTCTGATGGATATTTGTATGACGTTTTAGTGCAAACTTGTCACTGAAGCTTCCAGCACAGATATTGCATTTATATGGCTTGATTCCTAAGAAAGAAAAGCTTAACTCATGACTCAACTTTGTGTAAAAAGAAAAAAAACTTACCAAGATGAACTTTCTCATGATTCTTTAGATGAGCCGCTTGAGAGAAAGCTGAACTGCATCTCTCACATTTATATGGCTTTTCTCTGTAAACATTGAGAAAAGAAAACATGTAAAGAAGAAATTTTCACATGATGATAATCGAAATCATACCCGGTATGTATTCTCCGATGATTCCAAAGCGTTGCATGACGAGCAAATCCTTTATCGCATATCTGACAGACATAAGGCTTTTCACTGTTGAATTAAATATTTCATTAATCATCAAATTTTAATTTCAATTAAAGATTAAATCAACTTACCCAGTGTGAGTTCTTTCATGATTTTTTAAATGCGGTGACTGACTGAATGTCATTCCACATGTGTTGCAACGATAAGGTTTCTAAGAAATAAATCATTAAAGTATGTAAAACATTTGAAACTTTAAAGCATTTACTTCTCCACTATGAATTCTCATGTGATTCTTAAGATAAACTGCTTTTGCAAACGAAGACGAACATTGATCACATTTGTAGTTCTTCTCTCCTGAATGAAGCTTTTTGTGACTCCACAAACTTGAATATCTTGAGAATTTACCACCACAAATGTTACAAGTAAATGGCTTATCATTTCTGAAAAGAAAAACAAATCAATATGGAAAAGAAGAAGGAAATAAAGGAAAGAAAAACTCACTCTGACTGTCTTGCACCTTGATTCGCTGGTGGCGCATGATGCTGAACTTGGTGATGCATTTGAAGTGGCGGTGGTGATGTTGTGTGTTGCTTGACATGCTGTATTTGTACTTGCTGTACTTTTTGTGGTGATGTTGTTGTAATCGTTCGAGCTGATGATATTTTTGTACTTTGTGGACTTGTAACTGGTGATGACGACGAAGGATTCTCAGTTACTATGACAACTCCAGTTCCATTACATGTTGTACATTTTGTAACTGTTGTTACATTTTTCTTCTTCGTTGGAGGCTTTTGCACACCTCCTTGCAATTGAATAATATTCTGGTTCATTTCATTCACTTCAAATTTAATATCACCATCAGGTGACACAAAAATCTGTGTCGGTCGAACATTTTGTGCATTGACGTCATTTTGAATACACGTCTCACAACGAATAAGCTTTGGACCTTTACGCTTTGCATTTTGTTGAATGTGACTACCACATGTTATGCATTTATTCTTATCGCCTTTATGTTGTGGCTGTTGTTGTACCAAATTTATTTGATCTCCTAAAGTGTGATGTAATTGTGCTGGCTCTAATGAATCAGTAGCAACAATTTGAATCTGTCCAAGATTTTGTCCACTCTCTGAGATGAGATTCTGAGCTTGAATTAAGCCTTGATTTTGTGTTACAACTGTCACAGTATCATTATGAGAGTCTTCTTGGTTGTGTGTTCTTTTATGTTGATTTAATAATGTCAAATGAGAGAAAATTTGACTACACACATCGCATTTAAAGCTTATATTGGAAATGGTGTTCTAAAAGATCCCAAACAAAAATAATTTCTGGAAATAAAGCCTTAAAGGTTTTGTTTAACTTACCGAACTTATGGGTTTGTTGATAACAATTTGTCCATTCTGACCAGCAAGTTGAACTGGATTTACGAGTGTATATGACTGACCGTAAGACGTTGTAAATGGTTGAGCAATGTATTGAATAGTCTTGTTGTTATCATCAATTTGCGCCAAATTAACGGTATTTCCTCCTTGTGCTGTGGGTGCAAGCACCTGAATATTTTTCATATTATAACAAAACGTTGGAAACTCTTGTTTCGATTCCATAATGAAAAACTCAAGTTATAACAATTTATAACTATTGATGTAAATTATTTCTCAAAATTTGTTCACGACCAAGCTCTCACAAAAAAAATGTATGAAAGTATTTGACTTGTTTACTTTTTTTCTAAACTCCAATTTTTCACTTCTTTACGATAAATTCGCTTCATACATTTATATATTCAGCGATGTTTTCATTTTAATGCATGCGTTTACATCATTTAATAGCTTTAAAACGATCTGTAATTCACAATAGACGAGAAAAACTTTTAAATTATAATTTGTTCTGATAACTTAGCTTTAGCCCTTCGAAAACTGAGGGGCATACAATGTTGTACGAAATGGCGCGAGATTTGAACCATTCACGTGTAACGTGTGTATAACGGTTTTCTTCTTAAAATATGTTCCTTACCAGTTTGTTGCTAAAAGTTATTCATAGAGCCACACCGCCGTAAAGCGTGAAGAAACATTCTTGGAAAAATTCACAAAAAAAAGAGAAATATTACAGTTCAATAATTTATTGCATGGTTGGTTGCGCTTCGTAAAGAATCTAATTGAATTACTGCATAGAATTGCCCCTGGAACTGCTTTCAAGTATTCGAAATTATACATAGCGATATTAAATTAATAATATTGTTATTATAATGTTGTTACACATGAGTTGCGTCTGTATTCGATTGCTGCCTAATGGAAACATACACCTTCGTGAAGAGAAAAACGGTAAGAAAAGTAAAATAAGAAGCAACTAACACATAAAAATATTCAATCGTGTGGAATGCAAGACTTAAAGAACACTTTTCAGTTTCTTTTTGCTACTTCGAAGAGTTGGTTGGAATTTTGGAGTAAAGAAAACAATTCAAGTTTGAGTGAAAATCACCATTGGATTACCTCAGAATGTGAAAAAATGGACATTGTGCAATCTTTATCTCGAAAGTAATAAAATGTAAAGTTTATTACCATAGTGAAATTGGTCTATTAATAACTTTATGTATGATAAAAACAAAAGAAAAAAATGTTTTTAAAAAAGCATAAATATTGATAAAAAGGAAATTTACGTTTAAAATGAAACAGTGGAATGTGAACAACTTTTTTTTTATTGTGTTTGAAGAATGATCAAAGAATTCAGCATTTATTTATTGGATTCTTCCATGATTCGCGCATATAAAAAATAAGACGTTTATAAAAGAAAAATTATAAGACAAAAAAACAGAATGAAAGAAAAAAATTGAAGGAATGAAAAATTGCTGCAAAATGGAAAGGAAGAAGCCGATGAAGAAAAAAAAACATAACAAAGCTTATTAAATAATTTAATTATTTATATCGATAGAGGGAAAGGGAGTGAGGGAGAGAGGGCTACTCAATAGGTATTCATTCACTCGTTGGGCTGTTTGAGATTCTTTCTTTATTGGTTCAAGATGACGTGTAAAACGAGTTTAGTTTTCTTATTTCTTCTCTCTTCAGTCTCTTCCGATACTTTTTTACTCGTCGCTGATGTAGTCGTCGTTGTTGTTGTTATGTTCTTTTTCTCTTCATCAACAACAAATTTTTCTTTTGTGTGCTTTTTTGCCTTCTTCATTGTTGTATCTACTCTAATAAAAATGTTTGAAAGTAATGTAACATCCTTGAGTAGTTTACAAAAGCGCGGGCAAAGTGCAATTAAATCTTTTAATTTTTCAATTTCACAATTGTTTGAGGAAAGATCGCAATCTCTCTGTAAACAAATGATTGATGTGACATGATCTTCTTTGCACTCCCGAAAGTAACGAAATGAGCACAAACCTTCCGAAAGCAAACAAGTGAGTCGTTTAAAAAAAGATCTACGTTAAGACACAACAAAAGAAGGCAAAAACATTTTTTCTTCATCAAGCAAATCCGTTTAATAAAAAAAGTAATTCGCTTTCTGCATTCATGGAATGAAATACTTAATAACCATCGGACCGCAACGATCATAAGATTGCATTATTCAATCATTTGCAATTGATCTCCAACTCATATTGCTGATCTCTTGAAATATTTCGACCAATATCATGTATGAAATTTCACACAAAACTCAAATTCTCAATGAAGCTTGGGACGAGCGTAAAATAAAAAAATATCAGCGAAACAAACGACAAGAGAAATAAGAAAGAAAAAGAAGAAACAAAATATCCAGTTTGTGATTTGAAGTGAAGAAAAATTGTTGAACTTTTCATTTCTTATGTATACATTAACATTCACCCGTTTGCAAATTGCGCGCGCGATTTTCATCTCGTATGTTGATGCCACGATGCTCTCCCAAAGTTTCTTTTTATTTATCATTGAAGACTTCAAGCAGAGCATAAATATAAATAAATGTCTCATGAAATCGTCCTGATTTCAACATACTTTTTTGTTAAAAGTAAATAAATATCTTGCAAATGCCCACTCGTATGCTGTTTTGGTTTTTACCGACCTTTTCATCCACATTCCCTAGCGGACATTGCAACAACGACTTTCATTGAATTATTATAGTCTTGAAATGAGGGCTTGCAATTTGGATTCACAGCAAAATGAAAAACAAAAGTTAATCAAGTTGTGCTGTTAATTAATTCTTTCATCTTCTCGATGTTGAACTTTTTTTTCCTTCTTTCATTCTCTCTTCTTGCGCTTATCTGATGAACATTCAATTGTAGCCAATTTTTTAGCATTCAAATAGCTTGTTTGCTGTCTTTCTTATTTACTTTAGTCTTCTTCTTTCCTCAACTATGATTTCTCCATGACCTTTTTTTCTCTTCACTTTAAGCATCTACATAAGTAACATAAGCTTAAGATTTAGATTCTACTCAAACACTGCATACAGAAGAAGAAACTGTTTCATATAGTTTAATGGCTTTAAGGGTATGGGCTTGGAATATAGAGAGTCACAAAAGGAAATTTGTTTGTAGTTTTATTGCGGAATTCACTGATGAAATTTTAATTTTAACCATAAAACGAGAATATTTAAGTATTTTCGCTTTTCTTCTTCGTCGCCTCGCGCGCGCTCAGATCTCCAAACAGAAAACGTGGTCAAAACATTTTTCTCTGACAATTTTATGTTTTCTTCTTTTCTTTCTTTCTTTCTCGATGCTTGTTCGCGCTTGCGACACCAAAACGAAAATTTTTCTTAAGTTTCTTTTGTTGTTGACCCAAATTTTCTTTTATTGAAAATCGAAAATAACAAGACTCGAAAGCTCTCTTTGACTTCACGACTTTGATGTTTAATAAACGATTCTTTAACGAAATCGATCGGATCGAGTGGATCGAGTGGAGAAAAAGTAAAAAGTAATTTTTTATGTCATGTAATGAAAGCAATTGACAAGACTTATTTCGAGACACTCGCCGAGTTAATAATATCTAAATCAACATTAAATTAGTCGAAGAATTGGTGACCAACAAAGCCTATCGACTCATTGTTGCTTGTTGTCTATAATTTAGATTCCGTTTTTGGGATTTCAATTCAAAATGGGATTGAGCAATTCGCACGACTCAACCAACCCTACACACTTATGCTATGCTCTTTTTTATCCTTCTATTACCAACAAGCTCCATGCTGTCGAGATCTTGAGATTGCTGCACCCAAAATAAGCAAAATAATAACGAAATAAATTATGAACTGTTTTTCTTGTAGTGAGAGAGAAAAAAAAGTTAGTTAGTGTGTCATTAAAGCCAAGTCCACAGCGCGATTTGTAAAATTGTCTGAGTTATGATTTTTTTACGAGCTCGAGTTTAAAATGCGAAATGAAAATTAAGATAAATATACGCGGCAGTGGCCAGTGATGGTTGCTGTAATTGTTTGTTCATTGTAAATCATGGGAAAAGATTTACGTTTAGGGTTAGCGGCGATGAAATATGCTGTGGGTTAATTTCTGAGGTTTTTAGAACTTTGAATGAATTAGCAATCATTTAATTGTTGTCTCTTGACCTGATCACGAAAAGATTTTTTTCCTGACATTCTTTCAACTTTTTTTTGTTCGTTGTCTTGCGTGTTTAAGTGAATCGCAAGACGCTAATTTGAAGTTAATAAGTTGAAACTGTTTTTAGACCAAAAGATGTTCGCATTCCATTCGTAACTTCGAGCTAAAATAAGAATCTTAAATCTAGAACTGTTTCAGTGATTTTCTTACCAAACAACAAATCTTTTATTTCTATTTTATTTAAACAGAGAAGAATTGTTTGTGTGTGAGAAAAAAGCAAACGAAGTTAAAATGAAATGGCCAAGTACGAATTCGAATGACCGTAAGAGCGTCTTCTATACATCGGAGAATTCAACAAAAATTATGGAATCAACGAAGGTATGTTAATTGTGTTAATTACATTTATAATTAATTTCGAAACAAAGTATTATCCATGAAAAGTTTATTTCATCTTTCGACTGTGTGTGGTTTATTGCATCGCGAGTTCGGCACTAAAAAATGAACTTTTAACGGAGTAACCCAAGGAAATCTTTAGTTAATGATTCGAAATATGAAAGAGTCTTGGGTAAAAGTGAATTAAAAAGAGATTTGAACTATTTATATGAACTCAAACTGTTTTCTGAAGTAGATTGATAATTTCTTGACGTCTGAAGACAACTCATATACATTGTAAACATCCTTGACGCATTCAGTCATTCCACATCGTAAAAACCGATTTGAAAGCTTGATTAAGGTGTTAATAACTTATCAAAGGCTACGAAGTCAACATTGTTTTGAAGTGAAGTCTGGCTTCACACTTTAAATAACAATATTTGTTGTTAAATTGACGGGGAAATATTGACTAGTTACACGTTCAACCAACATCATTATGCAAAAATCATAAAGCGGTGAACAATGAAAAATTGCCCGGAAAAACTTCCTCAACTGTGGGCAAAGATTGGCTGTAAAGATGGAAAATAGCGGTGCTTGGGTGGTTTTCATTTGAAAATAATTTTTCAATTTATTTTCTCTTAATCTTGTAATATTTAGTTAACAATCGCTTATTCTCTTATGAATGACGCCACAATAGCGATGAAGATAAAAATCTTTTTGGTTTGTGGGCATTTTGAACTCGTTTGTGAATCGATTCGATGGTTTGTGGAAGAGACAAGTTTTATTTTAATTGTTTTGTAGTAGAAATGAAAACATCTTTAAGTGTTTGAAAGTTTTTATTTACATTTTATTAGTTATTTCATCTTGAAGCCATCGTAAAATTGTTACATTCAGAATCATTGACGTTATGTGTTTATACATTTATGAGTAGTTACTCTAGCTCTACATTGACACACCTTTCCCAGACTGAATCCCCTAAAAACAACAATTCACATTCAAACCACAAATGGAACCGCTCTCAAATGATCTCTCAACGAGTTCCTTGAATATTTCTTGCTTGACCTTCTTATGTTCCGCAACAAAAAGACTATCTAATTACTCCATATATTACCTTTTTATTATTCGATGACTACAAAGTTTTTCTCGCTGTTATTTTGGGGCGAGTCACACAAACTAATTTTATAATATTTATTATATTGCAAACATAGAAGTGAGAGAGAAAGATTGTTTAAAGTTTGAATTTAAAATAATAAAAGCTATTGCCACATTGATTAAGCTGAATTTGTAACGAATCACCAGCCCATATACATTGACGTTGAAATGCTTTGAATAGTAATAAAAAAATGTTATTTCTTTATCTAATGCTTAAATACCCCCGTATGAAGTGAACGTTACCAAACTAATTTTGCTTTTTATTTTATTAACCAACGTACAGAACTTTGAATATTAATCACCTTAAATTAAAAATGTTAGGGTGACTATCTCATTGCACGTAATTTATGAAGAAACAGCGACGTGCCTTTAAAATTCTCTCCATGAACCTTTTGAGATAATCAATTTATCATTCGAAGTATCTTGGAATTTCATTTCATTTAATGTTTCATGCCAATTATTATCAATTCTTACCCGTAATTCAGCATTAATTTCTTCCAATTCCACAATAGATACTTTTTTTTCAATAGAACTTAAACCTACCTGATAATTCCATTCCCACCTAAACAAAAGAAATGTAAGACTGAGAAATGTTTAATGGTCGAGTTTTAGTTGTAGAAAGAAGGGAAGAGAAGCGCTTAAGAAACACAACTTAAATATGAAGAAGAAGTAAAAGAAAATAAACTGTAAAGAAATTTGTAACGAACCATACACAACAGACAACACTCACGTTTAAACCATTTTTTTTATTCACGTTCCATTTGAATAATTATTCCACAATAACAATGGTGTAAAAAGTGCTTCACAACTTCTTCACTCACCATCGTTTAATTACGAAAAGAAATGAAAAGCAGAAAATATATAAAAAGCACATAAAGTCAAACCACCATATCGCTCTAGAGTGTCTGCAAAAAACCTATAAACTCGAATATTATATGCATGACTATCAAGTTGGAAGCGCTAGAAGTTGAAATGAAAGAGACAACGTTTCGTTATTTATGTAACATATCAAATATCTCAATACACCAGTAATGAAGATCATTAGCCTGTGGAACCAGGTTCAGATTCGATTTGTGAATCTTCTTTCCTATGCGTGATTTAATTTGTAGTTTTGCCACTGGCAGCTTATCTGCAACGTGCTCATTTATTAAAAGTGCAATGAACTTTTCAAGCCTATCAATGTGCTTCCTCGTTTCACAGTCAACGCTACCTAGAACGAACGTTTACTGATGTCTTGATTAAATTAACTTGACGGTCAAGTCAATCTTGGCAAAGCTTTGCAAACTTCTGCCTTGAGCCATTTGGAAGTTTATGTAAATATCCGAACGGAAGGAATTCATAAAATGGTAAATTAAGTTCAATTCACCACAGATTAACACACCGTCGCAATTAACAATTGGAATTTTACCTTTCACGCTAAAACATGCTCGATAATTTGAAAATGTCACATGCTTCATTATTTAAACCAAAAAAAAAAGAAAAAAAAAGAAATAAAATGAGAATGCCACAAAGGTCTCGATAAACAATAAAAAATAAGAGAAAAGAAGTATCTACATGATAATATAATGTTACCAGCATATTTACTACTTATTTGCATGTAACAACAAACGAAAAAGCAATTAAGCATCTAAAATATCTTTTGATTGCCAAAAACATGTTTTCGAAGCTTGTTGACTAAAATTGTAGCAATTTTTCACAATGACAACAAAGCACATATTAGCTCGAAGCAGCCCATTTGTGTTGGTAAGCGATTTTATATTTATGGGACTACAAAAGAATGAGAAATAAAAGCAAAGACGTTTTTCACACATTTCAAAAAAAGTAAGCAAAGTTAGGTGAAGTAAAGCTAAAAACACATTTTTCAACATCAACAAAGCTCCTTTTGTTATGGGCAATTATTTATTGAAAGCACAATTTAATTTTTGTTAATTGGCGTGAGACTATTTAATAAGATCAATTATAATTTTCATGAACTGACGCTTCTCTAATGTAGTTAACTAAATAACTTTTAGTTTCGCTTGATGGGAAAAAGCAAATCGTTGCTTTGCTGCGGTAAAACAACTAAAGTTGTTGTTGAAGCAAATATGAAAAAAAAAACAAGCAAGGTCATTCATCAGATGAGTTTTATGGAAGTTTTGTTGGAAAAACATATTAAAAGATTACACACGGTGTTAGGTTGAAATTGGATTATAAATAATAGAATGGTAAATGTGGTTACCAGTTTCAGATGACTTTCGGGCTCGTTTTTTTTTCCTTTCTTTCTTTTTCTTTCATCTCTCCTCTGACTTTGTCGAGTGAAAACTTTAAATAAATGTTCACCACCCAACCTCAGATTTCTTTTTATTCATTCCATGCTAAATCAAGATGAAGTATAAATAAAAAGAAGAAAAATGAAATAAAGCTTGAGCTCGCACACGGATCTGATGATTTGAATATATTCATTTAAGTGCCCTTGCTCCGAACCCGGCCTTGCGATAGAAAATAAAATGCTTTTATCGCTTTTTATCATGATTATCGCTGTTTACTTGAGATAAGCAATAAAAAAAAGCAGAAAGCTTGCGAGCTGTTAGTGCGATCGTCGAAAGAAGTCGGAAAAAATAAATTATTAGCGTCGCATATGCGCTCATTTTAAGCTGCATATATTTAAGCAAATAGTGCATTATGTAAATCGACCATATGGTAACAATAGCAGTGGCACAACTAGTTCATCGAGAGTGAAACCGCAACGACAACATTAATCTCTTTTTTCTTTCTTTGTTTATCGTCAAAGTTTGACGTTCACAAAGGATTAAAATTTAAAGATTCAAAGTAAAAGCTGACTCAGAAATGAAATGTTAAGTACAAAGAACGAATGCTTGCGGAAACCTTAGTGTGTCTAAAAATAATTACGTTGAGTAAGTCGGGCTTGTAATCTTTCCTTTTTGCTAACAGTCACACACAAATCATTGGTAAGATAGCCGTGGTCGTAATTTACTTGGGTTCTGCGTGATAACACTTCTCATGAAATTGTTTTAAATCTCTCCGCAATTTATTCGTAAGTGTAGATAATAAAACTTTAGATACGACGTGTGGATACAAATAAAAAGCAATCAATTTGGTGTAGCGAAACATTTATTTAGGGGGAAATTGATAAGGAAATCGACAATCGATATTGATTTCACTAGTTTAATTTGGAAGGTGTTTGATTGTTCGTAAAACCATTTCAATTTGATATCGAAAGTAATAACACGTTTCGTACAACTCTCTTTCAATTGCAGAAGGAAGGCACCACCGTAACAGACAACGTCGTTTTCCGATTCAAAATGGGAGGCGACGACGAAACGACGGAAAGTCAAAATTCCAAGTCATCAAGTAGCATTGAAAGCAACAATAATAGCACCGACTTCAAACGATATTTGAAGAATTTCATGCTATTTTCAAATCTGGAAATAGAAAGTGAGAAGAAATGTCGTGACGAGCAGTTATCGAAAATCGTGAAGGCGTTGATGTACTTTGAGAAGAAATTAAGGAAGGAACAGGAAATTATCCAACAGCAGCTTTTTGAGAAAGACAAAGTGATAAATCGTCAAATGCACACGATTTCCAACATGAAAGTAAAACTTGGCGTTCAATGCGACGATCTAGATGATGATAACATCTTTCATGACACGTCCGAATATTGTCCAATGTGCAGGAAAAAATATTATCTTCGAGCGACAAAAAGTTCCACCACACAAACCGTCAGCAATAAATTTCAAACAAATATCAGTGATGGTAAGGAAAAAGAAGAAAAAAACTTTTAACTGGCTGTGGCTTTTTCTAACTTTTTGTTTTTATTTATTTCCGAGGGTGAATTTCATAAAATATCCCGTGACTTTATTAACCTTTCATTGACAGTTCTTTTGAATCTTTAATCTTGTTCTGTGAATCTAAACCAAACTAATGTACTTCCCATGTTTAACGTCAAATGTTAATTATTTTTTCTTTTAGATTATTCATCTATACAGAGTATAGAATATATGTCATCGAGTGAAGAACAAGAAGCTTTATTAAATCCTAATCCGTTTTCAACAGCCCGCAGAAGCAAGAAGTACACCAGCAAGAAATCTTATAAAGATTATTTACAGTCGCGCCCACACAGCGCGGAAAACAAAGCTAACAACTCGTTGTCGTTGTCGACCAACGGTAACATCAACAACATCACAACAAATGACTTTCCAAATAGTGATAGTAACAACAACAGCATCGGCAAACGAGAAAACCTTAACGGAAAGGAAATTACGATCAGTAAAAGTACAACGAGTGGAGGTGCCTCGAAGTTTTCTCTAATTATGAACGATATTCACGGCATCAAACAACAAAAACAGCAAACAAATGATGACACACATTCGCTTAAAATAAATCGTATGCATGGTATAAGTTTAACTTCGCTAAATGCTATTGAAAAGCAAGAAATTATCAATGATGAAGATGATGATGATAGTAATGATGATGTGGTCAATAGTAATCAATCTGGGAATAATATTGAGAGAGATGTGATTAAAGAACAACAATCTGATGCTTCCGTCACACGAAAGTATTGTGATGATGGGTTGGAAGTGAAACAAAAAATCGCAACACGTGATGACTGGTACATAAGTGATATTGAAGATTCTGACACTTTAAGTTGTAAACCATCTTATAGCAATGTTACAGGCGTTTCAAATAGCGTCCTTGAATGTGTGAATCAAATACTTCTTCAACAATCGATGGATGAATTTATTGAAACGCAAAACGAGAAAAGGTCGAGTTTCGCATCGAATGATTCGAAAGGTTCAAAAGATTCGCAATCATCAGCAACGCCTACGCGTTCAAATAAACGAGTACACTTCTCAACAAAGAACAGTATGGTGCAAATAACGCCACTGCCACGAACGCCACCTTCAGATATGCATTCAGATGATATGTTGAACTCAACATACGAGAATCAAAGTACTTATAGCAACGAGTATGAGCCGATTGGATCGTCGCGGACTTATGTCGACATGGATACAAAAAGTCTCGACAATTATAAGCCAACGCTACCACCCAAGCCTGATAATCTTATGAAACTGCAACAGATCTCGAAGCAACGGCACTATGTTCACGATCAATCTTTCAACAACAAACAGAAGAACTCTGATTATGAACTTAACGAGTCGGAGCCAGACTATTGCTCAATATCTGAGATACAAGACAACATAAAAAGTGTAAAAATTGTTAAGGCGGAGATTCATAACGATGCTGATGACAATGAATATTCTGAAATCAAAGAAGTTCCTACACCCGCGCCTTCTGAACTGGGTGAAGATTCATTTGAAGACGTTCCAAAATTGCCAAATGTTTATTCAATAATTCCCGGTTTCGAGCCACCCACGTCACCAAGAAAACAACAAGATGCAACACCAATAAAATGCATTGGACATGACAATTACATCACAAAATCGCCGATTAAAAAGAAATCGCCATCGTCGATTCTCGCTGAAATAAAAAGTGTTAAGAAAACACCACCAAAAGTGTCACCTCCACCAATTCCTTTAAAAAATCAACAAACGATTAAAATAATTGACGAGAAGATACAACAAGAATTCGATTGGTATAATCTCGATGCCGAATACACTAAAACCGAAGTCATTTCACCACAGATTGAAAACATTGAAGAAATGTATCAGTTTGACGATGAAAATCTCGGCGATGTTGATTGTGTCGAAGATTCAGACATAAAAGTTGAATATAACTTAGATTTTGAGTACGAGCAATCATCAATGGAAGGCATTGAAATTGAAAGAAACAATAACAGTTTTACGACTGTTATCAAAATTAACGAGACATCGTCAACGAGTGAATCTTCTCCACCATCACCAGTGAAACAGACCAGTAAAACCACAAATTTAATTAATGAATTAGTTGAAACTCCCAAGATAGACCTTAAAAAGAAGCTCAATTACGAGAAGTTCCTGAGTGAAACGGGGATGTTATCAAAGCCTTTAATAGCAAGAAAAAAGTTTTATGCTGGATCGTTTGTGTAATGTTTTCAAGATGCTTAAAAATATATAAGAAGAGAAAAAAATTTGATGATAAATCTTCAAAGAAGTTTCTTTCTCATCGTCTTCTTTACTTATGCTAAGAATGGAAAACTTTGGAGATTTGAAAGTCTTGATGAAAATTATTTAAAAGAAGAATATTTAAAAAAATTCTTAGAACTCATCAGTGCCTTTGATCACTTTGTTCAAAGTCAATTTTTTTTCTAAATAAACATCTGTCTTATGATTGCTCAATTATTTAACATGGTAATGCTTTATGGTCCGGAATTCGAGTCCATAAGCTTTTACAAAACATAGAAAAATGAACAGAAATGAAATAAAATCGTAGCTTTGTTTTCTCCTTATTCATGAGCATGAGCTATGGTCATGATTTATGTGTATTATGAAAATGTATGATTCTTTATTTATTATCTTATACGAACAAATAAATTAAATTAAAGTCGCAAAACAACGCACAAATGAGACTTAATCTTTTAATGAATCTAAAGTCAATTTTTTACAGGCAACAATCGGCGACAGTCTCGCCAATGATGCGAGAAAAAAAAGATCAAAACTTTGAAAGCATTAAATAAATATAAAAAAAGAGTCCGATAAACTGGTTTCTATTCATCTAGAATATTGTTCATTTTGACACAGAAACTGTCATATGAATCGTCCGGATATTGCCAACATTTGTTATGGGAGCTCTCGTTAACAGATCAGAACCACTAAGACCCATTAAGATGAAGCCCATCAATCATTCTCTTTCAGAGAACCGTGAGCGGCAATCTCACATTTTGCGATAATTTAGATTTCTCTCTATGCTTCCTTTCAAAAAGTCATCCGGTTTAAATGCCTCCCTTGCGTTCGACCGATATATCTACATAAAGAACAGATGAAATATGATCATTCGACAAGGAGTGCGCAGTGTAATGGAACGCTGCACTTTTTTCCCTTCAACTTTATAGACATTTCCATAAAAATGATGTTAAGCGAGAATATCAAAATCGTGAGTCAAGCGAATGAAAAGAACAATTTCCTTTCACAGATTACTGGCTGCTGAACGATGATTTTTTATTACAAGCAATTTTGTCTTATGTTTGCTACCGCTTGCGTAAACACAAATTAAGATCAATTTTTTTTGTTCTATCGCACCAGGTGGAGCGATGTTTCATCAAGAGTTCTTCAATCAACTCAAACTATGTTTTCGTAAAATCCGCTTCAAAATAAGTTTTATTATTCACTACGAAATACCCTTCTGAAGCTTTATTCTCTTTCTCTTATTTGTCACAACATGCTGTGATGTTTATTACAAACTGTAAAGCATAAACATTGGTGAAGATGCATTGGAGAAACATAAATAAAACATTGACGAAAACATTGAAAAAACAATCATTATTATTGTCGCCCAGTGAGAAACTTTTAATATCTTGGAATTGGAGACTGAAATCATTGTAAGAATCAGATTTTAATTAATGTTTTCATTTAACAAAATTAAATTATTTCCACAGCTTAGTTTATTTCATAAAATATTTAAACTTCCCAACTGGGTTCAATGTTTTTCTCTCTCTGGCTGTTGCTCGACATGCATCAATCGAAATAACTTAGAAAAAAAAGTTTAGTTTAGCTCAAACGGCACATGAGTCAACATTATTTCATGGATTAAAGAAAATTGTGCTTTTTTCATATTCAACTGCAAATAGCTTCAAGCATAATAAGAAAAAAAAACTTTTGCAAATTATAAATATAAACAAGAATTTTTAAGTGGACTATAAATAATATAATATAAAATATGAATAAAAAAAATAAAATCAACAACATTGATCGAGCTTTTCATAGCAGCATATGAAACTAGTTAAATCAAAAAATATAAAAAAACCCAAACATCAAATTAACATTAAAATATTATTCTATTTTTATTTTCATGGATTATGTCAAACTACAACTTTCAATGTTAAACATTTTTTTTCACGTTGTGCATTTGGATAAAAAAATGAAAGCAAAGAAGTTTTGCACGGCTACAAAGCTGTATGTGTTCACGCCATATATGTAAGTTAGAAGACCATACTTTTATTTAAAACACTAGGCTCACTAGTGCTGACGTTTATTTTTCGCGCAAAAGAAAAGAGTAACTTTAGTTTTGTGGCCTGGAAATAAGAAAAAAAGAAGATTCTCTTCTGTGGTTGTGCATTTGAGTCAAGAGTTTAATCTTTAATGTGAAGCAGCATGAAATATCTACATAGAAACTTAGCAGCAGTGAAAATTCAAATTTTTATACAAATGGCACGATAATTCAGGCAGTGACTCCAATACTTGTTGTTTACTTGCTTATAAAAAGGCGAAGAAAATTAGCTAATTATTTACATTTAATTAAAAAAATTATCAACTGACATCGCGTATACCACTGTCTGTGGTGTTTGTTGATTCGTGTTACCATGACAAAATAAACGAAAACTAAATAAATAAACAAAAACTTGAAAAGTGGTGTAGTGAAAGAAGAAAAAAACATCCAAGGAAAAGAAGTGAATCACCAATAGACATGTAGTCTCATCGTGAACGAAGACGACGAAAACAGTTTTAATATTTTTGCATAACTAAATGAGAGAACAACAACAACAGCGAAATAAAAGTTCAATCGCCATTGATTAGATAGGTGAGATTTGTATAGTTGTAAGTTTCGATATCTTCTGCCTTCCACTCACAAATGTGATGAGCTATAAAGTTGAGAAAGATATAAGAAGAATAGCAGAGAATGATGCTTGTACCGTTTGATAATACAAAACACATAAAATAAAAGAGTAGTGATGAAGAAATGATGTTAAGCACATTAAAGAGTTAAATAGTTTGCTATGTTAGCTGTAAAATGAGACAAAAATCAACTTGCTCTTGTTATTTTTTCTTCATCATAAATGAATGCATTCATTGACGAGTATTATTGAATAGAGGCAGCGCAAGTTGCAACTTGCAACTTGAGTGTAAATAATTGTGTCAGTTCCTAGAAAAGAAGCGCAACAGATACGAGTTTGAATTGGTTTGTGTTCCATTTCTAGTGACTCAATCTTGAAGAGATTAAGGTCACTCTACACTCTTTTAGCGTCTTGATAATTAATTAAATATATTTCTTTATAGAACTCTTCTTAACTTCTTAATTTACAAAGCTTTAAGTCAACAAAAGGAACGTCCTTACCTTTAACTTATAAATAAGTCTATTGAATTAGTGTGAACCTTTTGTATGCCAACTGTGACTTTGTTTTGTTTTGTCCCAAAAGGTGCTAAAAGTATCCGAAAGAATAATAAAACAAACATATTTAAGGGGAAATCAATGAATACCCAAATAGCAGAAAGATCTGAACATCCATTCATGTATTCGCCCAAGTAAGTTTTCATTGTTCCAACTTTATGGCACATAATGAAACAAAAGAGAAAAAAAATATTATCGAGAGACGACGAAAGATGAAAAGAAAAAAGCGGAAGAAAATGAATAAGAAAAAAATTTCAAGAACTTTTCGACTTGTAATTGAAGTATTCGGCATGGATTCGACTTTTTCGTTTGCTTCTGGCATATTAATAATGAGTTTAACCCTCTTCAATACTTTTTCGCTTTCCATCTCTCTCTTGAAGTCATCGAGAAAAGCATAAACAGCGTAAAAAATCGCTATTAAAGTGTCACAATTCAACTCATGTCCTTTTTGTTCAAGGCTTAAACTTTACGAGTATTTTCTTGTTCTGTTTAGTGTGCAGATCAGACATGTTGTCTGGTGATTTTCTCCAAGTGAACAAAAACATTAAGTTTGAAAACGAAAATGGAGAAGCTTTGTCAATCACATTAAAAGAACGAGATACGAGAATGATTGCAAATAAGTGAGTGTCATTTCTGTTCTCATAGGAGTATCAGAATGTCGGTTACGGTAACGTTACATAGTTGACATTTAGAGTTAATGAAGATCTTGACATCGAAATAGCAAGAAAAATGTTCTGTTTACAGCAAGACTGATTAATATCATTCAATTCAGACTTAATGCTCTACTCTAAGCTCTCTCTACATGTGTCAGTCAGTTCTTGTAAGTAGACATGATGTTTGTTTCTTTATTAATGAAGGACAAAAGCTTTCTGGTGGCAAACAGGCAAACTAACTTCTAAATACCCAACCCAAAATCTTATTCATGTTAAATACAAGATAAATCTGAGTCTTACGTTCGAAATTAATTAAACGACGAGAAGCTTTTCGTTCACTCCTTTGCCTTTTAACGTTCTAATAAATAATTAATACATCATTCAAGACAATCAACTGCCACTTTGATTAAACGATTTTCTTTATTTTTCTGCTCTTAAATGTTTCATTCTCTTAAATATCTTTCATATTTACTTGTTGGTCAACGAGTTCAGGTTTTCTATAAATTGCAAAATAAGCCGGGAGAAAATCATAACAGATTGAGTTGGAAAAAAGGTGCGTTCTAAATAAAATCTAAACGTGGCACTGTTGATTTGCTCGCTGATGGGCTTTTATTATATTCTTTTGGTATTCTATTCGAGTTTCAACAATTCTGAATACAACTCGCATATCGATTTTTCATTTATTTTTCTCCTTTCTCTTTTTCTTTTCATTTCCATCCCGATATCATTTCATTGCCATCCCTGAAGACGAATTATTTATGAGAGCACCAGATTGTCGACGAATTAGCATTTGCCGTGTAGCGTAAAAACGATAATAAAACATAAAGTGGAGCAAAGAAACTTGAATTGAAGTGAAGACGACTTTGAACTGCATCATCATGCCGTCATCAAGCGAGAAAAACTGCTCGTCACCAACATATTCAAATGAGGTAAGCGAAACATTTCAAGTAAAATGTTGCATTGTCTTTCATTTCATTCGTTGCGATCGTTTGTGATTTATTCAATGAACAAACAAACATTAACATTGGTTTGCGTTCACTTCCATTGTTATTGTTTGTGTAGACATCGAAACAACATCAACGAATGAATGAATTACGCTCCAGATCTCCCATGTTACGCAATCGCGTAGTCCAATGTCAACTTTAAATGCAAAATGCAAAATAAATTCTATTTTACCTTTTCCCATCCATCACACTGACTGATAAATGAGATCTCACGGGGTTGACCATAAGCATTAATTTATTTTTATTTTTTGTTTTTTTGAATTGAAAAGTTTTCGCAACTCTTCTCGCTTTTATTTTCATTAACAAGAGAAGAGAAAAAAAAAGTTTCATTATTAAAAGTTCTGCAGACAATGAGTCGTTCTTGGGAACAGATTTAAACTTTTAATACTGAAAATGAGCAGAGAAAGTGAACATTGTGAGCTCTTAATGGCCATATTATTTATTATTGATTTTTTAAATGCGCGAATCTTATTCTTCCAAGCGGAATATCAATTAAAAAATTTTCTCTTCTCATTTCTGATGAATAATGAAAAGGAAACGCTTGAAGGAAAATTCCCAAGATTTTTGATCACCTGAGCAACAGTCATTAAAACATCCGAAGAGGATTTCATTATGAATTAAACTACTTTTCTTTCTTTCCTTCTCGAGAAGAGTACAATGAAACTTGAGAAAAAAAATAAATTGAGACGGAAAAGCTTTGACAAAGTAGTTCAACTTACTGTCACTCTCGTATTTCTTAAATGGAGTTTAAAAGTTTAAATTTCAAGTTTTTCTCTTTGTTAAGAGTGTCTAGGAGTGACAAATATTTGGGACGTTAAAGGGTTTGATTTTGACAAGATTTAAGCTTTGTTCAAACAAAAGCGCAAGCAACAGTCCATGGGAAGAAAGGAAAAAAGGTTTTAAACATTTTTTTTTATTTGCTTAGGGATTTTTGTCTTCCTTTTTTTTGTTGTCTAATTTCATGGTTCTTTTCTCTCTTTTTTTTCTCTGACTTTTATCTGTCACCCCCGCATCATTGCTGTTTATTTAGGACGCCAAAAATAATGTTGATGCAGATTTAGTGATGCTTGAGGAACTGAAAGTGAAATGCCGTACTCAAACAGAACAAATAATGGCTTGGAAAAAAGCTTACTCCATGCAGGTAACTCAATTTTTACTTCTCATGACGTAAACAAACGTAATGGAATAAAAAAAAACGCAAAATCAACTCGAATGGTTATATCTATTGAATTAAACTTCCATAATTAATGTTCGATGTCGACATGCTATGAGCGAAGTTATTTCTTTTTATTTTTTGTTTTGAATCTTTCTTTAGTTATGTGAAAGAAATTCTCTCGTCGTTTTTGCTTCTCATGGTTGAATCTGAAAGTGCAAGGCATTAAATCTTATGACCTACATTATTAGTACATTACGTTTGGTTAAATCACCGAGTGAAATATAATATGCAAGAGATAGGTCAGCAACAGGAGACGTAGAGAATTAAAATTAGATAAATGTGAATGTTTGTCGAACATTTAATGGATGAATAATTAAAATAACTTTTAAGTTGAGTGCTTTTCACAGCGGAAAAAAAGTATAAATACGAAAATACCTTTAGAGGTTGAATATCTAATTTTATTGTTCTGAGTTTATTATTTTACAAGAAATGAAACGCTAAATAAAACATTAGGGAACAAATTGGGTGAGTGAAGTGGAAAGAAAACGGTGGAAAAAGCTCTCATTGAGAACCCGCCCTTCGGCAATTGCCTTACCACCATTGAGCATCACGCTTTATTGACTTGCCTGTACGAGACAACCAAATGAGCTTAAATTTTTTGGAATTCATCCCTCAGATAAATTCAGAAATTATTCAACTTGCTCATGACATCTCATAATGAATCTTCATGTTTTATTTATTCAGGATTTTTATTCTTTCAATGGCAATGTCATACTTTTAAATTGACGTCAATAGAAATAAAAGATAAAAAACATTTCAGATCGTAAACTTCAAAATTTGATTACAAAATTTACAAATGAAAGATTTTTCAGGCGTGGATGTGCTTAATGGAATGAAATCTTTATTTGTTGAGATGAATGATATAAAAGCATTGTTGCAGCACAGATTTCCGTCTGACTTCTTTTTGAAGGAAAGACGACAGAAATTTATTTTGTTAGATACAAATATCTAATTTTAAAATTCGTAAATGTCATGAAATATTTGGCTGTTATGAAAAAAAGATTCAACACAATGGAGGCAACCTTTTACCTCTTGTCATGCAATTGAATTTCGGTGTCTCTGAAAAAGGAAAAGAACGATAAGCGATTCGGTTCCGTATTCATCTTGAAATTTGAGTGAAAAGCATAAAACTCACTTATCATCATTCGCGTATTCCATTTCGTTATGAATCAATTTTCGTTTTTCTTTCGAGCTTAGAGACGCGAAGTGAACTTCTCGAGGTTTTTCTTTGCGTAATTTATCTTTGATGATGTAACAAAAAACAATTTTCTCCATTTTTGGTTTTTCAATTTCTTTCTGTTTATGTTTTTTATTTCTTTATTTTCACGCACAGAGCGAGCAGCATTTTAGAGAACAGCTGGAAAAAACTGATCAATTATCTTATCTGACTGGTCAACTTTTGCTGCTTGAAAGCCGCTTGGTACGCAAACAAAAACAAATTGCGAACATTTTGTATCAACGTGAATTAACCATTTATCGTCAGCAAAAGATTATTGAAGCATTATCTAGTCGACTTGAAATGCATGGATTGGATAATCAAATTAACATTATCGACAACCAGACAGAATGTGATTTGAATGATTCAGATTCAGCTGTCGTATTAGAAGATATCGACGATTGTAACTCGCTTATTTTAAAACGGAAATCATGTAGTAGTGACGTAGTCAGATCAATATCCGATGTCATTCAGATGCCACGTCGAACAAATCTACAAAAGTCCAATTGTTATCTTCGTAGACCTGACATTTTAGAAACAGTTTACAGTGTTGAGGAAGACCCCGAACAGAATCAACAAGAGCAATCAAATCAACAGGCAAACTCACAACAGCAAAGTCCAAAGAATCAATCATGTAGCGACGTCGCTGAGAAACGAGACAAATTCAAAAATAGATCTGATAAACGAATCACTGACATTGTAGATGATCAATCACTTAGCAACGTAACCGATTCAATCTCTACTAATCAATCGTCGTCATCGACCTTTTGGGAGAAGTTAACGAGCTATTATGATTACGCGTCTCGAACTGATTCAAGAGCAAGTACACCTATTCATCGACGACGTGCTTCGGACGAAGACGCAAAATCGATGATAAAACCAGCAAACCAAGTGACAAATTTCAATCGTGTCATGTCTAATCATAGATCTGTTACGAAACCTAAAGACGTCAAATATAAAAGAATAAATAAAGCAAAATCGAAGAGTTTGGAAGAGCTCAGAGGTAAACTGAAGAATTGGGTGGAGCATAGAAACAGTGGAAGTTACAATCTTCAACAGGAGGGGAAGTCATACGATGATGCATGAATAAGAAGAAAGCACTTAGTAGGTGGCATATTTACCTAAACAATTTTCACAAAATTCCCAGCTTCACTTCGAATATCCACATGAATTAATTAACATCTTAAATGAAACTTGAAGAATACTTAATTCTGATAAATTAATGTAAATAATATAAAAGCATGCTTTGGTGATTTTCAATTGAGCTAAAGAAAATTATTCAACCAGAATTTCCATAACATGCCTCGATGTTGCTTTTTTTTTTGTGTAAAATCAATTAGAATGAAAAATTGTGATGAAGCATAAGCGAAATTTCCTTTGCTAAGAGCATAAAATAATTCATTATTTATTCATTGAAAATTAAATTGTATCGCGTGAATTTTCGCAAACTTTTTAATTGTAGGTTGACTAGGGTGTGATGTAATTAATGATTTAATGATATTAAGAAATGAAGTGAAAAAGGTTGTCTTGACTGTCATTAGATAATATAGAAAGTATTCTTTACATTTTTAAGAAAAGAAATAAAATAACTATCTGGATGTAATCTAGAAAGCCTAATAGCTAGTTTAAAACTCAAGTCACATATATAAATACAAGCTAAATATTTTCATACAATTAGATCTTCTATTAATGATTCATGAAGAATCCTTTTACATTTTCTTCCAACATGACAAGGTAAAATTGAATAATGAGCTTTAATAACGAAGTTAGAACTTCATTACGAAATAATTAAGTTAATTATTTATGCAAACCAGAAGACACTCAAAATCTTTCTTCTCACAACGAAAATTAAAAGTTCTTGACAATCAACATGATGACAAACATCAGGAAAGTTTGAGATTACAAAAATCTTAAATATTTCAAGAGATGAATGAATGTAAAGAAGAAAAGCTTCTTGAATTCTTGTTAATTAAATATCATTGTATTTGGTGAACTTTCTAAGAATTCTTTTTTTGTAAATTTCTCTTCCGTGTATGCTTCAGAAAGATGGAAGTAGCAAAGACGAAAAAGTAATTTATTATCCCAGTCAAAATCTTTGCAAAAGCTCATGTACAATTCCGACAAACATATCAAATATTCAGATAAGGATGAAAGTTTCAAGTATAACGCTTCACTTATTACGAAAGGAAGTTTTCCTTTTGTTGTAATTTGAGAAACATGAAAGATTTTCATATTTTCTGCTGAACTTTGTAAAAAGCTTTAAATTTATAAAATGTCGACAAATATTGAAAAATTATGATAAGGATGATCATAAAAAGGAGTTTAATAAAGGTTTAGATGTGAAGAAGTATTATAAATTATGACGTAAATACATATAACATTAATATCCAAATGGCCCATAAATAGAATTAAATAAAAACAACAAAAAAAATCTGCTTTGAAATTGAAGAAAGAGTAAAAATGTTTATCGATTCTCTTGTCTTTTTTAACGAGCTATTATCGGAACAAGAATAAATACTTATTGCTAATAAAGCCAATTTGAAAAGGAAAATATAAAAATGAAATTATGTTTCTTTCCTTACTATGTAGAAAGCTCCACGAGTCACGGATATAGAGAATATGAAATCTATTTTTTGCAGACACCGACTCGGGAGAATTGAAAGTATTCACTGTTGACATGAATCAATATTGATTGATAATTTGATCGAAAATACTCACATTTCATTTTTGCTACCAAGCTTTTAAGTAACAAATATAAAATGCGATAAAGAAATATTTGCAAATGCTTGGAATATTTATATGAATGTTAACATCAAGAAAGTTAAAAGCAAATAAGCTCAAATTTCAATCCTTTTTTTGTGCAATTGAAAAATTAAAATTTATGCTGGAAATATTTTTGAAATAAACACAAATAATGAATGCTCATAAAAATATTATGTTTATTTTTCTTTTATGTTGTTACAGACTTCATGTATTTTATGTTGTGTCAGATCAGCAACAAATGGAAATGTAAGTAAGTAGGTAAATAAGACAACAAAAAGCAACCAGAAGTATTCAAACTTTCTTTTAAAAAACCTTCAAATAGTGAAACTTTATATTTTCAAAGATTCTCAAACCTTTATCTATTCGAATCGATAAAAACTTTCGAAAGTTATAAGAAAAGATGGAGAAATGAGAAGAAAACTTTTATCTGATTATCGGGTGAAGGAGAAAAATTTTTTTAATATGGTTTGAAAAGCAAAGTTTATAGTCAAACAGGAAGTTTAAAATCTTTTTCGACGTTTTCATCCAAGATCCAAAACATGATGATTTTTATCTTTGACACTGCGCAGTCTCGAAGATAGAATAGAATGTTTTCACAAGCAATGTCACAGAAAATGAATGTTTAAATTTATTTACCCTTCAGAATGAAACAAATTGGGCAATGTCAACGTTGCAAAACTTTTAAACAATCCTCACGATACTTGCCAGATGAATGCTTGGATATCAATTCTTAGAATCTTCTCAGTGTAGGAAGCAGTTCAGTAAACCCGAAGATAATATTGTTTTCATCTACAAACGAAAATCGTATAAACCCTTGTTTTTTCGTGAAGACTACAGAATAAGCTTAACTCGTTAGGAAAAATCAGGTTTTAATAGGACGAAGTGAATCAAAATATTACCAAGTCATTAAGCTTCAGTGAAAGCACGTGTTGCTCAAAATAATAAATATAAATGTGAATAAATTCATGTCGTGATTACTTAATAAATTCATTCTCTGAAAAACTTAATAAATATTCACTTAAATGTCTAAAAAAGATCCAGCATCTCATTTCTTCTATTGAGTAGAATATGGTAAGTGTTGTTGTTGTAAAATTGAACGGTTTCATTTATTTCGGAAGAAACAAAACGATCCTGAAATTGCGTTGTAAATAATAACTAAAGTCTAGTGTGGTAATGAAGGGTTAAAATATGTTGTGATGTCAGATGATACAAAGCGTTGATTTGTCTAGTTTCTCTAGAAAAAGGATTTGATTGCTTGGAAAATAAGAAGAAAAAGTTACACATTGTTTAACACAGATTTGTCTTTTTCCTTCGAGCAGAATTTTCCGAATGTAAAGAAAGAATAATCTTGATTATGCTTCGATTGATTTTTTAATTTATTAGTTTAAAGAAATTTATAGAAAGCGATAGAAAGCGATAGAGACGACTTTCAGAATCAGAAAAATTATAAAACTAAATATTTTAAAAAGAGTTTTTTGCTTGAAAATTTAATTTACTTTTCCATTCAATGAAGTATTCCGATAAAGTTTTTATTTCATTATTCATTCGATTCACTAGTTTATCAAGGTTGTAATTTTCTATCAAAGAGAGCAACATTGTGTCATTTGAATAAATTGCTAATTTACAATGTTTCGGAATTGGGATAATATTTATGAATAGAATAAAGAGGGGCGGTGATAGTGAAGCTCCTCGGGGAATTTTCAAATTGAAATGAAGAATTAGTTGTACATTTTGCCATTAAAACTTTTGTCATTTGACGTAACAATGAATGACTTTTCTTCTTACATAATTTTTTTGTTTGTTTCTTTTTCTTCTCTTTATGACAATTCCACGATAATTTTTACAGCTCCGCTTGATAAGTTATTCATCAGTCGATTCATTCATCAAAAGAGATTCTGTGCTGGATATATTAGATAAATATAAAGTGAATCCCAAAATTCTCGAACACTTGCAAAAGCAGACGAGAGATGCTGATTTGAATATTTTTGATCTTAAATTGGAAACCAAGAGAAATTTGATGAGTAAAGAAAAGGGTATATTTGTGCAACACCGTAGAGAGTATTACAATGACTTCGAAGACTGCTTACGAGATTATAAAAATGCGAAAATAAAGTCGCTTCAGAAGCAGACGAAGATACATCTTAGTGATGGTGATAATGGAGATTCTGACTCAGAGTATGTTGACTGTACTGATACAAATGAATTGAGACATCAAACTTCGTCAAAATCCATGCCACATGTTTCATCCGGGATTTATCGTGATGGCTTTAGTCAGCAATTGGAAAAGAAGGCTACAGCAACATGTATCGAAACGGAAGCACAATCACAAATTACCGTGAAAGCTCAATTAAAAGCGGATTATAATGATTTGCGAACAAAGAATGAAAGCTCAACACAATTTACAACACATAATAATAATAACAACAATCAGATTAGAAATAGTAGCTGTAACAATTCTGTAATCTCTGCAAGCGATAGAAAGGTCAACTTGAGTGAAAAATCAATAACAATTCATGGCAACATAACTGCCCCATCCACATCTAATATTAAATTTAACGTCAATCAACATGCGACTGATAACCAGCAAACAGAATCGAAGGATAATTTCATGTCGACAACAGTACAAAATGCTCATAAGAAAGACGAACAAACGAGAAGGAAAAGCTGTAAGAAGAAAAAGGAAAATGTTTTACTTGTCATGAAAGACCCAACTCAAAGGTGATACAAATTTTTCACTTAATACAATTTTCACGATTTTCAATGTCAATCAAAATTATGGTTGCGAACTTTATTTACATTCTAACAAGCTTTCGGTTCAAATAGAGTTATGAACTTTTCAATAGTTTCCCTTCCGAAAGACTAAGCAGGATATTTTCAACAACTTGCACCAATCAAATTAAATATTTTCCCTAGCTCGTGCTAACAATATTTATGCTATTTGAGTTAAAGTGGGATGAGAGACGGTTGGGTAAAAAATATGTTTCGAGTTCATTCAAATGTGAAGTTGTTCAATATCTGAATTTCAACTCTGGACTTTAAGCTTACATATTTTCGATACTTTGCTTACATTTTTTGAAGAAAAAGCAAATTTATTTCAGTCGCACCAGCATTTCTAAGGATGCACGTTTGTTTCTATGTTTTTACCTTCAATAAGTCATTTCTTGTCGTGTGCTTCAAGTTGCATGTGCTTTCGGAAGGAAGAAAAAGAATTGTTATAAAACATTCTTTTTATTCATTTAGTAATCTAAATAAGTACTCAAATCGTGGAATAATTTCTATTTATTCTTTGCTTTTTTGTTCTTTATTATCGAAGTTTGTGTTTTATTCACAAAAAAACACCAATCAATTAGTTAATTACTTTAAGTTGTGGCCTATTTTTATCGACTTCATTGTGGTATTTTGTTTCATTTCTGGGATAGCAAAATGACGGTAGCATCCGAGGCTGAGACCAAAATCAATAGTCTGGGTGAGTTTCTTTCCGATTTGCCTTAGAAATTGTGAAGTTTTTGGGTGATTTACTTGTTGAAACTTAATTCGATTTATTTGTGAAACGAGAAGTTTTTGCATAAAAATCACGTTTCATATGGCGTAGTAGGGCGATCAATAACGCTTTTCTTTTTCCTTCAATACACATAAATATACTTATCTACATACAATCTAATTTCCTTCAAAACAGACGATACATCATGGGGTCAAGAAAGAGAAGTCATCCTTGAGCGTGTTCAAAATAAATCGTTTGGAATCAGCATCGTTGGTGGAAAGGTGAATAATATCTACTTATTCATTATTGGTGAAAAGTTTTCATCCCCATGAAGATTTTCAGCTGAATAAATAAGTCAAATGTCGGCTTATGTCAGTAAAAGATAATTTCACCTCAATTATTTTTAACTCATGAGACATCATGAGATTACGGTTCACTGATTTTTTATTTCATTCGGTTTGTTTCTAAATACAGCGATGATGGGATTATTTGAAAATGAATATCTTAAGCTTGATATCTTTGAATGTTGTTTATTTCAATTACCATTTATCCCATTGCTGCTTATATTTATCATCAGATTATATTTTGTAATGTTATTAATTTAAATGGTGAGATAAAAGAATCTTATCTTTCTTTTAGAGCTTTCAAGTTATTAAAGCTTTTTATATTTTAAATATTCATTGTGTAGTATTAATTGTAAGCTGTATTCGTTTTTATTTTCAACATCAGGTTAATGTTTCCGGCGATTCACTTGTGTCGGGGATTTTCATAAAGAACATTATTGTGGGAAGCTCTGCAGATAAATGTAGCTTACTGAAGATTGGAGATAGGATTTTAGGTAAGTCTATACATCTTTACCAAATTGATTTCTTTTTTCGTCTGAAGCTTTTGATAACACTCAAACAATCTGCTTCTGCTTCTTTTCTTGAAACTTAATCTTGGTGAAACACTCATCTTTGCACAATCAGCTGTTGATGGTGTTGACATTAGAAATTCATCGCACGAATTGGCTGTAAAGACGATAAAAAACGCCAGCGATAAAATGACGCTGCTGGTCCAAAGTTTAAACGCTGGGGTAAAAAAGGATTCTTTTTGTTTACATTTTCTGGATGTTCTTTCTTATAATAATCTTATTTATTTCTTTCTTACCCTTTCGTTCATATTGTAACTTTATTCATAAAAATAGAATGCCGATCGAAGTTCAAACGATTTCATAAAGAAATCAACGCCACCCGTGACTCCATCAAAAACACCAACAAAACCCGAAATCATTCAAGTAATGTTTGTTTTCTGATTGCACTTTAGATAATCCAAATTTAGATGACTCACATCCTAAACATTATTTAATGATTTGATAAGGTCTAGATTTATTCCTTTCATGTTTTGCTGATGTTTTTTCTTTTCTTCAACGCTCTCTTTTCAAAGGAAGCCATGGAGAAAGACGATGTAGTAAAAGATGATATCAAACAAATGCAGGCTTTAAAAAAAGATCCTAAAAAGGGCCTTCTATCGAATGGCGTTTCGGTAAGTGCGTGTAAAAATGATGAATTCAAAAAGATTTTTCCTACTCTTGGATGGATGTTTAAAGAAGGAAGAAATATGAAATATTTTCTGCATGATTAATTATTCAATATTATTTTTTGATTATGAATTTATGATGTTTTGCATGCCTTAAATAATCTTTACGCATCTTTTAAATATTGCGTTGGTGAATGTTTGTTAATTGGTAGACGCCCCAACCTAATGGCTCGGAAAAAGATATCAGCGAAGTTGAGAGTATCACCGGGTTTTCGCCCGAGCCTGATACAGGTCAGTGATAAATACTTGCATGTTCAAAAGTTAGCATGATTTATTTTCGTTATCGATAACTGCTACCTAGAGTCGGAAGGATCATCTGATGAAGACGACGACCATCGCGATATGGAAGGAAAAACTTACACTCAAACAGGAAATGAGGTGAATTCTTGCACGTTTCTGAACGATTTTTCACGATTCCATCGTAGAAAGAATGAGCGGAAAAATGAACAAAACTAAAATTTTCTTTACTTTGTTTTTCTCTTTATTTCCTTTTGAAGATTGATCGAGCGAGTGCAGGTAATATTAAACGCAGCAAAGAAGAAATTGCAGCGGATCCCGAACAAGAGAATATATTTGGATATACCACGAGTAAGCATTAATTTTATTTTTCCTCTCTCAATAAAAAGCTTTTTAATTCAGCTTTTATGAAGTTAATAAAAAACACGTGACACATTAAAGAGAAGAAAGAATTAAATTTGAAAGGCGAATGAGAAGTAAATTTTATTTCATTAACATGTAGTAATCCCCAAGATTTTCAACAATTCTCGTTTGAGTCTTTAAGCATTAAATGAAAGAAAAGAAAATTTCCTTTTCTCTACAATAATAATAAACTTCCTTTTTCTTGGAAAATATTTCTTTCTTCCATTCTATGTATTAAACACAAGAGAAACTGTAGGCCCCTTAAGTATCTAAGAAATGAGATGAAGTAAATGGGTGATTCAGTTGTGGAAAATTTAAGGCTCTTTTGAAACGAGTTAGAAATTATGTTAACAAGACTAATCACAGCGATCGCTAAACCTTAATTGCAGCAAGACAAATAATACAAAAGAAAAGAATTAAGATTTTCTTTATGCATTTCATTTTTCTAATCGAGAGGAAAAGATCCATTAAATATTGGAGCTCATAAAGAGTCGTAAAATATAGAAGCAATAAAAATGACTTTTTACGATGTCCAAGTATTATAACAATTCAACTTTTCCAATTTTCATTTCTTTACTCTTCACCCTGTGTCTCTCTTTCATTGTTCTCACATCTCTCTCACATACTCTCCCAACTTTTCTCTTCTAATTTTCTCCCATTCATGAGCAGGAAAGTTTTTCTTTTTTCCTTTTGGCATTTTCAGTAAAATAGAAAAGTTTGTAAAAAACACTTTGCTTTTGCATTTGTTAGTTGTTGTATATTTTATGTTTTCCATTTTCAATGTACAAATTATAAAGGATAAACTGCATTAAACTAGTGCTTTAACTTAGTTTTGATTGCGTGAAAAGCCATTAACGAGTCAGTTTTAAATGTAAATGATTTAATATATGGAAAGAGCTGAAGAACGAAGAAAAAATTCTGTGAAGAAAAGAAAAGAAAAACTCTAAATTTGATTTCAAGTGGAAATTTTTGTGCATTTTTCGCCCCTATAATGAAACAAGCTTTTTTCGCTGTCTTTAATGATATGTGAGTGAGTGTAGTGAATACTTATGCTAATTAGAGGTGTCGGAAATCATTAGTTCCATCAAACAAGCCTACGATGAGTTTTGATCGGACAAAGGTGTATTAATTTACAACAACACGACTCATGAATTTTCATGTGGCTTTTTAAAAGTATTTTCGTGTTTTTGATTCCGCTGTCGGATCATTTACAAAGCGTCTGTCAAAGTGTTCAGATTTAAAACTCGCAGCCATATCGAGAAAAAAAAACAATATATCGTTTTAATGAACTAGAACTTGAAAAAACAGAAAGAAAAGGGAAGCAAGAAAGAAATCGAGAATAAGACTTCTCTGAGTGATGAAAAATTTTCCTCGATATAAGAGAAAATAATTTCTTTTTGTATAAGAAAAGCATCTAAAGTATACAAGTGGGAAAAATTCATGCCAAATATTTAGCTAGAGAGAAGAGAGAAATGAAAAAAAGATGTAAACCATAATGTCAGATATTTAACAAGATGTGAATTTATGTATTAAAGCTTACATCAAATGGTTAACAAAAAAATTTTTTTTTTGCTTTCGTCTTCTTTTCACTCGTCTCGTGCTCTTTTGCTTACTTACTCTCGCTTCCCCATGCTCATCAGTCAGTGGATCTTTGATTGAATGTGCACATTGTTTATCGGATTTCTACACAGCTCATTGAGCAATCAACGCAAAAAAAAAGTAGAAACGAGAGTCTTTTAATGGGCCAAATATTTCATGATGTGAAATTAGCTTATAAATTACATAGCAATAATTCTTGTCAATAATTTATCGTTGATTCTTTCAAAAAATGAAAATTCTTTTTTCAATTTTGTTTTACATTTATTGATTTCACTCCCATAAAACTTTTCATTTTCATCTTGCTTCAAATGTATGTAATGTTTCCATGAAAAGTGCCTAGAAAATGTGTTGGCAATTGTGCCAAAGTCGTAAAGAATCTTACAACAGAGTTTCATCTCCAAAAGATTATTTCACCTCCCTTACTTACGCGTTTCAGTATGAGACTTGTGAACATCATGTGTTTGCCAGTTTCATGTTTCTTTTTAATGTTGTTGATCGAAACTAAAAGAACAAGTTTTATTAATCCTTCTCCGACAATATTTTCCCATAAAAAATAGACACAAAAGTGCCTTTCTTATATCAATAGAAAAAAGTCTCGAGTGTAATTCAAACATGTATGATTTTGTGCTTGTGATACTTGAAATGCCTTTTTTTAACTTTTCATTCTGTTTCGTATTTTTTTTTCGCTTCATCCCTTGACACAATCGGTAGTGTCATAAAATCTGTCACAAGAATTTCGATGACAGTTTTTCTTGCCGCCTTTTCTCTCTTCTTTTATTTTGTCCCCAAAGAGGGGAAGAAAGCATAAAAAAGCGTTCAGCTTTTGCGATATCCAGCACAATTAATCACAACATCAAAAACTCATCTCTCGGAGAGAAATGAATACAGGAGAGAAAAATAAACATGCATGAACCCTAGAACGACATCGACGAGAATCTAATTCTAAATAAAGGGCTGGAAATGTTGTTCAATGTTGAATAAAATATTAAAAGTTGTTTATATCATTTATTTACAATTCTCGTTTCTATTGTGATTCCATTTTTAGCATCGCACAGAGTTCTGCTTTATTGTATTGTGAAACAGATACGTTTTGAACAGAGCTAAAAGACCACATTCAATAAATATGAGCAGAGCACATCAATTTAGTAATCAAAGTGGACTCATGCAAAACGCATTGGTGGAAGCGAGACTTCTTTCTTTCTTTCTTGCTTTCTTTCGTTTTTTTTTTCTATTCGGTAGTTCGCGATATTTTGGATCGCTGATTAATGTGAATTATTTTCTCGACAGATTATTCCAACTGTGATTGATCATCGATATCAAAATACGAATTAAAAGAAAAATCATAGAAAAGAAATATTTCTCCTAGCTTCGTGAAATGAATTCGGTAGTCAGTTGATGAATTATTGAAATTCTAGAGGGGCAAGAAGAATAAAAGTAATTTGAGAAAAGAATTAGTCAAACTTAGTTATAAGAATATTAAAGGAAAAAAAAGTCGACGTGAAAATAGCAGCAAAATTTTTGAGGATTCTGTTGTTTAACAAAAAATATCAAGATTGAAATTTTAATAATGGAGACGATATCCGAGGAGGACGAGATTGAAGGTAAATAAAAGAAAAGCTCATTTTGTATTTAGAGCAGACGCGAAAAAACCCACAAAAACGTGCTTCCATGACTCCCATTGATGAGATCTTCAGAGGTTTTTTTTTCATCGAAATAAATATCTAATGGAATAAAATCAAATCTTCTTCTCTCTCTTTTTTTTGTGTCCACTGATAAATGTTATTTTATTTTCGTCCTGAGAGCTTTTCATATCCCAGACGATTTCAATGGAAATTAATTTTTTCTTTGATAACTATTTCTTCAGACTAAATATTCAATGAAAATGTTTTTTTGCCCTTTGTAGATAAAATAAAGAAACGCTATGGAAATTTGGGGAATGTATTATGTCACACAATTGATCGGGGAGCGAACGCAAACATTGGAATCTCGCTTGCGGGTCATCGCGATCGTAATAAGATGGCATGTTTCATAGCTGGAATTAATCCGAAGGGGATTGCATCATCGACGGGTGGGTTGGAGATTGGTGATGAGATTCTCGAAGTAAGTCGTTTTTTATGCAATAAGGTTTAGGGATATTTATTTCAAATCTATCTTACTAACAGGCAAATGGAGTTGTATTGCATGGGCGGTGTCATTTGAATGCTTCGGCAATAATTAAAGGCCTTCCAGGGCCAGTCCTTCAGTTAATAGTTCTTAGGTAACTAAACGACTATCTCGTTTATTTTTTTAATTGTTAATCGCAAGTGTCTGATGTGCCTTTTAATTTATTGCTTCGTTATCACCTCGGGCCACTTTTTTCTATGCACGCAATTTTGATGATATACGAAAAACAAAAAATAGGAGAAAACAGGCTGTAGAAGATTTAGCTGTAAAACCGGTGACTCAATTTCCTGTTGAAATATCCAATGAAGACGCTTTTGCCAGTTTTAAGAATGTTCGTCATGTAACAATCAAAAAGGTAAATGTTGGAAAAAGATTTTCTTAAGAAACTCACAAGTCAATTGTATGATTATTGTTAACAGGGAAACCAAAGCTTAGGAATAATGATAATAGAAGGTAAACATGCGGAAGTTGGACAAGGCATCTTTGTCTCCGACATTCAAGAAGGATCTAGCGCTGAAAAGGTAGAAAATAACTTAACACTTAAATGGATGATAAGAAGAAGAAAGAAAGAAAGAAAGAGAAAAGTAATTTAAATTTTAAATTGAATTATTAAATTATTAAAGGCCGGACTCAACATTGGAGATATGTTGTTAGCTGTGAACAAAGATTCGCTTTTGGGATGCAATTATGAAACGGCAGCTAGTATGCTTAAGAAAACTGAAGGCATTGTGGTGCTAACTGTGTGCAATCCTAACAAGAAGGATATTAAAGATAAAGAAGAAATAAAAGACAAAGAAGCTGATCCAAAACATCCAAGCCGTCCCGTTACACCAAAACCTCAACCATCACCTGCGAAAGAAGTTCCTGCCGATCCAGCGACATGCGGGATTGTGGCAAATCATAATATTCACATTGAAATGAAATTGGATAATCAACCAATTGGAATACAAGTTGCTGGTGGCAGTGATACTTTAGTTAATGTGAGTTCAACGACATTTTCAATGAATTTCCATTAAAGATGATAAATTTCCAAATATTATGTTACAGACTGGCGTGGTAATAGTTAACATTATACCTGGAAGTATTGCCGACAAAGATAAGCGATTGCAGGTTTTTGATCAAATAATTGAAATCAATACGACGAAGATGACATCGGAAATGTCAAGTGAGCTTGTTCAAAGGGCGGTAAAGCAAGTGCAATCAAAAGTGAGCTTTCTCATATTCTCGCAAGAACTTTTTGATACCATTAATCTTACGCTTAGGTGAAAATGACAATTTATCGAGCAGATCCAGCTGAAGTTGATACAATTGAAGTGGAATTGACGAAAAAATCCGGAAAGAATCTTGGTATTGGATTTTTCACAACAAATCCTCGTGGAATTCTCGTTACCGATATCGTAAGAAACATCAAAAATATTTTAAAAACTTTATGACTTAACAATTGCGTTTATTTTAGATTCCTGGAGGTCTCGCAGATCTCGATGGCCGCATCCAAAAAAGTGATATTGTGACACATGTCAATTCAGAAAATATAAGCAATATGAATTTGGATGATTGCTCGACACTTCTAAAAACCGTTCAAGGAAAAGTCGTTTTGAAGTTGCTGAGAGCAAAGCCGAAAAAGCGAACCAGTTAAAGTAAAAAACTCGAAGCCAAAGTTACAAGCTCTTATGTGGACCTTTTCTTATCCCTCCGGCAAGTTGGATACAAGCTAAAGAGAGATTGAAAAAATAAATAAATAAAACTTATGACATAAGAAAAAGAAAATTCTAAATAACTAAGTTAAATGTCAAAGATTAGATTTTTAAATTTATCATCGTCGTCGGTCCTCTTCCACCCATGAAATATATTTATATAGATATAATTATATTTTTTTGGAAAAGCATGAAGTCGAATCTAATCATGTGTGGAAACTCGGCGTTCAGCAGAAGGTTTTTACTATCGTAATCATTGTTGCCTCTCCTACTTTTTGATGTTCCATTTTTGTTACAACAAGAAAAAAACTAACTTAAAAATTAATTAAATTATAAAAACATGAATCAATTATGTCAACAAAAACGATGCTAAAATTTTTGTTCAAAATAATGCAATTTTATATTATTCAGAAAGTCGATAGGAAAAGAAGAGAATAGAAAAATAAATTCAAAGTTTATTGGTGTTGATTAGTCGATAAAAACGCAAAAACCACTAAGGATAACAAGCAAAGCAAAGCAAAAAAAACTCCATCTCTTAAGTAGAAAAAAAAAGTTTCTTAATCTTCCAGATTACGTGTCCAAAAAAAGTAGTTAATACATATATTCATGAACGAAAATAAAAATACTTTCCAAAAAATCTGAAAACGAAAAAGTTTTTTTTTCATTCTACGACACAATTTTCGAAAAAAAAAATCGAGAAACAAAATCTAATGGGATATAAAATCATTTCAATCTCCAATGACGATGAAATATAAAATCCAATATTAAATAAAGATTTAAGGAAAAAAATATAAGTAAATACCAATGAAGATGTTTTTAACTTTCTGAAAGCTTTCAGAAAAGCTTTAAAAGAGCTTTTATGGTATAAAATATGTTCTGCCAAACTGGAATCATGATGATTATTTATGGGAGTGTTTCTCAAACTTTTTTCTACGGTACTAAAAATGTAAAAGGCTGAAAATATGCTCAAAAAAATTAAAATTACGATTTGAAAAATGTTTGAGAATCACTTGACTAGAAGATTATTAAAACACAACATGAATTATTTTTAAAAATATCTATTTTTGATGTTCTTCTTTTATTTCCAGTACATTTTTTTGTCATTCTCAATTTTTAATTAAATTCTCTTCTAATTCTCAACACTTTTGCTGCTACAGAAAATGAAAGTTAAAAATAAATTCACATTTAAAAGAAATAAATTTTCATTGCTAATGTATTCTTAATTAATATCAATCTTGAAAGTAAATTCAACTACCGTACTTTCATCATTGTTTTTAAATGATTTAATTTATGCTAACTTTCCATTTATTCATAAGGTATAATTATTTTCTTCTTAAACAATTTTTGGTGAAATAAATACATCTTGCATAATAAAAAGATATTTTCTTGATAACTTAATTCAACGATATCTTGCACCAAAAGACGGAAAGAAGAAGTCAATTTTTTTCATTATAATTTTTAGATTTTTTCTCTTTTAAATTTAGCGTTTTCTTCGGAAGCAAATATTCGGCACTGAAAGGTTAAGTATTAAACCATTAAAGCTTCTAGAGTGAGCTTTCGATATTTTCTCGGGAAAACGCTTGAGCTTTTTATGTTTAATATGAATGAAAGCAAGCAGAGGCTCATAATTTCAATATAATTCGAAATGTTAAAGAATTCTCTTCTCATTAAAATAATAAAGACAGCTATTACATGAAACATCAAAGCATCACTCTGAAGCTTCATGGCATATTTTTTTTTGTTACCTATTTAATCATCTCGCTGGAGGCCACTTTTTAAAAAGAGATTTTCCCTAATAGCTATTCGAATGATTACCGACAGAAGTTAGAAAAACAAAACAAATAATCGCAGATATTTAACATTTTCATTTCGTTTCCGATTGGTTTTTATTAAATATTATTTTAAAAAACGTAAGTAAATATTAAAGCAAAACCCAAGCAACACAATTGCGAAAAACTCTCTTTCCTACTTAATAAACATCTCAACAAGAGGATATCAACATTAAACATAAGATGAGATGACTGTTACTCTAAAAACTGCTCTAAAAATTGAACTTGTCGTTAAAATACTCAGATATTATTTTCTTTTAAAATTCTCGCAATTCATCTTACAGATTCTGAACAATTTAAAATGATATGAATTGAAAAATCATCTGTGAGTGTTTCATATTTTGGATCGAAAATCTTCTTTTTTACTGTTCTGTATTTGCTCTTATTCTTCTTCATAAACTGTGTCGCTATTCATCTTTATTATTTTTTCAGAATTTTTGTCATTTGATTTCTCAGCCTCTCGTGAGTTTGCAAATGGCACAGTTATGTCTTATTGAAATGAAACATTTAATCTTAAATCGTTATATTCATAATGGTTTTCTTCATATTATGTTTCTTTTGAAAGGCGTCTACGAGAGGACTTTTGTAGAGAAAAAGATTTGTTTCTTCCTAAAGTGCAAATGACGACATTTTTATTTATTTATTTATTTTCAATCTTCCATTTGTTTCATCATGTTTCATTATCATTAATGTCTATGTTTTTTTTTTAATTCTTTATTCTCATCTACTTTAATTATGTGTATAGTTCATCGTTCACCAGTGTTGAAACAAATATTTAAACTGAATATCTATGAACGAACCATTTCCAAATACATCTCGAGTAAGGAAAAAGAAAATTAAGGGAATCTCAATTGCTTTTAGTTTCTCTTTTTTAATATTCTAATCATTTTTTTATATTTTTATTAACTTTTCTTCTGTCTTCGTCTTCATCTTCTTCTCAATTTTATATATTGCAGGAAAATATGTTTTTCTTTTTCTTTCTTCATTAATAAAAATATCATTTCTATCTTATGAAAGTTTATCGAGGTTTCTTTCTTCACACATTCCTGCTTCTTTCGAAACTGACTTACAACAAGAAAATTTCATAATGAGTGTAAAAGACTGAAAGAAGATGACTTTAGCGAGAAGGATCAGAGCATTAAAAGAACAGGAGGGAAGGAATTCATTGCTAATTGTTTCGAAAATTAATTGAAAAAGTCTTTTTTCATTTTATTTATCATCGCAATTAATTGAAAATTCCTACGTTTTGTGCATCACATTATGAGCTTATGTCAATAAAATGTTATTCAATTTCATTTTCAAATAAAATCTTTTAGCCTTTTTGTTCGTCTATCACGAACAATTTGAATGATATCAGAAACTAGATTTTATTAATTCTTTTTGTTTAATGTTGAATTGGGACATTAGCCTATTGAATGGAAAATTGACACGTTTTTAATGGTTTGAAATGACTTATAATATCTAAATATATTATGATGATAAATAAAGAATACATACTTAATACATGTATTTGCAACTGCATAGGTATTTTGTTTTAAAAAAGATAATCCATATTTAGCAAGCACTTTTTCTTATAATGTTGTCATTGTATACATATAATTATATGACAAAATATTAGACGAAACAATGATAGTTGGTTGTTAATAAAGATAAACATTCTGTTCCTGAAAAATATATTCCCATTGATTCTGCATCTATATATAGATAGTAGTAACCCTTTTCTCGTAAATATAGTAATAAATATAGATAATGTTTTCTAGATGATAGTAAGCTCATTCTACGCATAGTTTAATTATTATTGCCTTAAATCCTTTTTTATCTTTCCTCTCAACATTGAGATTTAGTTATTGTTACAAATGATTTGCATATCATTTTGTCTCTTGCTTCAATAATTTTTATGTTTAGCTTTGGAAAGCATTGCCCGATATCATTTCCATCAACTTGTCGCCTCACGTAAAAACGAAAACTGTCGTCGATAAATTAAAAACGTCAAACGCGGCTTTAAGAGAATTGTCGTAAATTCAAACGCAAGCATACGCACACACACTCACATACATATACATGCACAGCTTGTTTAACAGCTCTTAATGCGTTTCAGGAAAGCGTAACACATGATGCGTTGAAGCATTTTTTTATCCGTTATCATCTCATGTTATATATTTATTAATGTATCTTTTAAGGAGCTCAATGTGTTTGGCGAAAGATATTTTGTGTGCTTTTAGTCGTCGAGGAAGATTTTTATTTCAGCTTCACATTAAGTGAAAGCGATATTAAGAGAACTTTCTTATGCTTTTTTTTTATTTATTTATGTGTGTATGAGCTTTAGAAGCAACACTGTTCAGTTTTTATTATGTACATCATTTTAATAGAATTTACATTCAACTAGTTATGTTAACAGTTCTCTAAAGCCTGCATAATTTATTAAACTATTTTCATTTTTTCATCTACTTAGTTAAACGCTAATTTTTATAGTTTTTGATTTTTCTTCATTTTTTATCTTTTTTTTAAGAGCTGCTTAACACTCAGCTACTTCTTGTGCATAACAACTACCTAATTCGACTTTTTTAATTTATATTCTTCAGTATCATTCAGTAATCCTTCTTTCATTTTTTGTATTACTTTCACCTTAAGGTTGTAAACAGTAACCTTAGATAGATTTCATCAATTCGCGTTAAAAAATTGTTATAACTCCATGTTTCTATTTTTTTTTTAATTGTAAATCACATTCCATTTCTTCAATCGTTCTCGTTGAATGTAAATGATCTCAATCAATAAATTTTAATGTTTCTCTTTTAATACGTAATTTTTTTTCTGCCATAAGAAAAGCTTAGGCTAAAAATATTGATTTTGCTATAACAGAAGTTTCCTTCTCTTTATTTTTCCGATCTTTCATATGTAGACAACTGTTTTTATTACATGGTTGTTACCTTTATATTTTACGGCACTCATAGTTTCATTCGTGAGATCAACTCGACTGAAAATGAAAAAAGTGTGCAAGCGAGGTTGTTGAAGAAGAAAAACTCTACGCTTTTATCGTAAATATTTCATTAAACTTTTTCACTTGCTTGATATTCATCTGTCAGTTAAATAAACTTCTTCCTTTAAAGATACATTTTTGACTTTCAGTCGAAATTGCTACATTTTTTTTTCATCTCATATTTCAATTTAATATTCTAAGGAACTCAAAACTTTTGTTGTTTAAAAGAATAGTTTGACTTGCAGGTTGTTGCTGCTAAATATATGTTTAGTAATTAAACTGGCTTCTTAATAATTATTTTCTTTCTTTCTTTTACTTTTGAAAGAGGTTTGAAAATATTTCTTAGCTGAACATTTGCTGTAAACTCTGTTGTGTATGTTTGTCGCTGTTCAACTTCTCATATGATTTCATTCGACGATAAGTAATGGGGAGGGAAAACGTTCTTGACACAATTCCTGTGTAGTTTCATTTGCTATTCCATCGTACATCTTTTATGCTTTTGCAAGTAAAATTAAAACTGCATGATTTTTTTTAATTTATTTAAAATCATGATTTAAAACTTGTTTCAGTAAACTGAATGTCAGATTTTCGAAAACTGTCTCGATTAAGATGCGAGTCCTGAGAAGTCATGAAGATATTGAGCTCTGGAAAGAAAGAATTTTAGAAAAGAGTTTCGATTGATTTTTTCGTTTTATTTTCAGCAAATTTTCTAAAGCGGTTATTGAAAAATAGGAAATAAAAGTTTGAAGGGAAAAGAAAAGTTCATAAAAGTGTTATTCAAATAAAGAACAGGAAATAAATCTAATAAAGTTTTCATCTAAAAATGCTATTTTTATTCTTAACCCTCTCGGTAAAGTATGCTAAACAATTCAATTTTATTTTGGAATTGGAGGTGAAAAACAATCTTTGTTTTCTAAAATGAAGAACACTAATTTGATATAGGAGAAAAACATGCAATTCAAAAATACTTCTTATTGTTGCTGTTTTCAAATTGAACCGAATTTGTGTGTCACCACGTTCAACATACATTACCTCGCATCACCAAAAATGAAAATTAAAATCTTTATTCAAATGAACATAAAAGTTTAACAAAAAAAAGTTATGCTTGAATAGAAAACGTAAACGTGTATAGTGGAATAAATGTGTAACAATGTAAAGAATTTGAGAGAATAAAAAGTTTTCTTTTCATTAATTTAAAATATTCAAAAATTTCAAATCTTTCATATTCAAATTTTAACATGCTGAGTTGCAAGAAGAAAAAAGAAAAAATTTAAAACCTTTTCCATTTATTTAAATACTTAGATATGGAGATAAAATTGAATTGAATAAGTCAATCAAAATATAAACCGATTCCTTGACTTTGTAAGATAATTGTCAAATAAAATATTTACAAAAGGAAAATTTTGAGGCTTTTGTTGGAAACAAAAATTTAACGCATTTGAATACAGAAAATGGCAAAACAATTTTCTCATGAAATTATGTTAACATCATGTGACAACTCTCTTGATATGTAAAATTGTGTTTTGATCCAAACTCAAATAAAATACATAATTCAGTAAAATACTCAAACCAAACAGAGCATACATAAATAATCTAGTCATGTATAAATGTTAATGCAATATCTCACTTGTAACTTGAAGATTTCAACATTTCCATAGAGTTGGTAACTAAGGACTATTTCCTTCAAATAGTTTCCTAAACTCACCACTTTTGGGACGCGGTAGACTCATCCTCAAGCTTTGATTCAGTTCGGTTAAACTCATATCAGAATGAATCTTCTTTGGACTTTCGCTATCATCATCGCTATAACTGTGAAGTGGAAATATGAAGGATAATTTTTCTCTTGGTTAAGCATTTGTTGTATTAATACTCTAAGAAGTGAGTGGGAGGAAGAGAAAGGCTTTCTTTCTCGGTTCTTCTTTGCCGGTTTAATGCTTTGAAATTGAGCTAATTTACCTATTATTATGATTTTCTGCTTCGGCTGCTAAAGCATTCACAACAGCACTTATCGTATTTGTGTCATGGTTTCCATCTGCTTCGTCTTTTTGTGCCATGATATTTGGATTTTTTCCGATTTTGTTTAATCTATTGTATGAGCAAGGAAGGAAAATCATTAAATGCTAAAAGAAGCAGTAAATAAACAAAACGCTTTTACCTCTCTGCGGCTACAGTCTCCATTGTTTTTCTCATAAGAGGATATTGGTCAAGCACAGCATTAAAATGATCGACACTCAACGAAAATAAATTACAGTAAGTTTCCGATCGTACGCTTGCTACACGACGTGCATTAGTTAATAAACAAATTTCACCAAAATAAGAGCCATCTGATAATGAAGTAGCAACCTACAACATTAGATAATTTTGAATAGAAATTTTGAAAGTCATCATCATCATTACAAGCATAAATGGACATGGGATATGAATATGAATCAAGAGCTTTTACTGCTCTGCCTACCTCGCCATTTGCCATAACAATATCGACAATTCCTTCTTGAATAAAATACATTTTTGATCCTATTGTTCCCTCCTTAATTATAATATCACCTGGAAAAATAGAAGAGAGAAAATAAATAACAATATAAATATGAACAAGAAATGAGAAAAGGAAAATGGAAATAAAGAAATCGAAGTGTAAATAAATGACTTTTGTGGTTGATTCCTAATTTCCGGATGTTGACACACGGAAAAATGCTTGAAATGGTTAATGGTCAACACACATAGATAATGACGACACACTAAATACATACCAGGTTGAAAAACTTCGTATCTTAATTTAGTAACTACATCCGATACAAAGTTTGAGTCAGCATTTGCAAAAAAAGGCACTGAAGCAACCAACGACCTGAAACGAGTCACGAAAAACGCATTTGTAGACTAATGTTGGTGAAAAGAACATTAAGAAAGCGTAATTGTAGTCAGTTGTCGGCAAATCTTTATTTTTCCACCACTTTCTTTACTTTACTTTACTTTTGTTAAGGTTCAAAAGAAAAGAATTAACTTTTCAACTCAACTTACCTACAGTTGTAATTGATCACATCCTCCCGCAACTTCTCACTCAACTCGCCCAAAATAACATCCTCGTCAAAGAATTTGCCCTGGTAGCGATGCTCGAAGTATTCGGTAATTCTCTGCCGCATATCTCGTGGTAATTTTCGATACGCCATATACTCCTCGACTTGCTTCACCTGACAGTCGAAAAAACGAGAAAAAAAAGCACAAATTAATTAATGATGAGTTGTGAATATTTCATGCGGAGGAATAACGCAAAAAACAGCGAGTATGTATATGATGGCTGTTCGTTGGTTGTGCGGGACTATTATTATCTTCCAAAAATTCGTTATTAATATTTACAATATTTACATACATATAAGCTCGTCATATTAAAGCATTGAATATCATCGACATCATGACTTACCCGTTCGCGATATTGTCGACGGCTGGAGTCTAAACTCTGTATTAGATTGGTCGCATGTCCTAAAAATAGGGCATAACATGTTGCTCCAGATATCATAGATAGCATAGTTAGCCACATGTCTGTGAGAGATTGTGGAGGAAATCTAAAAACGCCAAAAGGAAGAAATGCACAATTTTAGTCGTAAATAATGGGAATTGTCAAAAAAGGGATTTTTGAGAAGGCAGATGCGTGTCAATGATGATAGCGTGTTTAACGCATATAATTTATTCAGCCCTTACCTTCCGTAACCAATGCATAACATATGTGACATGGCTTTAAACAACGCCCAAGAGTATTGTTCCAACCAGTATGCTTCCTGCAGAAAAGAAAAAAGAATTATGGTACAAATGGCAAATGAGAAACTATGTGTGTATACATTGTAGAAACAACAGCAACGAAAAATAAAGTGAAATAACTGTCGAGCCAACTGTTTATTATTCAAGATTTATGATTTATTTATGCTCGGAAATACAAAACCGGGCTATGAGAAATAACACAGAAAAAATAATTTTGAATTTTCCCGAATATTTATCTAAATCACATAACAAATATTTCACATATCATTTGATTTTGATGTTGCTGATTATGTTCGTCGCAATGTCATTGAAAAGGTTTTAGGAAAGCGAATTCTCACCTGAAGCTCGTTTATGGCAACCCATGAGTTGGAAGGAAATCCTTGAAGCATTGGAACTAAAAACTGTAAGCAACCGCTCCAGTGGCCGATCAATAGCATCATACAGATTAAATTAAATATGCGCATAAATACCGACGCCATGTTAAGGAACTAAAAATAAAATTTTAAATCAGAGAAACAGAGAGAAATTGAAAATTGATTAAAATTTTTGAACGATCTTTCAACCGATGTGAATTAAACACATCTTATGAAACGATGAAAAATGGTGCATATTAATGACGAATTCTTATAACTTTAATTTGTTCTTATTATGTAACTGATCACAGATTATTATTTTTTAAACACATAAGAATTTTTAAAATACTTTTTTGTTTTAGTAAAATGATAAACGTTTTTAAATTTCAGCATATTCACAGGCTTCTACAGATTTTCAAATTTTTTAGAAGACTGAAAACAATAATTCACTAAATACTGAACGACGAAATAGGAAAATATTATAATTATTCGAATTTCGAGACTAAATGGTAACAGAAACAGACGATAAATTTTCCAAGTAAAAGAAAGAAAGAAAAAAAAGTTTAATGAGAGAAGTAATAGCAGTCAGTGAAGGAACGAGCGAACAAAAAGGCAATAACAAAACTATTTACATAAAACAACATTCGAAGCATCTATAAAATGCTCAAAGAAAGATTTTTTTTTTGTTTTATAGTTAAAAGCATCAACAACAGTAATCGACTTTCGTTTACCTAACTAAAATATTTATGCTAGATTTTTGTAATTGTTTACACTACGAAGGAAATTTGGAAAATAAAATTTACTAACTTTATGAAATTAAAATAAGATAAATTAACAAATGTCAAGATCAAGAAGAAAATTTTAATAAATATTGGAAAAAGTAAAGTTTAGGGACGTCGTGTTGAACGCAACAAGGACTTTATTTTTTCTTTCTTGTCGAAGGGATGATTTACTTCCTTAAATTAAAGCCCTCAATTTCCAATTATCGCTTTACATAAAATTGAAAACATCATCATCATCATCATTAACTTTGTTTGCATTATTTTCTCAACACAAACAGTCTCATTCAATAGTGTCGACCCATCGTCTTTCCCAAGTTTCGTCTGAATTTATCACATTTTCTTTCTTTGCTTTAAAATTTAAAACTCTAAGAGAGAAAATGACAAATAAAAATCAAAAGAAAGTTAAAGCTTTAGATTAGTGGGTTTGCTGTGAATTTAGAATTATTTTCATTTCTTTGTTTCGATAACTTAATACCGATAAAAGGCTCTTAACAGCCTTAATCCATGTATTTATTTATTGTATCAAAGATTTATATCTTATCGATAAGAACTGATAATATTTTAAAAGGTTTAAAGGCAAAAAGGTTTCGTAAAATAACATGAGGTTAAGGAAATATTTTTAAGTGGTTTCATCGGAATAATTTTTGATTGCAGTCTCAAAAAAAATTTAAGGAAATTATTGGAAACATTTTGTTGCATTTTCAATTAGAAAGAAAATCACGAAATCAGTTTTTAGTCAATACTTAACCTCATCCATAAAATTTTCAACATCAATCCATTTTAAATTAATACTTAATATGCTAGAGAGCTTTGAATAGTTTTAGAGCAAGAGCAGTTGAGTTGAGGCAACAACAAAATACAAAGGCAATCATGAAGGTTCTTTTCAAAATGAAAATCGCTGATAATTGATTTTCACACATAATTTCTGAAAGTTTCCTAGCTGCTGATTTCAGTTTTGCCTTCTCAAACTTTCCTTGAGATCTGATTTCAGTTTTGTTTAGTCAAGGTGCTAAAAGTTCGCTATGATAGTCTCCATTAAACTTTCATGAAGATATATTTACGTTCACATTACATGTTAAATATTGTGTTGTTGTTATATTCATCAAGTCGAATGTTACAGACATTTTAGTAGAGTCTTATGTAATAAATATTTTTCCTTCTCTATCCTTTCGTCTTATTTACAAAATTAAGATTCTAACGCTCATTTGTTCTATCACAATTTATTTTTTTCCCTCCCCCCACATGTGTTTGGACGAAAGACTAATGGAAATGGGATGGACGTGTTTATAGATTTTGATTGAGAGTCTTATAAAAACTTTAAGGGATATTTTTGTCCTTGAAACTTTAGTTTGACTATCAGCCTTACAAAGTGTGGAATTGATGTAAGGTCATTTGTGGCGATGTTTTTTTTATTAACATTAGGGTGACTGTATGTGAATTAAAAAACTATTATTGTTAAAGTGTTTTTGATGACTTTTCCGTAAGAATATTAAATGAGTCATTTTCTAGTCAGCCGATCATTGTTCTATGTCATTTATATCTTAATAAAAGGGACAGAAGACTGCTTAAGATCGATAAAGAATTATTTTTTCCCTTTCGCTCATGCTCTTAAGTCTAAAAGTCATGAACAGAAAACAAATCGTGATAATATCATAAACACATTTATATATACACATATAAAATATTCTTTGCAAAATATAATGTATAATTAAATACATAATTTATGTTGTTCAGCATCCAATGAATGAGTAGGCAAATTTTTGTTGAGTGATTCATAAATAATTTTTCAACCACAATTAAAAATCCATTAAAAATATTTCTCTCATTGTCGACTTTAAGACCTTTTCATAAGAAAGAAAGTATTGAAAATGTTTATTAATTTATACATTTAGAAACTTAGAAACTTTAAGAAAAAAAAACGAATGGCTTTCAAACTTTAAAATATGTAAAAGAAGAAAGTTTTATTTTAGAAGTTCATTCAAAATTATCACAAGAATGAATAAGACATTAAAATGTACAAAAATTTCTTTCAGCAGTTTTTAAGGATCGAGCTGAAGAAAGAAAAAGAATTTGAAAGTGCAAAATAAAGCTTTTTAATAATTCAGCAGCATACAGTGCATATATGCAAAACTTCGTCAGATTATCTGCTTCAAATATTTATTAAAATTATCAAATCAAATCAACCAACATAAATAGAATAATTGAGAAAAATTAAGCTAACTCAAAGGAAACCTTTAATCCTGATTATGCGGTAACCATAATAAGTCAGTTTATCTTTTATTTATGATTAAAAATTAAGGCTCATCTGATCTCAAAATATCTTTATTGCATCATGAGCCCAAATGACTCATGAACCCATAAATCTTATCGGTTTTCTTAAATATTTTAGGACCGAGATGACGCTAGAAATTAACCTACATGTTTAATATATATATGAGTATGTATATAAGCTCTAAAGTTTGCTCAATTAATAATGTAAGGCAAGAGAAATTGTCGCTTACTTCCTAAAGCCTATAAAGAAAAAAAAAGAAGCTATGTAGCAATTTAAATGATCAAACCAAACCTGAACCTATCCTAAACGAAAGACAAATGCACAGAGAGAACCTTTTTCGTATTTTTTTCTTTCTGTTCCAGCAAATAAGAACAAAATACTTTAAAAGGCTTTTGCAAATTTCTCTTTTTTTTCACCAAGAAAACAAAACAGAAAAAAACTGAAAAAACAAATGTTACGAATGTTTAAGCGTATAAAAAGCATAAAAATTTTAAGACAAACACAAAAACCGAGATGGCAAAGTTTTAGTCTCTTTTTCATTAAGCAAAAAAATAAAAGCTTGGAAATGCAAAGCCGAAGAAACAAATTTTCGAGTTGTAAAGGGCTTATGGTGAATATTGCGGTTTATAAATAATTTTTTTTTAATAATTCCTGTTGGAAAGCTTCAATGATATTGGACTTTTAAATGAAGGGAGAAATGATGGCGATGCATCAAAAATCAAAAGAAAAAAGGGGAGAACAAATCAATATCTGAAATGTGTGCTTTGAGTTGTATTTATCACAAGATTCACCAGACTTGCCACTTATATTCATCTTTGCTCAAGCTCATGGCTCTTCTTCACATCGCAATTGATTGAAAATCTCTCAACGACCTCACATTTCACTGAACACCTTTCTTTTTTTCATTTTTCAATGAACGAACGAAGGTAGCAAACAAATAAAACAATTTTGTTTGTCGCACTGATTAAAGACAAAACAAGAACGAATGAACATTACTTATAACGCTTATGCAATCATATAAATAGATATTTAATAATTATTGCAACTTTGCGAGCACATAACTTTGACCTAAATTTGATTTCATTTAAACTTATACATATTTTGTTTCTGATATATCAATACATATGATGGTTATTTTGATTACATAATAAAATGGCTGATGTAAATGTTTATTATTTTATTTTAAGAAAAAAAAAAGTTTGATTTAAAATAAATAAACTTCAAAAGCGGCAGGCTCGAGATTGAGTTTCAAAAGCTAAAAATAAAATTACCTTAAAAATAAGACTGCTTTTAGAAAAGCTCGTCTGTTTATCGCCAGACCTCCCTCTGCGATCTGTATGTTTTTTCTGAAGATTTTGAAGAATCTAGTCGTCACGGAATTAAAGTGTTAGAGAAAAACGAGATGTAGCATGAAACATGACAAAATGGAAAAGATTTTTGTTTTCGATTTGATTTCTGATATTTAATATTATTATGAACTATTTTATTCTAAGTTTCGTTTGTGCTGAATTTTGCTTTCTATTTTGTAGTCACCAAACTACGAGAGTTTGGATCGAAACATGATCGCTTACGATTGTAAGTATGTTGTTAAATCACATGAATAAATCAATGATAGTGTAACAGAGAACTAACTACAATGTTTTACATATTTCTCTTACAACATCGTTTGCATTCAACTCTAATGAGTCATTGAAATTAATTACAAAGTCTTTCCCATCATCCTTTTCCTTCTTTTTGTTTTTATTTTATTTTTAATATAAACACTTAATGCAAAAGAAAAATCTTATAAATTATGATAACCGTATAATAAATATAAAATCGATGAAGTGAAACATAAACTAAAATAATATGTCTCGTTTTTCTTTTAAACTTTTATTCTCTCTGAAAGTTTTGCGATGATGTTTTTAAAATGAATTCATAACTTTATATTTATATTTGTCATCTAAAAGATAAACTGAGTTTACGTTTTGTCTTCATTTAAAACAATATAACTTAAGGGTTTATAAAAGAAAGACGACATTAAAAACGTTAAAGTAAACGAAAGATTGTTTTTAAATGATGATGATGCTGTTGTGATGCAATGAGAGAAAAATCACTCTAATTATGCCTCAGTCTTTTTTAAATAGTGACACAGGGCTTTCCATTGACTTAAACGTTAAAACAATGATATCTTCTGTTTCTTTCAAGCCATTCAGGGACTCATTAATTTGCGCCGCAATTGTTTGGCACTTTCCAGCCTGAAGTCATGCAAACAAAAAAACTCAGAAAAATGTCAATAAATTTCTCTTACTCATTAAAAAGATTAAATAAATTAAACAAAGCAAGAGACTTAAATGATGTCTTGAATACATTTGCCATTTACTTTACTCTGCATGATCCCAGCTTGATAAAGAAACATAAAAATTTGTGAGAATATTTATGTGAAAAATGAGAAAAAAGTTTTTCTTTTCTTTAAAATAAAATAAAGAAATATTTAAGTGAACTCATATTAGACTAAGAAGCTTCACTTCACGAGAAAGTTCAGAGAATATCCTTGGAAGTAAGTTCGAAGCGAAGGAAAAATGGTAATTAGATATGCCATCAGAATAAATTTGCAAATCATAAAACGGTTAAATATCTTCCGTCAAAACTCTGAATTCTAACGGCAAAGGAACGAAAAAAGTAAAACATTCAATCTAATATCATGTACGGGCTGTCATTTGAAAGCTCATTTTCTCTTCCTTTTGCCTACCATAAGAATTCAAAAAGTAAAAAACGATTGTGACAAAAGGAAAGGAAAATTGCGAATGAACGAAAAAGAAAATCAAAAAATGTGTTTTCGTTTTCTTATTTTTTTTTTGGGGAAAGAACTTTGGTGAATTTACATCTTTTTATTAGCAAACTTTCAAAAAACATCTAAATTCAAAATGATAATCAAATTAGTGGTTTCACTGGCTATGAATGCTTCTATAACAACCTATATAAGCATTAACAGTTTCATTATTTATTTTGGCTTTTACAATTTGCATGTTTAAAAATGTTTTTAATCACGTTTTATTTTGGGGCGAAAACAAAAAAAGAATTTTAACATAAGGGTGGAGTTATGATAGATGAAACAAAGTAATTATGTTTATGCTGATACATGTTTTACGACACTCAACGGAAGTAAAAATACCAAAATAAAAAGAAAACTTAAACATATAAGGATAATAAATACGAATATGAAGTGTAAGAAGAAGGAAAACCCTTCATCATAAATTCTAAGAATCTTTACGATGCATGGTGCGAAGGTTTTTTACTCTCTTTAAGAGAAATTAATTAATATTGCTTTCTCTTTTCTTCAGAAGCATTACGCTTGATGTATTATCATCATTATCTAAATTTTTTTAATGTTGTTGCTTTGCAGGATTGTGGGAGTTTGAGTATAATAATGTGTTGAAGAATTGTAGAGAAAATTATGAAGAGAAAAAGAGACAAAGATACATGTTTAGAAAGGTTTGCGTACTCATAATCAATAATCCAAAAGTTTACGTAAAAGGAAAATATTAGAAGAACATAAGAAATCCTTTTGTTGGTTTCTACCTGCTTTTTTACTTGGTTTTTAACCATAATAAGTATAAATTTTGCGTGGTCAAAGGTTAGACAAAAAAAAAAGACGTAAAAATGAGAGAAAAGCATGCAATATTAATTTGTACGGTGAATCTTTTATCTTTATTTCATACGTTTTTGAATGTTTGTTTCCGTTTCAGCATAGAATAAACATGAAAGGTTTTTCTTGTCTTTATTTCGGAAATCATTGATTGAAAGTTTTGTATTTTTGATCTTTTCCGTATTACCTACGTTTTGCGGTAAAAGAGGTTATTGCGCAAATAAAAAAAATACTAAGTGGAAAGGTGAAAAAGGTAAAAAGTTCATCGTGGAAGAATAAAGTTAAAAAATGAAAGAAATGCCAACACAAAAGTTTGTATACTTCTGTTCTTATTTCCGTGTGAAGCAATTGAATTCTTTTCTCATGTGAGTCGATGCTTTCGTCTGAATTATTTAACATTTTCATATAAAATTTATATGTTAAAGAATTTTTCTGTTTTTTTTTTGGTTTCAGGGGGTGGAAGAAAAAAAATTCAAATCTCCTTAGCTCGATCATCAATTGGAGATTTTTTTTAGTGGAATAAAGAGAAAAGAAGAGAAAAAGAGAGAAAGAAAGAGTTAAGCTTTATACTTACATAAACTTCTTCCCATTGCGATACATAACGCACTAATCTGGAGAGTCTTAACAGTCTTACTAACGATAGAAGCTTCGCCAACCGCAGTATACGTAGCGCTCGTCCCGCGTGCAAGATTTGAAATGAGTCGGAAAAATCCTGGAACAGTAATTGAAATGTTTCGTGATAACCTCAGCATTGAAAATCATTTTATTGTACTACCCCGCCCATTCTTTGCTCTTCTACCTCATTTAATCAATCCCAGATTAATGTTAAATTACAGTGAAATGATAAATGGATGAAGAAATGCTATCACAACATGGGAAAAATCCAAAATGTTACATGAAGGGATGCAATCAATATGTTGGGTCACGCAATTTAATGTAAAAATTGATCTTGACTTGAATACCAACTTATCGTATGAACCGAATGAGCTTACAGAATAAAAATATAAAAATGCTACCTAGATACGTGTACATAATATTGCAATCACAATTGAAAGTTGAAGATTGATTTTTCTCATGCTGCTTTCCAATCAATTCGAAAGTACAAGAAGAAAATAATAAAAAGTTACCATGGCGTTCACTTTCAAATGATTTCGCAGAGGAAAATTCTTTAGCGGAAAGAAGAAAAATGAAAATCTTATCGTAAACATGGACGTAGTTATAAGGTCGATTGATTTTTGAGGCGAACGTCTCGCTCGAGCCATCCCAATTCAATTTTTTAACCCCCGATACACCAAACAATAAACTTGATATCTAGTGAGCGAGAGAACTTTGGGTCGACAGCCTTTGCATGAAAATCGAATAATGATTTACTCGTAGGAAATGAGATAAAGTTGTGCAAATTGTTTGCGATTGCTTCACTTATCCCCTCTCACTCTACTTGTTCAATTGCTTGCTTGACCTGGCGCTAACTTCATAATATTCTTCAATGAATATTGCTTGACAAATTGACCTTTTCTTCAGCATTGATCCCTAATAACTTTCCTTCGATATCATTGAAGCTTATAAATGGACATATTTCGTGAATAAACGAGACGATTTCTATAGGAAAGGGCAATAAAAATTTTGTATGAAGTGTTGTTGTATCATCATCAATATATCATAAAAAATGCCCTAAATATTTATTAGATTACGTTGTCGTCATTGGCGTTTGTGATGCTTGAATGTCTCAAGAATTCAAGATCAAAAAATCATCTCTAAAAACTACATGAAGATGATTATCACTAAGGTTGTGACATTCATTCATATCTTGTATAAATATGATGATTTCTATGAATGACTTTTGCTGTGTCTGTAAAAAAAAACACATTCAGAAAAGATGATGTTTAAACATAGTTTATGGATGATCATAAAAGGATTTCTTTCATAAACTCTCATAATGGTTTGAGGAAATTCAACTTTTTTCTTCTCTTCTCTGGATCAATGTAAGATATTCAAGCAGATCTATGTATTTATGTAGCAAAAATCTATTTGAACTTGAATTTGAGATTTTAAAAGGATTTGAAGAAAGAAGAAAAAAATACGAGACGTTTAAAAGTAAGTAAATATGAAGGGAGAAAGACTTTAAGATTCACTTAAAATTGAGCTGTTTACTCAATCTAAGACATTCAATTCCATTCCGTTTTCATTCCATGAACATGCTCGTATTTTGATAAAATAAAATTAAAATAAAACATAAACGATACAAACGTTTAACGCTGATTGAATGTACTGAAAAGAAGAAAGTAAAATAAATAATTTAATTGAATCAAAAAACTTAAATAAGATGTTTATGAGTTGGACGTCTTTCAAAGTTCTATTCGATTAAATGTTGATTCCACTTGAAAGAATGTTTAATTTACTTCTTTAACTGTGTAAACCAAAGGAAGAAATAATAATCTGATTTGAAAACCTATGATAAAGCAAAATATTCGTAATAATCTTGTTTAAATCGGTAAACATTTCATAATGTTACGTCTTCATTCACTGAATGTTTAAATGAAATGTCATCAATTTAATGTGCGAATAATGCTTAGAAATTTATTAACTCTGCTTAAAAGAAATGCTGCGCTGACAAATTCTTCTGAAGACAAACGGCAGAGGATTCCAAAGTATTTTATCTTTAATGAAGCGCAGAATTTGAGAACAAAGGGTGGTCGGTTATTAAGAGGCAAAAAATGTAATTTACAGTAATAATTCATTTCCTCTTCAAAGATTAAGCAATCCACTCTTTAGCACACTGTGCCGAAACAGCAGTTTTCTTTCAACGATGTCGCTCATACACAATTTTGTTCTTTTCGTGAAAGTATTTCAATCTTTGACCGTAAAGGAGCAAAGTTTGTTAATTGGAAACATTCTTCGAAAATGAATCATCACCCACTCTTCTATTTATCCCATCAAGATAATAGCATGATAAAATTTATGACGAATTTTCGGCGCACAATTCTCTTTGACACATTTGTTGGACACGATATGAGTGCGCCTTAAATGTTCCTTTTAAGATAGCATAACAGGAGAAAGTTTCTTTCTTTCGAAAGCTATTAAAATATTAATCACACATCATAACTGGAAAGTTTTATCATCTTCTGAACAATGTTGAAACTAAAAGTTTCCCGCATTGAGATGAAATCGTCTCCAATCATATGAATTATTGAGGATTGGAAATAAACCAAAGTATTGATATCCATTCCTTGTTATTCAAGTTAAAGAAAAATACAATCGAAGGATGAGAAAAAATCAAATTCAATTTTCTCAGCTTACCCATCAAAAATGAATAAAAAATTGGAAACAAAAAATGATTTTTCTCATGGGAGCGTCCCAAAAGCCACCAACAACATTTTTTTCTTCCTTTTCTTACTTCTTTAGTTGTAAGAGAAAAAAGATTTTGACTTCGATGGAAAACAAGAATGAAGCTTATATTTATCGTTCAAAAGAAATTTTTACGGTTGTAACATAAAAGGATAATTTCGTTTGACAAAGCGGAATTGTATCGTAAAAATGGCAATTTAAACGATGATTGCTTTAAAATTTTTCCCTCTTTTTCGGAAATAAATAGAAGTTGAATAAATTTAAAATATTTAATGTTGATTTAAAACAATAAATGCGTTTTCTGAATCGAACCATTTCATGAGACAGAAATTATTCTAAATAAAAAATCATCACGACGGTGGATAGTTACCTGATTAAATATTAAAAAAATATAATCCAAAGGAATTGATGAGATTAAATCAAGAAAAAACCACGTTTTCAAGTAATGTTTGGCGATTAATTTGGGATCTAATATCACTTGCTCTGCATTATCTTGCTGCATGATGCCTGTGAAATAAAAAGGGTAGAAACAACCATAAATGAATCTTTTTGAAGCTTCACAATGTAATAAAAAGTAGGCAAGCACACTCACCAGTCCTAAAATTTACAACTATGTCAACCAGAAAAATTGTATCACTTAAACAGTTGAAGGCAATCCACCTCGTACTAAGATCATCGTTGAAAAAAGATATGGCTACGGGTAGAATAATTAAATTAGCTACAAGCAGCAACAGCATACACAAATCCCAATAAAAGCTGTAAGTAAACAAGAGAATGACAATTAGGGTAGTCAGTAATGTAAAAGTAAGCAGCAAGTACAATACAAAAGGAGAAAGATTAATGTTGCATTAATTTAAGTGAGTCAAGTGGATGTAGAAGGAAACGAGAGAATAATAAACAATTAGCATATTGAATTATAAACACTCTTCCAGGTAATTATCATGAGAATTAAGATGTCAAGTTGTGAAGCTTTTTAATTGAAATTATTATTGTTTTCACTTCATCTTGAATAATCTTTTCCTTCTCTCTGACTTTCAATTTAACTTTATCTACGTTAAACATCGACAGGGTTGGAGGATTCTAGAAAATGCAATAAATATTCAAGTGCAAATAAATTTTCATTCGACAGGAGGGAAAATCAGAATAAATGTTATTTCTTATGCCTATACATCTTTCTATCTCCTCAATAGTACTCTCATAGATGAGATAACAATAAATAGTCGACGGGCCTTATTAGTATTGCAAATAGCATTTCCTTCTTATTGTTTTCTTAAACAATAAAATGGCTCAGTCGAGAGGGAAAGAAGGAAAATATAAAAGGAAAACATTTACTCAAATTCTCTCTTGCAAACAGCAAATTTATTTATATAAAAAATTTCACCTCGCTGTTGTAGATATCTTGTTTACTAACAGGAGAATGTTTGCTTATCACGGAAAGAATGAATGCAAAAATCTATTTTGTTCTTCACAAATAAATGAATGAATGAATGAAAGTTCGTCTTTCTCATTTGTGTTTTATGTACTTGAATAGCGAATAAATTGAATAGGCAAAAGAAGAAGAAAGAAGGTTATAAAACTTACCGAAAGGAACTGCATGGATGAATCACCCAATGCCCGGCAGTCTTCTGTCGTATTCGTTCTTTCACTAGTGCTTTCTTACTTCCGAAGAGTTTCATAGCCAGCCGGTTGTCTGTTGGTTGAAACCATGCTTGCAATTGATTTTTAAGAAAATTTGATGACGTTTTCTCAGCCATAACTGGAAGGCTCGGCAATGGCTCTTCCTTTGGCGTCCCATAAAGGGACACATCATCAAAATGAACCTTCATGAATAAAAGATACACAAAAGGAATAAAAAATAAAGGAAAAAAAGGAAATTGAGAGAAGAGTTAGGTAAGAGTTTTGTCACGGATACTTCAAATGAAGAGTTTTTACCTTAGATTTCGACATGTCGTTCATGTAGTCGTTGATTAATAGCGCTTCATCATCCAACGCTGTCACCAAAGAGTCTGTGCACGTATTGTCGATCGACACTCTCAAATCGTTGTCATGACTCAATAAATTCGAATGAAATCTTATTGAATCGGAGCTTGCAGCGCTGAATAATCTAAACGAGACAATAAAGAAAAACAGAAGTGAAAATTTAATTTTAATCACATTTAAGTTGTAACAATGCAATGTTCAACAGGATTTTTTAATCCAATTTTTTATTTAAATAAAAAAAGCTATCAGCAGAACGGAAGCTCTTTATGCTTTATCCAATCGGATAAAATTACCAACTCGGATAGAAATGGTTTTAATTAATCCTCAACCGTGTTGGGAACATATATTTAAGTAATGTAGGTTAATTGCAGAATTCTTAATTAATGAATGGTTTTCGAATAGGCACGAGTAAGTTGACACCACAATGATTTATGATTTCTATGTTTCCATTACATTTTCAAAAGGGATAAATTATAAAATGTCATCGAGACAGATAGAAAAATCAACGCGACACGTGAAAGTTCAAGGAAAGCTTTTTTAAATATTTAAAAAGAATTATTCTATGAAAGCAACAATGGCGGATAAAATAATCTTCAAATGGAAGCATTCTGATTGCTTGTGTAGTTGAGAAAATATATTCTCATGTTCATGAGAATAAACTACAGTTTGACCGAGAATTTTCCATAACAAAACAGCATGCAAAGCTTTTAATTTGCATAAAAATGAAAACCTGTGTGGGTGGAGATTCAAAGGTTGAATTTAATCAAATTTATGAAAGTTTATGTTTTTTGTGTCTTGGCTGATGAGAATAAAGAAGAAATAAATGAAAGCAGAAATATTTAATAATGAGAAAATTATATCTGTGAATGAAACAAATCAGAGAAGTTTACAGAAATCCTTCAAGTTCTCTGCTTAGTCTTCTTAAATTATTAATAATTTATTTCTACATTCACATTTAATTATTCATGATATCACTTTTTTGTGTATTGACGTAGCTTAAGTTCTCACTGGAAAGACGTCATAAAATCAAATAAATTGCTAGTCATCTAAATGAAAGCGCTATGGAAAAATGTTCACACGACGAGAAGCAACGAGCATTTAAATGAAATTTTTTTTTATTTTGAATAGCGAACAATTTGTGTTATGTACTTGCAACTGAGCTTTTTTTATGAAAATTAATGCATGTCATATTAAAATCGTGTTCGACATTAGTTTCTCCATTCGCAGTTATAAACTTTTCATTGCTATTTTATGAAAGAAACGTACAGTGTGTGTGCAAATGAATTCATAAAAACATTAACCGTGGTTGTGCTTTTCCTTTTTCCATTCGTTCCTCTGCTGCTGCCATCACACCACAATGGATGTGAAACAGAATGAAGAAATAAAATTTAAAATCGATTGAAGTTTTAATGATGTGCTTTCAGATTTTTTCGCGTTTTTTATTCGCTTCCCGAGGAATTATTTTTACGCTTCTGTAGTTCAAATGTGTAATTCTCGGAAAATTTAATCTGGAGAAGAAATTTTATGTAGGGAGAATCTCAAGTAAAACGAGCAGCAAAATTATGGTGGAAAGAAGGAAAAAAAAACGTGAAGATGAGAAAATTCAGTTTACGGGGAAATAACGACAATGACATTGAAGTTTTTCTTCATTCTATCTCGTTCTCTCTTTCTTCAAACTCTGCGCTTGAAAGTTTAAATGAATTCTTTAATTAAATTAACTACACGTGTAAGATAACTTCTCGATAAGTGTTTAGTTTGCAGCCACATCATGTTGTGACTAAAACAGGTTCTTAATGTAATTAAATAAAATTTATTGCTTAACATAAGGCGTAGATGAGTCCGAAACGCAAATAAACTATTAGAAAAGCTAACGTGAGTTAAAACGCAGATTGTTTAGTAATGCGTTGTTGTATTCAATAAAAAATTCGCTCTTCAATCGAAGATTATTGCTTCTTAATAGCTTTTCGATACTTATAAAAATAACATAAAAGTTTTATTTTAAAGTGAGTTTCTGGCATTTTTTCTTCAAATTTTATTTACGAATTTCTTTCTTATGAATGTTGGAGATTGCATAATTATATAATTTCATGCCTTCCTGCTGTTCTTGTCATATCAGCAATATCAGTGAAACATCATTTTGGTAAAACACAATTTAAATATCATCTCTTTTTGCAACAAAAACCTCTTCTGAAGTTGACGGGGAACAAGCGGACAGAATTTGTTAAATATTTAGTTAACGAGCGCTCTGAGAAAACGATATACATTGCAATCCTACATTTATCATCATAATTCGAAATGAATGTCTAAAGCAGACAGATTTCTCTTATAAACGAAACGTTTATCCTTCTTCTTAGTTTGCTTTTCCAAACTCCCACGTCTCCATCCAACGTCACATTAGTAAACTAAAAGAAAATCAATAAAACGTTGCTTCATTCGGAAGCGAATTTGTAATTGAGCTTTGTGTACAACGAATGTTTGTTATACGAGTATGAAGGCTCAGGTCAAATCAATGTGTGAAAGAGAAACGAGTTTCGTCAATTCACCATATCTTGTAATTAATTGATGAATCTTAATTAACCAGAAAACACTGATAATCAATTGGTGTCACAAGTGATAGAAGAAAATGTTATTTCGCAGCATGATGAGACAGTGATAGACAAGAAAAGACAATAATTGCAGCATGAGCTATTAAGGGAAAGATGTACTAAATAAAATGGGAGTGGAAGAGGGTACAAGGAAATGGTTGTTGTTGTTGTTGCAAGTGTAGGTGGAGCAAAGGCTATGGCAACATCAACTGATCTTTCATGTACAAACACATGTATTAATGACCCAGTTTATAAGACATCGAAGTCTACCTTTTCATATTTCATTATTCTTCTCACCCCGAACGAAAAACTATTTTTATACCATAAATCTCTCCTGCACTTGAAGCATATTCCCACGATGTTCATTGAGATGTAAGGAGGATTGTGCAAGGTAGAGCGAGAGTATTTTCATCGAATTTTCTTATAATTGACTTAGATTTGTAAACATTTGAAGGGAAAATGCTTTCGATGAACCTTGAATATTTCAAGATTAAACATCTGATCAGCTTTCTTTTTATCCCATTTTATTTTCAAGTTATTTCTATGTAATTTAAAATGATTTTGTTGATAACTCAATTCACTAAATCAATTATCTTAAGTGACATGAAAGGAATTACATCGTAATGAAGATTCATGGTATGCGCTATTTCTTTATTTTCAATTGAATTAAATTGCATATTTGATTGTAAATAACGTCTCATCATTTTTTTTTCTTTCTCAAATTCATTTTCAAGCACATCATCAAACACTTTAAAAGCTTTATTCCCTTCACACAATGCGATCTCATTCAATGTCATTTTCATATCATTTCATATGAATTGTAAAACTTTTTTTTCTTTTTCCTTCTTTTTTCTCTTTTTACTTAGTTTATGTTTATCTTAATTCAGAGTTTGTTTCGTGTTCTTGTCGAAGGCTTAAAAATAATTTATAGTACGATTTATCTCTTACGTGTGGTTTATGTTAAACATTCTGTCGTCGGGAGTTTTTAAGAACGCTTAAGCACCATATGCCGCCCCCACCCAGGTTCAAATTAATATTCAGGATAAACATACAAGTGAAGGTCATTACAGCACGGAATTTAATGTATGTATGTTTATAGCTGTATGTATTCACCTGGTTATTTGTACAGGAACATTTATTTTAAGCACAAGAACATGAAAAATTAAGTTCGACGGCGTAACATTCATTCACTCAGTTGCTTGAGTTGTCATCGAGCTTTCGGGGTGTCATGCGACATTGTTAGATTTCCTTTTGATTAACAACTCTCGACACTTTCCACTTCTCAATATATTTTCATTAAAGCTTGTTATGTTAATTTATTTTTCACTCGTTCGCCGCATGAAAGTCTTTATTTTTCTCGAATTACGAGGCAATAGAGATTAATGATAGCGAAAATACTTTGGAATTCTGACTTCATTAAATTATAAAAGCCAGAAATCATCCGCAAGCTAAGTGAAAGAATTTTAATTTCTCTTCTCGTTTGATGATTATTATCAACCCCAAAGGAACCCGAAAATTTTTGGGAAGTAAAGGAAAAACAGAGAAAAACTTTCATGAACATGAGCATTCATCTAAAAATAGTCATCAAACATCACCTTTTGACATGAAATATAGCAGAAAGAAAATATTAAAAACTCATCTTTTTTAACTATCCATCCGGAGAATTTTACGGAAATCTGTTTTTTGTTTTAAAAACACGATTTTTATTTTTTTTTTTGATATTTCATGTGTGTATATGCGAACAATGATGTAGAAGTTTCCATTACAAGTTAGTCAGTTGTGAAAATTATTCCTTTGTTCTAAAATGAACGCTGCATCCTTCAATGTTCATTCAGTACCATGACTGAGTGTAAAAAACAAATATTTTCCCTTCCTTCATCTCTTGCTTGCTTTGACTTGTCCCAGAAGGGGACTTAAGAGACTTTTTAGAGAAAAAAATCGATGGCTTTATTGCTGCTGCTACTTCTACCTTTGCCTTCTACTTATTCATGTACCATATGATAGTTTCAGGATTTCTTTTTTCTTCTTCCATTTGATTATTTTTTTCCTTTCATATTATAAAAAAACATGACGTCAATTTTGATTTGGGTAAGAGAAAAATTGTTTTCTTTCGTATTCCAGCTACCTGCTGGTCTAAAGATGTTAGGAAAAAAAGGAAGGCAACCTGAAACCACCAAATTGAAACTGATTTTCTCTCTTTTGAAAAATGAGACTTTTTTTCTTTGGAAAAGTCGCAAACTGACCAACATTTCTGATACTACACAAAATCTTTCTCGTTGTTTGATGAAAAGGTTCGTTTTGCTCTTGTTTTTTCGCAAATAGAAACATTTATTATGGAAAATTGGTGGCTTTCAAAATTTCGAAACAAAATAAAAAGGATAATGAAAGGTCGAAGTGGAAAATAAATTGAATTCTCGAAAAACTAAACTACATTGAATAAATATTTAATGTAAATTAACTCACCGTCCGTTCAACTTGAAACTTCGCTTCTTTTTAGTGCGATTCAAACTATTTGTATTTGGTGATCCACTATGATACTGATTATTCAAAATGTGATTGGAATAGAGATTATACACAGAATTGCAGCTGTTTTGGTTCTCAGCTGGCGCACTTAATTGTCGATTGAACTCGATATTTTTGTTATTTAGTTCCGATACTTGACGGTTCAATTCGATAATGTGTCTCTGTCTCAGATGATTATTATTCGAATTTGTTGTTGGATTATTCGACAAGTTATTACTACTTGAATTTACATTATTATTGCTTAGATTGCGATTAGAATTTACTGAACTATTTTGATTAGCACCATTTGCACATTTTTTATCGCTACTTATAGGAGGATTATTATTATTATTGTTATTATGCGATTTACCATTACTTTTTGCACTATTTGAACTATTATTATTATTATTATAATATTTGCTATTCGAGTCACTGTTCACACGAGATCGCGTATTACCGCCACTTAAAGAATCACTTGAGGTTACTGAATTTTGATGTTGTCTGAACGGCTGCTGTTGAAGAGCTATATTCCATCCATACTGTTGATAGCACTGCTGTTGTTGTTGTTGTTGCGTAGACGGCGATGAATTTGAGACTGTACTTGACGCTTGCAATTGTGAGTTATTACCATGTTGAAAATGTAATAAGTTTTGATAATCATTTGCTGCATCAGTCCCGTGTAACGATTGAAATGAACCTTTTGAAGGTTTTCGTTATAAATCAAGAAATTAGAAAAAGAAATATTTGTGATTAATTTTATAATAAAAACAAGTCATTTGATAAGAGATTTGTCAGTTGTGATCTTCAAAACCACACAACGTGATCTCAATTAAATGAGTTTCTGAGAAGATCAAAGCCAAGCACTTGATAATTTTATGGTTTTTAAAAGATCAGAGATAATCAAAAGAAATCCACAAAAATCTCGTAACAACTGCTATAAAACTTTCCAAGGTTCATTTTGAGAGCTTAAATACTTTTTTTAATATCAATCAATCACCAAAGAATCTTCAACCAACCTTGAAACTGATCGCTATTAAATGTTTGATTCGTTTGCGGGTTATAACTTCGCGATGATCGACTGCTTCCACTTGCTGTTGTATTGTAACTTGACTGCTTTCCTATGTTCTGATTATTTGAGTTGCTGGGCTCATTTGGATCGCCCAGCATATGCTCAAAATCAAAATGCGTTTGACTCAAGTATGATGCTGAATTGTTGCCATTTCTACTGCTATTGTATTGCTGTTGTGTCGGTTGTTGTTGATAATTTTTATCACAAGTTCCTCCTGTAGTTACGTTATGAGACGACGATTTATATACTTTATTACTATCACTAAAATTTGAGGCAGGACTGAAATTATTCGAACTAATTGAAAGTGGTTTCTGTTGGTGATATTGTGACTGTTGTTGTCCGTTGTTTGAGCTACTACTTAAATAACAATTATTCACTGACGACGATTTATTTCGTCGCTCGTGTCGATTCTCTGAGCCTCCACCACTACCTGAAGGTTGTACCTCGACTCCACTGCCCTGTTGATGGCTTGGCGAACTACTGTGTTTATCTATAAATTTTTATTTTTATCGCGATTCAACAAGAGAAAAAAAGGAAATAGAAAGCAACACGCATTAACTTTTCGCACTTAATTGAATTTCGTTAATTGTATACAAAGACGAATGTTGCGCGAATAAGTGAAATATATCAAATAATTCAACCTTTATCAGTACTCGTTCCTTCGTCGATTTCACCACTTCGTGAAGAATCGGGATTATAAGCAATGTTACTATAGCCAACGTTCACTGACGACTGATGCAATTGATTTTGATTCAAGTGTAAAAATTCTGAGTTCTCCTGGCTGTATCAGAGAGTAGAAGAAGCGTTTGTGGTTGTTGTGCGCCGATCGGACATGTAAGAAATGGAAAGAAGAAAGAAAAAAAATTGTTTCACTGAGTAATGTTGATATTTGAGCAAAGTGAGCAAAATGTCTGATTAATTTTTCATCAAACGTAGAGTATATGGAATGAAGAAAAAATATATAAATCGAAAGGAAAAAAGAGCATGTAAACATTCCGATCAGAAAATTCTTGAGAAAATTCAAGTCTCCCAGTTGGAAGGAATTTCCATGAGAGCGACTGAAACTTTATTCTATTTTCCAAGTTTCAAACTTTTCCTTTTTCCAGATTTCCTTAAGTTAAATGCATGTTTAGTGAGAGTTCGAGAGAAAATGTTTCTCTTTTGTGTGAAAATGAAATAAATTCTCCATTTAATCTCATAGGTGGTGTAAATAAAAGTAAACAAAAAATTTTCCTAAACATGTCATAAATAAAATTGAACGTTGATGTTTACAAAACTGAACGGGGAATCTGTTAGGGAAAGAACTTTCTTTTATTGGCGATTGTGACAAATTTACACAAGCGATTATCTAGATATGTCAAACCATAACAAATATTCCAGGAAAGTTTCGTGGAAGGAACTGGAAGAAAAGGACAATTGTAAAATTTCTATAACTTTTGAGATGATTACGGAAGCGATGAGAGTGACAAGAAAATGAGAGCTTAAAATGTCGAGAATATAATTTAGAATGAATTCTACAAGGAATTCTACAAGCAATGATTGTGTGGGTGAGAAATAAAATAAATATAAAGAAAAATATTTTTCTCCTCCCGCTTTGTACATGAAAACAGTCACAGTTTGTCTAGCTGAATATTTCAGGTGATTTTAGCATGAACAAATTCTTTAAAATCTACATAAACATCACGAGTTAATTCCTTTCATTATGGGCGGAGATGCTAAAATATATTGTGAAATGTTAGATGTGGTCATGTGAAATGCGAAAGTCTTTTGTTGTGTAACGATGACAAAGCTATGAAACTATTCTCTCACTCGCTCTCCCGCAAAGCCCTTGTTCCGATTGTCACATTATGTTTGACATTGGAAACATTGAGCATGATGTATTATGTATTCAATGGTGGAGATTTCGCTAACCAGCTGTCATTAAATATCTAAATGCCTCTGGCCTTACATACGATTTTAGTGGTGGAAAAATGTTCGGTGGAACACACAAATGGATCATTACGTTAAATGACACACGAAGAAAGCCACTTTCAACACATGCAACATTTCCAGCTCATTTTTTATTATTTTGAAGGGTCGATAGGAAGTTTTTGTGTCTGTAAATATTTTTTAACGTCACAAGTTTACATCATAGTTAATGAAAAGCAATCATTGCACATTTATGTCAACTTTAGTAGTGAAGACAAAAACTAGAATTCAAATTCTGTTTTTGTTTTATGTCTTTCATTCCTTGTTAGCACTTGAATAACCTTCTGGACAGAAAATAATTAAAAGAATTCTTGCATCGAATAACTAAACATTTTGTTGGCAAAAGATATGACACTTTCATCCATCTCCACCCCCTACTCTGAATTCTCATGTAAGATTATTTAGTTGAGTTCAAGTATGTGCTTTCGTTGAAACAAGCATTTTATTTATGGATTTATCTTCTCAGGCTTTTCATTACTTCACCATAAAAAAAGGTGAAATGAAGAAAATTTACATGAATCGCTTCAGCTTTGCGATTAATTTATCTTCATTTATTATCGCATGCCTCAAGCTTGGTAACAACTGAAAATTATCTTACGAGAGCGTAGGATAAAGAGACTAAAATTTATGTACAATATCAATTGAAGTTGAAGGCTCACATGGGCTGGCTTTATAAAAGCGAGAATAAATTATTGTAAGTTTGTAAATACTCAGCTGGAGCTTAAAAGACGATGAAATGAATTTAAATGGCGAAGGCGCGTATTAAGCAAGCATACATTTGAAAACCAATGAAAATATCGTTTTATTAAGCGATTGGATGATGAAATGTGTAACATTAAATTGCTTCAATCAAAGAAAAATAAACGAACGCGATTAAGAAAGGACGGCAATTGCAAAAATGACTGAAAATGTTTAAATTTCAATGTATGAATATGTATGTTTGTTTTTGCAATTTAATATCATCAACAGTCGTGTGATTAGCTGTTAAATTTGAAATATAAAAAGCATGGCAGACGACATGGCTTGGCTCAATCTTATCGCCTTCTGTAATTAATGTAGCACATTTGTAAACTAATTTTCTTCCTTTTGAAAATGTACAACATGAATAATTCTAAAGCAGATTGCATAATGACATGAAACTCTAGACCGTAATTATGTAGCCAGATAAGTCTCGAGTAAAACGTTTTTCGGTTAGCTTTTTATGCGACAAACTTACTCAACATTTAAAGTGTGCAAACATTTCTGTTGCAAAAAAAACGAATAAATCTGAGAGAGAAAAAAACTTAATTTCAGAATCGATTTTTTCATACATCTCTCAGTGCCAATTAAGGTAAATGCAACGTAAAAGAACCTAAACGAACTATGAAAGGCATTAAATCACAAGGTACCGAGTGCAAGCTTCTTCTAATTTAATTGACATACGATAAATGATGTCGAACACACAAAAACGATAGTTGAATGTTGAAAAATGGAATGTTATTGAATTTGTTTCATCACAGTGAGTTTTCCTGTTTGATTCTTTTGAAATTTTTACATCCTTTTCAATTCATGATAATTTAACTTTGTGCAACGGTGAATTGATGTAATTTACTTTTCATACAATATAAACAAGTTTGTTAATGAAAACAAAGAAAGAGTAAGTATTGAAAATAGAGTACATCATGCATTTTTTATTGAAAGTCTTCATAAATTCTTAATAATAAGCCGCGCCATTATATTGATTTGACCTGAACACAAGTTTTGAAACACTTTGCACACTTCAATAAGTACTGCTGTGATGTTTCTTTCAATAATAATATGAAAGCTAAAAATGTAATCTTATTTCTTCGTTATTGTAATTTAAAATATAAAAAAAATTCCGCATTATGTAAATCATAAACTTTCAATACCTTAAACTGCTTTCGTTCAATATTGCTTTCGAAAAAAAAAGCTGAAAATTAGTTTGTAAAAGTTTTATGTTGAACACATTAGTCTCAACTCAATTTTGATTCTTGAGTAATTGAATTTGAGAGAAGAAAATATCAAGGTAGGTGTTAATTTTCCATGTTTTTCAGTCGCATCTACACACGTTGGAAAAATGTACAACATCATCATCGGCAACATAACAATGTTAAACTTCCTATTGACGATAAAGTAAGATAAATGTCAGTTTGTATGAAAATTGTCGCTTATTTTATTTATGGCGCTTACAGCGACTTTACTGATGATTTTGCTGGTGTTTTGTGAAAATACTTTAAGCTTTTAAGGTAAATGTTTGTGTGAATCAATAGATCGAAGAATCGTTGAACATTGAAGAAGCTTATGAATAAATAGTGTGCTTGGATTCAATTGAATAATTATTAGTTTTCAAATGCTACTCAAGACAACTTTTTTCCTTTCTCCATTTTTCATATTTTTTTCTGTTCTGTCGTCTCTGGGTCACCAATAATCCCTTGAAAATATGTTTCTTCTCCGAGGTCGTAAATGAGAATATTAGGCTATTATAAGCCAATTAATGGAACAAATGACGCAATGAAAATTCTGTTTCGGTGGCTTTTTCCGTGATCGGAAGAGGCTCAACCGCACAACTAAAACTCACATTAATTTCGGCATGCAAAATGACCTGTACACCATTTTCTCCTTCTACAACATTAATTCGTAAAGTGTTTAAATTATGCTGTGTTGAATATTGTGTACGATTGTGGGATAAGCGATGATATATTTAGAAACACTAAACTAAAGCTAACATTAGTAAGTTGCCCGTTTATATAATGACTTTGTGATTGTTTGTAGAGGAAAGGAAGTAAAGGTAAAATTTGAAGAAAAAAAAACTAAACGAATATAAATAAACACATAGCAAAGAAAAGAAATTCTCTTACCTATTTTGAAGATAATTGTTACAGTATGCACCTGGTCCACTAACTCTTCTTTGGTGGAAATTTTTAAAAGGCATTTTAGAAAACAGAAATTACAACAATATAAATCCACTGTTAGTTGCTTCGTTCTACTCCCTTTAATCCAACTTCCAACCAAGGTTATTTTAGCGCTCGTGAAATTAAACTGTTTGTGTGTTCTTTGGCTTTTTTTATATGCTTTTGAATTTTTGTTTTTCTTTGGTTTTAAGAAGAAAAATTTCTTTAAAAGTGATAGATGATGATAAACTGTTTTTCATAAATTATTCTCATTCATCATTTGACTTTATGTTTGTTTTTGTTCATTTTTTGGATAGCGAGAAACAGAAAAAAATATTCTTAAAAAGACACCACACACTATAATGAAAAAAAAGAAAGAAAGAGAGATAAAAGATTTTAAAAAGAAAGTTATGCAGTGAGCAAACATGTGAATAACAGAACAAGTGAAGAGAAAAAAAGGGACGAATCAAGAAAAATATTCCCTTTTGAGCATTATTTTTATGTTGCTTTTCATTTGAACAACATGAGATGCAGCATAACGAGCAGATAAAGTAACAAAAACACTTCTAAAACAATCATTAAAATGTAAGATGATTTGGATTGTTTGTTATTAGCGAATAGGTTTTATTGTTGTTGCTGTATAATAAGAGACAAGTCAAGTCAAGTGAGGGCGAAAGCTGTTATATATTTACTAGATAATAAGTGGAAAGCTCCTGTGTATGTATTTTTTTTTTTTTTTAAAATCCTTTTTTTATTGAGCGCCATAGATGTCGGAAAGAAAGGTTCTCAATGTTTATAGTAATTGTCTACAATAAATGTGAATATGTTTGCTTGACCATCACTTGATTTCATCCTTACAAAGGCAACTTAAGTATCCACTTTAGGACGAAGAAATATAATTGACTTGAGTCAGAAAGTATGTTATCCGAAAATATTGTTAAACACATGCACTAACGACACTCATTCACTCGAGAATAAATAAAATAAAAATCATTGAAATTCCTTCCCGTAATAATTTTTATTCTCTGGTTGAAATTTATTTTTCTGCACCGCATGAAATGTTTTAAGCATCAAATGATATGTTCAGGAAAGTTTTTACTTTTTCCTTCCTTTCATTTTGAAATGAATAAAAAAAAAGTTTTCTCATTCATGAAACGATGCGGGAGTAATGTTAGAACAGAAATTACCATTCAACCATTACGTGAACTTAACAATGGAAAACATTCACGGTTAAGATTCTCAGTTTTGCAGCCATTAAAACGTCTCCGTTTCATGATAATTAGTGAGCACAGATACCGAGAGCTTTTGAAATGTTTCTTTTTTAGAGATTTATGTTATGTCTCCATCGAAATTAAATGGGTAAAAAGAAGGAAAAGTTTCATTTTTTTTCATCTTAACTAAACAAACTGTTTCCTTCTTGCCGGTAGCTGATAGGTTCTAAGTTTTCTCTTTTTCTCATAAAGTTGTCGGAACAATAAAACGAATTATTGAAATGAACAAGAAAGAAAAATTAAGAAAATGTTTGAATTTTAATTTATGGAAAATTATTCTTCAAGATCGGGTTTAAAATAGTTTTTTTCTTTTTGAAAGTTTCATTCATTTCATTTGAATTACTTACAAGAAGTTGGAAAGAAAAGATTTGAAAAGCTTGAAGAATTTTGTATTGTGTAGTCAATAAAATTCCATTAAATTTACTTCAGGATAAAAATCTTTTGTCAGTTAATAAAGTAGAAAGTCACACTTTTATTCTTAAATCGAAATCCAGATATTCTTTCACTCATTTATCACGCAACAACGAAAATATGTAACACGAAAAACTTATTTTAAATGTCAAAAGATATTTTTAGAACAGTAGTCGTGGAAAATGTAAGGAAGATTTCGTAACTAGAATTGAACTTTCACCAGCTGCAAAAAGTTTCCGTTCGTGCTGTTTGTTTTTTTTTTCATTTTCTTTGAACATCTGTAGCTGTTTTAAGATGAAAAATACTTAAGTCATGAAATGGAAAGAAAGAAAAATGTTTTCCCATCGTCTTCCTTAATTTTTCTCTAAACAAGAATTTGAGCTTTCAATGCTTCATTTCGAAATATGTGAAATTCCACATGACATTGAAATTCTCTCATTTTCACCGTTTCATTTGCGTGATTGTTATTCATACATGATTTTTCTGTAAGTTAAAATGATTTACTTACATCCATACAATTAAGCAAATGAAAATTTTCACCTTCGTACTTTATGTGCACACGAAATTCAATCATTCGCATAGGAAATTTGTTGTGCCTGGGGTGTCGACACTTTGAAGGTTCTTTTTTAATAATTTCTCTCTCTATTCGCTTTCATATATTCAATTCAAGGATTTTATGATATGTTTTACTTCAATGAGAAACATAAGCTCTTGAAGCGTAAAGAAATAAGAAGTGGGAAAGTTTACAAAAGTGTATCACCCACGTACTTAGGTGAAAATGACTTTTCATTTCTTTATTCAATATGACTCTTCTTAACAAAAGCCACCCGCTTGACGTCATTCACCGATAAAAGTGTGTTTTACGTTCTCTCGCAAAACACCTAAACTCAATCGCACGATATCCAATTGGTGGAAATATTTACATAAATTCAAAACAAGTGGTTTTTGTTAAAAGTAATAAAGCACATTTCATAACTCAATCTACAACACTTTCATGATGTCGACGACGTGCCAGCAGTAAATCGACGACGTTGAAAAATCCATGCCAATAAAAGGAATGTCTTTAATGTTATTTCTTAATCTCCCTCATCGCAATCAGGTAAAAGTTGTTTCACCGATACACAAACCACACACATTGACATCTTTTATCACTTTTTTTCCTTAGGATATTCACCGTTTCAAGTAAATCGAAAAAGATGATGAAGCTTAGACTGAGTGAATGAGTTGAGGGCGCACAAACAAGGGCAGAAGTAAAAGAAGAAAATAAAATTTTTCACATCACCCATTCACCAACACAACCCAAGACGCACTTGAGGAAATCCTATTGAAAGATTTTCATTCTTATTATGTACACCACCGTCTTTCGTTGTCTTCTTATTCCTTTTTTGTCCTTCTCTTACATAGATGAGAATGGTAGGGCAGAGCACAAGAACGTTATACAAAATTTATCTCAAGTTGGATCTGAGAGTTCTAAGCTTAAGAGAAAAATCGAACAACTTTTTAACAAACGAGAAATGAAATAAGGAAAAAGTAATTTCTTTCTTCCATTCTTTTATTCCTTTGGACATTGCTTATAGACGTAGACAAAAAGAATTAGATAAAAATTTTCCGCTTTCTATATTTTATGAAAAGTGTCACATCACAGGGAGTTAGTCACTTGAGTTGAATTCCAACACGTTTCAACATCGAGATCATCATCGTATATGCTTTCTCATTCTCCGAAAAATATTTTCCCATATTCATCACTTCACTTTCTTACGAAACTAATTTTTCAACCCTTTTTGCTTTTCGCCTGTGGGCGCTTTTGCAATTCAACTTGTTTCAACACAGAACCTTTTTCAGTCTTCGATCGGTATTTTTATACACAGGAACCACAAACACTCCATCGCTCACTGACTACTCGGTAAATGTTCGATTCGAATTAATTCTTTTAATGTTTCTTGCGATGGCATTTCCACAGAGGGATACAAAAAAAATATGAAAGATAAAATTGAATATTACGTAACGATGGAACGAGAACGAAATAGATCCATAATATTACAAACACATTCTCATTTTTCTCGTTTATATACACACAGAGTCTCGAACTGACTGGTTGGGAAGAAAAAAAAACTTTTTCTTCTTGTTTTTCCGTGTGATGTTAGCGAAGAGAAAAAAGAAAACACGAGGTGGGTGCTGAGAGTGCGATGTGAGAGCTCAACAGAACATTCTCGTGCCATATAATAAGAATGAATAAAAAAGCTCAAAGCTCAATGGGAATTTTTTTTTCGTTTTTTCTTTTTATTTTATTTTTGCCTCTCCCCGAAAAATCTCATATTTCGAGTGTATTTGTGCTTGGAGCTTTTTCTTTCTTTTTTGCACTGATATTCTGTAACGAGCGACAAATCTTCGTGCATTGTCATGTGTGATCGAAAATATGTCAGCGAAAAATATTATAAGCTCAAAATGAAAAGATTGTTTGTATGAGTTAAGAAAGGAACTTTGTTGTTAGTCAAAGACGTATTGATATGGAACGAATTAAGAAAGTTAAATTTATGCAGTAAAGTATGTGCGATAATTTCAAGCATGAATCAGAATTAATTTCCATCAGTCTCGGTGGTTTATTCCGGAATTTACTTAATACTGAAATTTCATTGTGACTCCAAATTATTCCCTCAATTTATGGGGTGGAGAAAAGGGTTTGATTGTAGGTATGTAAAGAAGTTATAGGGAAGGATGTGAAAGAGAAAAAAGTTTTACTTTTATGCATTATCCACATTATTATACACATGATGATTACAACAAACAAAGTGAAGTAGTGAAAATCGTTATATAATTTCACATATTTTAATATTTTTTAATATTATATGTATGAGCGTGGGTGTTTTCCCTGATTTTATTATTCCCTCAACTAGACTTGCACAATAGGAAAAGAAAGAAATTTGCTTTCTTTCCTTTTTTCCTTCTGCTTTAAATTTATTCAGAATTTTAAATAAAAAAGTTTTTATAACTTATGCATATACAAGATATGAATGGTTTGAGGAAAGTAGAGAAAGTGAGTGTGTGTGAGAGCACATGAAATGTGTGGAAAAGTTCATATAATCACAGGTAGATATTAACTATGAAAGAAGCAAAATTTGTGAAACTTTATTCTTCTTTATGATTATTTTTCTTGAAAAGATAACAAAGCGAGAAAAGGAAAGAAGAATAAGAAGTGACAAGAAAAGTAAGAAAGATTATTATATTTGAATTATGCTCACATTTCAATACGCTTCTTATCTGCTGATGGAAACGCGTTTTTATTAAAGATCTGAGATCCCCGATTTGACAATTACTTTATTTCCTTCTCAACAATCACTCAACAACTTCTTGATTTCAAATTCCAGCAAATTCACAAGATTTTCTTGAATTATAGGGGCTAGACTTATAAATTTCAATGAAAAAAAGAACGAAAGCACAAACATGTGTGCAAGTGTGAGAGAGAGAAAATATTTTTTAGTTATATAAATTCTACATCGCGACAATTTCTTATTTATTTTTTTCTTTTTCGTTACGTGATTAAATACTAAAGAAAATATTTAAATAAATTTTGCATTCTTGAAGAAATAAAAAGAAACTAAAGTAAGGTTGTAAAAAATAATATTCAGAAGACAATTTTTTAAGATGAAATACGGATTTACATTTTAAAAGAATAAACGATTTGCAACCCTCCCCCGTAACCATTCTATTCTTTATAACAATCGTTGAAGGCAAATTTTCTTATAGTTTTTGCCTTCGATTTTTCTTATTTTTTCTTTTTTACCGAGCTGAGATTTTTTTCTTCTTTCTTTGTTTGAAAGAGAATTAACGTGAAAAGGGATAACTTTGTGAAGTCTAGCACACTGTAAACGGCATTGATGTTTAAATTATACATATGTATATATGCATGCATAACTTATGTGTGTGCTTCTAACGCAATAATGAATGGAGAAGGGAAGGGTGAGTTTATGTCCAAAACATGTTCCAACATTTAATCTCCAAAGAGGAAAGATCACGGATCAAAAGGGACGAAGAATTGAGGGGTTCAAAAGTAAAGTTAATTGAAAATCTTTTCCTATTTCTTTCTTTGTCTTTCTTTCTCTCTCTCCATTCTGTGTTCTTTCACCACGTAAATCTAAAATTAATATTTTCAGGATAAAGTCGTTCTATCAGTGCTGTTATATAAATGGGCTGAGAGATACAATGAAAACTTTTTCATACATTCTGTAGGGAAAACAACAAAATTTTCTTTTTTGTTAAAATTTTCTTTTTTCAACAAAAAAGCACAACTAATCGATAACTGAAATGAAACGCTTTTTTTTTGTTCTCGGTATGTGTTTGCTCCTTTAAAATAATCTTTCCTTTTTTACAGATTCTCAAATATTTGTTCGTTCCTTTCTTTCTCCCTCACATGTATAAAAGGAATAATTTCGGGAAAAACTATGCGATGTCGCTTCTTTTCATTTTCGGACACCCAAATCCTCCATTCATTGAATGGATTTTTCTTCTTTTTCTTTTCTTTTCTTCTTAACTTTCGTTAAACTTCCCCCGGGCACTCACTTTATCGACATGCAAAAACTTTATATTCTGATAAGAAGAACTGAAGAGAAAACATTTAATTTAAATTAAAAGGAAAAATATTTTTGCAAGGTCTCTAAATTAGATAAATCCTTCTAACTTTTTTTTTCTATTTTCAATATATTGTGGAGAATTTAATAAGGTGCTTTTTATTTCAAGGCTTATTTCAAACTGAAAGTTTCCTGAAAATTTTCCTTCTCAATAAGGGTGAATTGTGAGCTTTTTCCATTCTACTCTTTTTTTCCAGTGAGAGTCAAATACAAAGAGTGCTTGTAATTTAACAACATAAGAGACGAATGTTGAGCTTTAGAGACTGAAATATGCAATTCAAAGGTGCAACAAATAGCAGTAGAAAAAAAAGCGATAATTTTAAATTTCTTTATTTTGTAGAGTCAATTTATGTCGATTTAGGATTTGAAATCATTTAAAATTTTTAAATCATTTCTAAAGAATGAAAATTTCACGATGAAGTGTGTTTGTTCGATTCTTGCGAAGAATAAAAGTTTTAAATCAACGATCAATAATGAATACCGCCCGCGTTAAGAAGGTCAAGGAGATTTTTTCCACGTTTGAAAGTGCAATATTTTTATTATTCTTGCCTTTTTAATTTTTTTAAGTAAGTTGGCATTATTTAAATTCTGAAGAGATTTTATTTAGGAATTGACGAATACATGCAGATTTTCCGAATACAAGTCGCTCTCCCTGTTTAGCATGAGGAGACATTTAAATATCATTTCTTGACATTTTCTTTACCATTTCCTAATCATTTTATGTTTTAAAGGTCATTTAATGGGTTTTCGATTGCTGTTGGAACTCTTATCGAATTAATTTTGTTTTGAAATGATAACTGACAGATTTGATTGTAGAATAAGAAACACTTACTCGATTTCACCAATGTTTGAACGCAAACGTTAATGAATGAATTAGATTTGTTTAATTAAAAACATTTTTTCAATTATTCAACGGACTTCAAAACTTTTAAATTTCCTGCGCACTATACGCATGCATTTGACTTCATAGCTTTCAAAATTCGAAAGCTTCATTTGTTTTGAAGTTTAGTTTATTACAAATTCTCGAAATTGTTTGACCTATGGTTAATAAATTTTAAAATATTTTCTATAACGCTATATTTACCGCTATGGAAGTTATTCAGCAAGGATACGAAGTTCTCTATGTGTGGAGTAGTCAAAAGGTCGAAGAAATTGAGCAGCAGGTTAATGAAATCAAGAAAATTGCTAACGTGAAATTGGAAAATTCTGAAAGATTATCTTTAGGTAATTATCGATATTATTTTGTCACGGTTAAATGTGCAAGTCATTATCATAATTGTTTTTATTTTAATCATTTACTTAGCATCTTACAATAATTCTTCGTTTGACGTAGTTTTGGTAAATGTACCGATCGGAGGTCTTTTTGATGATTCATTAAAAACACTTTTAAGTCTCGTGAAACCAAAAGGCATAGTTGTCTTCAGTACCAACAAAAATGACGACTTTGAGTCTCGTTTGTTAATGACAGGCTACGTTAATGTTAAATTTGAAGATGCAAAGAATTGTAAGTTTTTCTTTTATTTCTTCTGGAACATTCTTTTGTGATTTAATAATTATTTTAAGGTGTCATAAGTGAAAAACCAAATTATGAAATTGGATCAAAAGCTAAACTCTCATTTGGGAAGAAATCTGCCGAAACAACAACTAAGGTTTGGAAGCTGGATATCGATGATGACGATGAGATGATTGACGGAGACGATTTACTTGATGAAGAAGATAAACAAAAACCATCATCAGAATCCTTACGTGTTTGCTCAACAACTGGAAAAAGAAAGGCTTGTAAAGACTGCTCATGTGGACTTGCAGAAGAACTTGACGCTGAAGCTAAAGGAAAAAACGTTGATCCAAATCCAACACAAAAATCGTCATGCGGAAGTGTAAGTTTTGATCACTTTTTAATTCAACATTTTTAATAAATTATCTGACATTTCAGTGTTATCTTGGCGATGCTTTTCGTTGCTCAACATGCCCATATCTTGGCTTACCGGCATTTAAACCAGGTGAAAAGATTCAATTGACAGATATGATGAAATCTGATGTCTAAATCGAAAAGAGTTTCGTATTAACATTATTTGGGATCACCGAGGGAATCTTAAACAAAATTATGCTTAAGCTGATAAGTTTTCTAAAGAGTTTTGTAGAATAATGTTAATAAATTCCATTGATCTTAATTAAAACATTAAGAAGAAATGAATAAGTTAAAGTGCTTTTATTTATTGACGTCTTGGATTGCTTTGTGGGTTACAATTTGCAGTTTTGTAACGTAAAAAATTCAAAAGTTTTCGCATCTTTTCAGTCTGCATGTGACATCATTCGAAAAATTTTCCATTTAAAATCACAAAATTAAAGAAAATAATTTATACAGCAAAAATGGAATAGCATAAAACATCTGGATTCTATAAAAAATGTACAGTTTAGTGTTAAGGTCTAGTGTATTTAATGGAATCGGCAGACAAGCAGTTATATTTAATGTAATAATAATTTTCCATAAAATTTTGATTGAATAACATTTTATTTTCGTTTCTGTCACTTTATTCCAATGCTGGATGTAGACAAAATACAAATTCTGTCAATTTATATTCTAATCTAATTCATTTTTATCAACAAACACATTTCTTTTCTAAATTTTAAAATCCATGAAAAACTTGTCGGGTTAATGTTTTAAATTATTTAAAAACTTTTAGTGTTTCAACAAAGCAACAACAACTACACACTTTTACTCATCAGCTGCTACGCCAGAAGCAAAGAAACAGATTGATGAAGAGAAGATTAATCATGAAGATCGTGTAGTAAATATAACAAAACTTAAAGTTCATCATCTACACCATCCAGAAGTATCAAAAATCAAGCAATTTGAAGAAAATAATGTGAAAATTCAGAATCTAGCTGAAATTATTGTTGTAAACAACAATAAACAAAGATCAGTGAAGAAAAAGGAGGAATTGCTATGGAGAATTACTCCATCGACAGAGCTGAACCAGCTTGTAAATCATTACTTAATGTTGTCAAAAATTAGATTAACTTGTAGGTTTGAAACTTATTTATGTTAAAGGATAAATTAAAAGATCTTGATTATATAATTTAGCTCTTGTGGTGATAACAACAATGGCTGGTTATGCCATGGCTCCTGCACCTTTTGATCTCTCAACATTTCTTATGTGCACAGTTGGAACAGGACTTCTATCATGCTCGGCTAACTCCATCAATCAATTCTTTGAAACGCCTTTCGATGCACAAATGTCGAGAACAAAGAATCGAGTTTTAGTTAAAGGATATTTGACACCTTTACATGCAGTTGGATTTGCAGCTGTTGCTGCTTCTTCAGGACTTTTCATGTTATCCTATGGAGTCAACAGCCTTACAGCACAACTGGGATTAGCTAATTTAGTGCTCTACACTTGTATCTATACACCAATGAAACGTTATAGTATTCTCAACACTTGGGTTGGTTCTATTGTTGGTGCAATTCCACCATTGATGGGATGGGCAGGATGTTCGGGAAATCTTGAAGTTGGAGCATGGATCTTTGCTGGTTTGCTTTATGCATGGCAATTTCCTCATTTCAATGCACTTTCTTGGAATCTTCGTCCTGATTATTCTCGAGCTGGATATCGAATGATGGCTGTAACAGATCCGGGTAATTTTATTCATTTTTATTAATCACTTTCCTCTCTTTAATAATAATTTATTTATGATTTAGCTTTGTGTCGACGTGTTGCACTTAGATACACAGGAATCATTGCAGCGCTGTCTCTTAGTGCACCTTTATTGGATGTCACCAATGTTTGGTTTGCCTTGGAATCATTTCCATTAAATGCTTATTTTGGATATTTAGCATGGAAATTTTATCGAGAAAGTGATAGTGGAAGTTCAAGGAAACTCTTTAGGTTTTCTCTACTGCACCTCCCATTATTGATGGTTTTATTTTTAATCAATAAGAAAGAATGGATTTTTAATCAATCAAAGGATGATCTTTCCATTATAGCTGGAGCTACTTCAGTGATTGAAAGCAAAACTAACGCATCTGACTCTTTAAATCAACTAAATCCATTGACACTCCTACCCAAACAAAACCTGTAGAAAGAAAATTAAATTAAAAGTTTAAAACATGATTATGTTAAATAAAATCAAACATAATTTAACGGTCATTTCAAATTTGAATTGTTGTCCAATGACGCAAATCTCTTGTGACAATCTTTATGAATTATTCCCTCGTGTTTTTGATAATCTTGTTGACTTTTCTTTTCAATTTAGTCGTTCTCCAGCATTTAAACAAACAATGTCGAAACCTACATATAAAGTTGGTAAGTCAATATTTAATTAAAACATGGAATTCATTACAATCATTATGAAATTCACTGAATAATTTCATGATTCGGCGAGAACACGTTTTCGTTTATAAAAATAATGATAATTTTATGTTCTTAGCTGATATCAGTCTCGCTGAGACCGGTCGTAAAGAGATCATCATTGCGGAAAATGAGATGCCTGGTTTGATGGCTGTTCGTGAAAAGTATGGACCATTGAAGATTCTAAAAGGAGCAAGAATCGCCGGATGTCTTCACATGACGGTCCAAACTGCTGTTCTCATCGAAACTTTGACTGAACTTGGAGCAGAAGTAAGTTTCATTTCAAAAATAGTTAAGCCACGTAGATGTCTTATCTCTCATCATTATGTAGATCATAATGTAAGGTCAAGAATCCTAAAGATGTTTTTCAATGACTAAACTACGTCAGAGTTCTCAATTGTCGTATGATCTTGACCTTCGAATCTGATTCTTTAATTTTAAACCAATTGTTGAAGCATTTTCTTAAGATTCTTTTGTTTTATGTGTTTGTTAATTTTTCATTTGTCTTCGAAGATTCTACAAGATTTCATACATTAAACGATCAAATTGTTTTAACATTTTTCAGGTCCAATGGAGCAGTTGCAACATTTTCTCGACACAAGACACAGCAGCTGCTGCTATTGCTAAAACTGGAGTTCCAGTTTATGCATGGAAAGGTGAAACTGAAGAGGAATATTTATGGTGCATTGACCAAACGCTTGTTTTCAAAAACGGTGAACCTTTGAACATGATTCTTGATGATGGCGGTGACTTAACAAATCTTGTTCACGAGAAGTATCCACAATTCCTGAAAGGCATTCGTGGCATCAGTGAAGAGACAACAACTGGAGTTCATAATCTCTATAAAATGTTCAAAGAAGGGAAACTTGGTGTACCAGCTATCAATGTTAACGATTCAGTAACTAAAAGCAAGTTTGATAACTTGTATGGATGTCGCGAATCATTAATTGATGGAATTAAGCGTGCAACTGACGTTATGATTGCTGGAAAGGTTTGCGTTGTTGCTGGTTATGGTGATGTCGGTAAAGGATGTGCTCAAGCGCTTCGTGCTTTCGGAGGTCGTGTTATTGTAACTGAAATCGATCCAATCAATGCTTTGCAAGCTGCTATGGAAGGCTATGAAGTAACAACAATGGACGAAGCAAGCAGCGAAGGCCAAATTTTTGTCACAACCACTGGATGTACTGATATCATCATGGGTGAACATTTCATGAATATGAAAGACGACTCGATCGTCTGCAACATTGGACATTTCGATTGTGAAGTTAACGTCGCTTGGCTCGAAGAAAATTCAAAGGAAAAAATTAACATCAAACCTCAAGTTGATCGTTACCTCTTGAAAAACGGACATCATATCATTTTACTTGCACAAGGTCGCTTAGTAAATCTCGGTTGCGCAAAAGGACATCCATCCTTTGTCATGTCCAACTCATTTTGTAATCAAACACTCGCACAGATTGAATTGTGGACTAAAACCAGTGAATATCCAGTTGGTGTCTACATGTTGCCAAAAAAGCTTGACGAAGAAGTTGCCGCATTACATTTGGAGAAATTGGGTGTTAAACTTACGAAATTGTCACCGAAACAAGCTGAATATCTTTCCTTGAATGCTGAGGGTCCATTCAAGCCTGATTACTATCGTTATTAACTAATAAGATCATATAAGGTTTAATGGTATTTTTACAAAGAAAATTAAATTGAATTTTAATAAAAATTTCAGTTTCGAATACCTCAAATTAATGTTTTTCTGATTAATAAGTTAATTTCATTGAAGCAGTTGGAACATGTGAGTAAAATCGTTATGATAATAAAAATTATAAACAAATTTCATTACTCATTGGTCAGCTGATAACCAAACGAAATAAAATCATGACGATTTCTTGACGAATAATGAAATAAATAAATAAGTTGTGGCATTGCTGTCAAATAAATAATCTCCAATCAATTTTGTCAATCAAAATATTGAAAAATTCTCACATTCATAATGAGGGTGTACAAGAAAGCTTGAAGATAATTCATACGAACATACTTGTATACCCTCCACAAAAATGGTAAACACGAAATTTTGAAAGTTACGAAAGTGCAAAGTCTTCTATAATTGGTGTTTATCGGAATTTTAGTCTAATTTTTACAATCATATTATGAACTTTCGAGGTGAGCTTATTCGAAAAAAATTCATGAAAGTGCTGAAAGTGAGTCTAATGTTGAGGAATTTGTGGAATTTCACTTTTGCATTGTTGCTGTAATTTTTTTCTTCTCTTCTCTTCAATTGGAGAATTTTCATCCGCCCAAGTATTGCATACATTCGATGATGTCATAAACCTAACATTGCATTTCAATCACATATCCTTCAAATCTTTTGATGTTTCTTAGTGTTAAATGATTTTAAAATTCAAGGCCAAGCAACTCTTTGAGTGAGACAAAAATTCAAGAAATTTCGTGCTACAAGAGTTGTTGAAAAGAAAACGAAAGAGAAGAAATAAAATATTGAAAATTTTTCCGTTTCGTCGTCGATCATTGGTCTTATGTATATCGTAATGTTGGGTTTGGTACAAAAACGTTATCAAACTTTTTTCAATTTGTTCTTAGGAAGTGCAACAGAGGATCAATTTGTAAAATATGTTGAAGACAATCCGATTCTTTGGGACAACCGATGTCAGGATTATAAAGACTGCAAAGAAAAAGCACTGGTATGGGATTCTGTTGGAAATGCGTGTGGTATAACAGGAGAACAAGCTCGTTTAAAGTGGGTTAGTTTACGTGAAAAGTATCGAAGGGAAAAGCTTTATTGGGAAAACATCGAAAAGAATGGAAACTCAAGCAATACGCCGCTCAAAGAGCTGTGGCCTTTAATGAAGAAAATGAAGTTTATCGACGCTGTTTCCACAAGAAGACAGTAAGTTAAATAAATTCATCTTTTTCCTTCTATTTTAATTTTAATTTATCTTTATTGAAGTTCATATCGAAAAATCATGAAGATGGAAGGAAATAATAATAATTCAACTTGTGTCAGTTTTCATTCTCCGACGTATTCACCAAACATTTCGTTAACCACATCACCTCAAAACTTTTCATCGGCAATGCAAATGCTTGAGCCACTTGATAACGACGAGCAAACGCATTTCTTAATGAACAATTCATACAATGGTATGGCGGACGATAGCGATCACACGATGGACGTAGAATACAATTCACTCGATATTAATAAAACAAAATTCCAATCGTTTGGCATTTATATCGGAAACGAGCTATGTTCGCTTCGCAATGATGTCGCTGAAGAGCTTCACGAGAGATTACTAACTGAAATATTAAAGTTTAAAAGAGAACTTCGAAAGACGAATTGTGTTGAAATGTAGATAAAGAATTTATCATTTTAATTGATCGATCTGCGTTCAACATTAAGTTTATGTCATCTGTTCCGTGAAACAGAATTAGATAAATCAAAAGATCAACAAATCTAGAGCTAGCTCTAGATGTTCATTCAGGAAATATTCTTTAGGGATGTAAAATTAAAGAGAAAACAAAAATGTATTTACAAATCTTTAACTTATTTACTCAATTGAACGAACATAGTATTATTTTTAATTTAAAAGTTTAAAAATGAAGATTAAAACTTAGGAAAAAGAAAACTTTGAGAAAAGTTGTAATAACAAATAACTCAAACAGCATTAGAACAGAAAACATTGCAGATTTAAATATTATTAGAAATCTACTGTATTTATTTTATTTTACTACCTTTTGTTTTAATTCTTATGTTTTACAACTCAACCAACTCAATCAAAAATGTTTGAAGTTTATTGTAATCATTCAGATATAGAAATGAAACATTTTATGAACAATTCACCAAAAGAAAAAAAGTAATTTTAATGTCAGAAGTCTGCAATAACATTGAATTAGTATTTTATCCGTTCTTCCTCTCAAATAATTGTGCAGCCTTCTCAAATAATCATAAATTAAGAAACATTAATTTCTTTTTTGTTGTTGCAATTTGGTCACATCAGGTTTTAGATTTAATAAGAATTGTTGAAATTATTATTTTTTTGATTAATTATCTATTTTAACTGAGACTGTTTAAAAAGTTTGGAACTTCGATTAATAATAAAACATCTAATCGATATGAGTCAGTGTTTCTTAAGCTGTCGATCGCGACACGCTGGTAACTTACCGTAAAAATGTTAAGAACAATAAAAAGAAAAGTTCCGAATCCAGTGAAAGTTTCAGAAACATTGACATAGCAGACTCTATAGAGAAGTTACTATACGTAAAATATATGTAGATGATGAAGGGTTAAACTCACGAGTACAATATAATCTACCGCTGGAAAACATTGAACAATACTTACTTATTAATAGATTAATATCTAGATGAAAGAAATATGGAAACGAAAATGTTATTTTCCATGATTTTTAAGAAATAAAAAAAGAAATGACATTAAAGAAATTCATTAAATGAAACACTTTATTGGAAAAATATTCAAAAGATTGTTTTTGTTTTATTCAGTAAACGTGACAATGATTCAACATTAATTGTTTGTGATTCAGAATGAGAACTGTCAAGGAAAAAGGAAACAAAATAATAATTTACAAATGAAAAAGGACGAGAAATTCTTTTAGATAATTTAAGCATCTTCACAAGTTAAAGTGCTTTGATCGAAGAGTTTATCTTCACCACATGCAATCAATCTCGGGTGACCTTCGTTGCAAAGGAAGAGACTGTGGGGATCACCAGGAACAGCAAAACGTGGGAATGGCCAGAAACGAGCTGCTGGTGAATTTGGATCAACCTTGGCGGGACATTTAAAGCCAACAACTGCTTCTGGGTTGCACTTTTCCAACAATAAATCAGGCCAATTACATCCGTGAATTCTGTCATCATAAACTAAACCTTTCACACATTCAAGTGAATTTGGAAGGCCATATTCGCACTTGATATAACTTGTTGAACATTCAGGGCCATCTTCATAGAGTCCAAATTGATATTCACAGCCTGGGGATGAGATTGCGGTTGCTAAAAGAAATAATTTGAGTAATTTTGTAAGTTTAGGAAGAATATTGAAAAGCTTACGATCGTATTTCCTTTCGGCACAATCAACAGCCCAATTGTAGTTGCAATGATTATGAACTCCGCCTTTACCATCGAACAACAATCCATTCTCACATGTCTCCAAAGTTAAAGTTCCATTCGTGCAAAGGAAGAACTGATCACAGTTCTCGGGATGAGCGTAAGCTTGAACTCCATAAGCTTCCGGGCATTGAGTTGGAGCTCCGTGAGCTAAAAAGAAATGAAAAATTTTAATGATAAGAGTGAAATTATGCAAGCGAAACATATGTTGAAAGAGATTATTCAACAACAATATCGATCGCCTTTTTCTTTTATTCCCACATAGATAATTGGAATTTCAAACGACATTCGAGATAAGCGTGCAGAGAAATGGTAGCAATTTATGTAACAAAAAAGCATAACAATGAATGCTTTAATTTGATACTGACAAATTGAAATTTTTTATAAATCATTCTATAAACAAGGAAATGTCTTTTGACAATTTTGCAAATCGATGGACAAGAACAAAACGCTTAAGAAGAAGTTTGGAATTGAAACTGAAACAACTCTCAAGTGTCAATACCAAGCCACCACAAATCTCAAGGCGATTATCAGGAACCAAACAACTTTTGTTTTTTTTTTACTTGTCATAAAATAATTAACTTTTCTACATGTAATCGTGTTAAGGTCAAAACAATGATTGTAATTGTAGCAACAGAATGAGAGAAAAACAAAGAATTGATCATTATCGATAAAGTTTGTTCATTGTCTGTCAATCTCATCTTGCACTTCAATTCAACATAAACAGAATAAACAAAAGCCAAATCAATCATAAGAAACTTTTAACACGATGCATGTACATCGAGAACTTCATTCGTAGTTCATTTTTAAAGTGGTTTGGAAATGTGAAAGAAAAAATAAATATTAAATCAAGGTCGTTCACAAAAGGAGAGAAGAAAACGAGTTTCAGTTCCAAATGTTATAAGTTGCAATACTTTAATAAAATATACGAGTCTTACATGTTTATGGAACGAAATGTCTAGAATGAAACACTAACTAACTTTGAACTTTTTCAATCTCCATCTCATGTGGTCAATCAAAACTCACCTAAAACTCCTAACGAAATAACAGCTACAATTTGGTAAATGTTCATCTCAACAGTTCGTTGATCGCGATTTAATTTGTTGTAGACTCGACTTTTCCCTTTTTAAGACGTACACGCGTAGTGAAAATCTGCAAAAATATTGAAGAATTGCTTAGCTTTATATAGTGAAATGAGATGTTGTCGCGGGGTGAAAGAAATTACATAACAAAAACATTGAAAGAAAGTTAGAAAGACGATGGAAAGAAGTGATGAAAAGACTTTGTCAGCATCAGTTCTTTTATTTATTTCATCCACAAAGTTTTCACTTTTTATGACTCTTTTCATCTTTTGTGACATGAATTATCATGAATTTTAATTCCGTGAAAAAAAGAAGAAAAGAAAATTTTAATTAATCAAATCTGGTTTTTATTTACTTTGTTGTTGATAAATTTAATAATTTTTTTCTATAAGTGAATCTTCTCACTAACAGCAAAGATAAAGGCAAACAAATTGTACTTCAACTGCTGCCTTAAGTGGCTAAAGACTAACTGGCTCTTTCTTAATTTTATTTTCATTTTTCAGTAACGCAAAAATATCGTTTGTGGTCTCAAAACAGCCACCACACATAAGCAATTATGTATCTACGTGCACACATGTCGACAACTTTATGGATTGAAAGGAAAATCGAAAATGTGTAGCTGCGGTCAGTTGGGAGAGATTGAAATAGTTTGTGTGTGCTTGGATGTTGTTATATAATGACATGGTGCATTCGACATCAATTTTCTGCCATTTGCGGGTTCAATGAAAGCTTTTACATACAAAAGTTATTATAAAAGCTCTGAATAAATGTGCAATTAATAATTACGAGCAAAGCGTCGTGTGAGTACATAATGAAAGGCTTAAACAAAGCAACTCGTGATTGCAGCAGTATTTTAACCACTCCAAATCATGAATTTATGAAATCGTATTTCGCAAAATCTACCTATTAATTATCTGAAAAGTTGAATTATTTTATATGAAATTATAATAAATAAAAAAGAATTTTTCATATTCAAACTTTTTATTTTGTCTTTTTTTTCGAGAACTAGAAAAGTTCAAAAAGTTGTGCAACAAGAGCCAAGACTTAAAGACAGAAGAAAAGAAATGAAAGAGAAAGTTTAGATCTAAGCTGAAGTTGTGCAATCAGGAAAGATAAGAACAGTGATAGTGTAGAAAAGTTGAGAAAAGTTAAGATAAAAGTGGAAAATAAATTGAAATAAATTTTTAGAAAGAAATATGAAAGAAAAGATTTCAGGAAAGAAAAGAAGAAAAAAGATTTTATAGAAAGTTTAGCAGGAAATGTTGAAAAGTAAATGAAATTGAAAGCTTCAGCTAAGAAAAATGAAATGAAATGAAAGAATGAAGAAAAGTAAGTGAAGTGACAGAGAAATGGAAGAGAAATGATGACAGCGAGATGATTCAAGTTTAGAAAGAAGTAAAATTAAATCTTAGTAAGATGAAAGCTTGAAGGTATTAAAGTATGAAATAAATTTCTTATAGTAAAGATTAAAAGTTAAAATTAATAAAGTTTATTTAAATTAAACAATAATTCCATTATTAAACGGCAGTCTTGCGTATGCATACATTACAGATACAGAAATATAGAACAGGATAGATTCAGGATAGATTATTAAATGTGCTTTTAAAGATCTACAGAAAAATGAAAAATGTGCAACAGGGAAAAAGGAAGTAAAGCAGGAAAGAGAAAAGAGTGGAAGATTTAGTTCTTGGGATCGTCTTTGTACCAATCCTCGCTGTAACGAAAGTAAAAATTAAGAAATAATTTAATTGATTTGCAAGTTTTCGTCATCAAGGAAATTTTTTCAACTTACCATCCGGGAACGTTGTTGGGTGCGTCACAACGTTTTGTTTCATCATTGAAGACTTCTCCATCAGCACATCCCAACTCACGTGGTTCGATTCCGTTGAGACAGACGTAGAATTTCTGACAATCTTGTGAGTGGGCGAAGTGTGGGTGGGCAATGATTTGACCTGAATCATCATTCTTATTCTTCTCATTAGCGCATTGGAATCCATCTTTAAGTTCTTTCTTTCCCTCCACACAACCTTCACGGTTTGCAGATTCAGGCCACACACAAGTTCCGGTGTATTCGTCGAAGTGAAGTCCACCAGTACATTTGTTCTCGATATATTCACCATCGATGCATGTGTAGAAAACTTCACAAATTGATGGATCAGGATGGGCAAAGAAGCCGTTCTTTCTTGGGCAGAAATCATTTTTACCTTTTGGTGCCTCTGTTGAAGTTTCATTGTAAATAAATTATTAGTTTTGTTTTCATATTTCAATGGCTTACGTAATTCTGTACGATCTCCACAATCAACATTGAAAGGTTGATCACATTTGTTCACTTTTCTGATGCTTGGATCGAATACAAGACCATCGGGACAGAGACGTTCTTTTGCAATACCATCTCGACACTCGTAATATTTGTCACATTGTACATCATCCTCATATTGTCCATATTTGTCATTCGGGCATTTGTAGTTTTGGGCATCTAAGCAAAGAAAAAGTTTACAAATTTAATATTGCGTAATAAAGTTGCATTTAAAGGTAAAAAGAAATCAAATTCAAAGCCTCAAGCTCTTTGTAGAAATAACTTTTTATTAATCCCACTAAGCTTAACTATTTCTTACATTTTACTAACTAACTTTAGCACAGCTTACATTATGCAATTCATGACTGTAAAGAGCAGTCAGCCTCTGATTTGTTCAACATTCAAAATAGCTTTTTTTTTGTCATAAAATATCAACGAGAGGAAGATGTCGAAAGTTTATTGACATTTAAGCAAAAAATGCTATGATGCTTTCATATTTTTTTTCGTCGTGTTTATTTTGACACGAAAACAAGCAACTTGAAGTAAGTTTAAACATGAAAGACGATACAGCTGGTAAGAGTACAATTTAATTTCTCTTTCAATGTACCAATTCTCTTCAAAAGTGGCACGCGAAAGCAAAAGTGTTTTCTTTTCTCTCGACCGTCAGATGAATGTGCTTGGTTGACCAGACATTCAATTAATTTCAATTACAACTCAGATATTACGTGAAAATTATTTCAAATAAATCTTTTGAATGTGAAGCATTTAAGTGTCAATTGGACACCCAACCCAAGCCTTCATCTTATTATCCAACCATGGTATTAATTATTTCTCTGCATGCTTAATTGAATTAAGTAATAGATGGAATGTTATGATAAGATTTCATTTTAAAATCACCCAAAAACATTGGAAAAGTTTTCCACTCTCAAGTCATTGGATAACTCTTGAAAATGTTTAAACCTGATCTGGGGAATTTATTTGCATAGATATAAACTTGATGCTGATTCATTTGTTTTGCGATATTTTCCGTATTCTGAGAAAAGTTCTTTGGACAAGGTTTGATTCCTTGGAAATAAGTTAAAACCCGTTTCGACCATTTCATAATAAGATGTCTTCTTGTTTTTATAAGTCAACTTCTTTAAAGGTCATTTTGTAAATATACCGTCGCCCTGTTTCTGCCATAATGAAAGCGTTGTCAAGCGAATAATTTTGGAAGTGAAAACCGTTCAGAAAACCAGTTTCATGGGATACAAATTTATCCACGCGAAATTATGTAACACCAAAAATGAGAAGAAAAAAAATGATCGCGCGCGACTTGATGATGTCGAATTTATATGCAGTAAACTTTCTTCGCGACATTTGTGAATGAAGAAATTATTATTATGCAATGTGAGTTTCTTTTCATTTTCCTTTTTCGGTGTCTTCTCATACATTTTATATCTTTTTTATGGTGTCACGTAATGTTATTTGGTTAATGTTATCATAACATTTAAATTCACATCGCGATTCTTTTATTCTTTTCACAAGAAATAAACAACGGTTAACGGGACGAATGAACTTTACGGTATAATTTGGATGGTAATTTGTTTACAAATATTTTTTACTCACTTGTGACTGCCACAACTATCGCGAAAAGGCACAAGAATCTGTTCATCTTTAATCTGTTTTTTATTTATGTGCCTAAAACTATGTAAATGCCTTCTTCTGAATCAAAACTTAATAAATGCAAAACTGTTTTCAACGATGTCTAATCACTATGAACGAATTTCCTCAACTGCCAGATTTTTTGACTCCACTCTCACTTTTGACTTTTGGAAGGTCTCCCTTCCTCTTCTGCAAGATCGCATATTTTACAATACGACAAACGACTCTTTTTTTTCTTTTCATTATCAATACAATTGTATTGAAACTTCTAAAGCTTTGGAATGGTGTATGTGCTTTCAAGTATGTGGGATAAGCGAAAAGGGAAATGAACAATATGCATAATGTCGTACGAAAAAAGTGATCAATATGTAACGAATTTGAAGTTTCGAGTTTGGTTACAGTTTGAGGCAAATTTATGCTTGCGGAAAAATAACACTTCTTGACTTCGAAACATGTTTAAGTGTTGGCAATGTTTGCGAAGCTTGATTATTTAATTCAGTATAAGTGGAACAAAAAATGCAAAAAGAACCTTGATTCTACCTTCTTGGTAACAATAAATTACAATGTCATTTATGAATCAAGATTTCTTATATTTCCTTTGGTGTAAGTAGAAAAAGATTAATTGTCTTTCATTTTTTATGGAGACATTCAAAGTTGGAAAGACGCAATATGAGTTTTAAGCTTAGACACTTTTATGCACCAAGTTTATGACTCACAACGAAATTGCGAGAAAATTTAATAAAATTCAAATATTTCCAACATTCATTTTTATCTTATCACATGATAATTTGGGTATTTCCTGAGATATCAATGATTATGATTATTTTTCCAAATATAGAAAGTTTACAAAACATTGATAAGTGAGTAGGATTTTAATACCCCAAACAAGTCTAGACAAAATATTTAATTTACAAACTCATAAAAAGTTGAAGAATTTCTTCTTTCAGTTTCTTGGGAGCTTTTAAATAAATTTTAAATGTAAGATATTTTCTCTCTTACTTGTTTACTCGGCAAAGTTTAATATTTTTTGTCTTTCAGTATAATTCGTAAGGAAAGCTTAAATTACAAAAAGCATGAGCTTTAATGTTTCCCGCCATAAATTATAACGGTTAAAATTTGAACTGAATTTGCGGTTTATGGGGGAAAATTTTATACAATTTGTTCGCATTATCAGCGGGAAACTTTAACTTTTGTAAACAAACCTCTTTGGAAAACAAAAAAATCTTAAAACCTCTTGTTAATCAATAGTAAAATTGAGTCAACGGTTAGATTGCCAAATAAGGAAGAAAGTAGAAATTGATATCAACCAATTAATTCAGATAAAACGATTTTATCAGTGGTAAGACGAAATTCAATTTAAAAAGTGGTCACCGAGTGCATGCTTTGTTGTTGCTTTTTTAGAATGACTTGGTGGCGATGATAAAACAAAAGCGACCGTAAAATGAGCAAGCACAATATAAATAAACCATCGCGTAGTAGATGGAAAGATGACAATCGAAATCCAAAGCTTTACGATGAACGAACTGATAAGCCGGGAATTTCTTCATTGCCCAATGGAAAAGTCAGCACCACCAGTGGAACCGCCAGCAGCAGTTCAAAATCCAATCGAGTTTATAAAAATGAAATTGTCAACCAGATCAATCAAAATTTACCTGAAGACATGAGAATTTCTAAACTTATTCGACGATTGGAAACCGCAACAACAATAAACGGACTAGTCGAGATTTGCGAGAAACTCAAAACTGTTGTTCAAGATCGATCGAATGCAAATTATATTCGTCGAAGTTTCGATCAACTTACAATTTCAATAACAACAGTCATGAAAGATTGTTCACGTGATGTTCTTCCACATTTATGTGAAGTCTTTGGTCTCATGGGTTATGCGATCCTTTATGATTTCCCGGTCTATAAATCATGGATTTGTAAAACATATAAAAGTACGAAAGCCTTAAGATCATCAATGATGCATTCACTTGAAAAGACTTTGAGAATGGACGAACAGACTGGCGATTTAAATGATCAAATTGCAAGATTGATGGAATTGTTGTAAGTTTCAATAAAAATTTTAAAATATTTTCATCATTTCTTCATTTTTAAGGCGAGATTTTCTCGAACAATCTGACGTTCCTGAGACATTCATTGCAATCACTCGTGTACTGATGGTCATCGCTCAAAACTATATTCGTCACTTTAAATCGCACTTCACAAACATTGTCGACATTATCGTTGGGTGGCATTTGGAGACGGAACAAAAGTCGTCAGTGAAACTTCATTGTTCGAATGTCCTGCAAAGCTTTCACGTTTGTTGGCAAGCAGATTCTAAATTCACGCTTGATTTATTGGGGCAATTGCTTGAAGATATTGAAGCTTGTTACGATAACTTCGATGGTGACAACAAGAAAGTTAAAGAGTTTGGATCGTTTGTTGGCAAGTGAAATTTGTTTGTCTATTAGTGAAGAAGTCGCTAATTATTCTTTAACATTCATTTAGGTGTCTTCAACACAATCATTAAATGCGTTTCAACGTCACCAGATGAGCTTTTATACTTTGTCACGAAGCAACTTATAGAGGAAAGTTACGAGAAGATTTTACGTGTTGCCAAACCAGCTCTAGAAGCAGACTGCACAGCTGAAGAAGTTGTAATGTCGATTAACGAGTTTCTCATCATTATTATGGAATGTCGAAAGAATGATGTGACAATTCAAATGACCGACATTCAGGAAATCATTGAAATGGAGTTTGATGCTTTGAAAGAGTTTAAAGAAGATCAACTCGCAAGTTTCTTCACAATTTTAATTCAATTTATTGAAGAATATAAAGCAGAATTGTCAGTGGATTTCGTTAAGAAGATTCTTGACATCAACGGACCGATTGTGACGAAAATTCGCTTCAACAGCGATTCACGTGTGATTAATGGATTGATAAGATTGTATCACGACATTCTAGCATTAAAAAATGTTCCCGTTCTTCAAACTGCTTATCAACAAATCATTGACGATTTAAATTCATGCTTGAACGACATTCCCGAATTATGTGAAGAGAAATTGACATCATGCACTCCGACAGCTGTTATTAAAGCACAATATGCATTCAATTTCAACTTGACAGCATTATCGAAGCTTGCAACAATTCAAAATTCAATTATTGCAATGTATTCACTTTCACCAAGCATTCTGGAGGTTCTGATAAACCTTCAAATATGGAAATCTGAATGGAATGCTTATGAATTGACGCAATACGCGATTCTGAAGCTTCTATCAGCACATTGCTTGAAGAACAACAATTTTGTGTCGTCAAGTTCGCTTTTTATCAGCAAAAATATTCTCACACAACCAACAAGCTCCTGGGGTTCAGCTTCATCACCAACCGAGTCACCAGTGTCACAACATTTCAAATTAATCTTGGAATTCCTTTCGAAAATGCTTAAAACGACACCATCGTTGAAACAAATTAAAGTTATTGTCGATTGGATTGATAAAATCATTCAACAAACATCACAGTTCGGTGAACAATTATTGGAAAATCAAAACTTTATTTTCATCATTAAACGCATTAATAATCTTGCTATTAAATACAATGACGAAGTGACATTAAAAGTTGCAACATGCAACGATTCATTAAAATCATTTGATGTTCTTCATGCAGATATTTACACATCAATAACTGAATTATGTGGTGTTGAAATGTGCTCGGTTAATCCTGAAATTAGAAAAAGATTTTCAATCATTTTATCGCGAATTCCGCTGCGCTTTTCATTGGAGCAGGCAAAATCGCCAAGTGGAATAAATTACGATGGAATTTGTAAAATATCAGAGATGGAAAATTGGCATTTGTCATTAGGCGCAATACATGGCGGTGAACTTAGAGCGCATTACTTCCAAGAATTCATCAATCAAATCACTTATTCACACGAAGCATCTGACATCGATCCATTCATATTGAGAGCGTTTAGAAATTGTTGGTTCAGTGGAACGGAAATGGCAGAAGAGTACAAGAATGTGACAGTTAAGGATGTTCGAACGTTGACATCGTGGATACAATGGGAAGCTGCAAGATTTTGTGTCAATAATAGACTTCGAACTCCTTTGGGAAAGCCGCAAGACACATTTTTAAAGATTGAAAGCATCATCAAGGAATATGCGAGAGTTCTTGCACTTAAAGACAACACAAAGCTAAGAAATTACAAATTTGTGTTGGCAAATCAAAGAAACGTTCGAATTCTCTTGGGATTTATGGAAGCATTGGAGAAAGCGATTTACAATGCAGCAGAAGGAAATGCATTTGGAATTCCACCGCCAGAAAAGCCAGCAAAAACTTTCTTTCGATTAAATTACTCGACATGCAATGAATGGTTTTCAAGGAATCGTCTTGCACTTCATCTTCTTGCATTACATTCGATGGAACTTGAGATGGTCATAAGATGTTCAAGTTGTGTGTTGAGTGACATGGTGAAAGCTGATAAAGTTAATGATCCTTATTTCGAGCAAATCTTAATGTCATTAGTGTGGGCGTTGTTAAGAAATTACGAGAGCGACGCATTGTTTGGCGTTTACATTTGGACGAAGAATGTCACTGGAAAAAAGTTGTCATGGATTAAGTTTGCAGCTGAACAAGCTGCAGGTCATCGTGAGATTGCTGCTGATGGATACACAAAGATTTTGAGAGAAGAACAATTTGAACCGCCAATTTACGACTTCATCAATGATCAACGTAAAATTTCTTTAATGTTTTCAGCAAACTTCGATGCACTTCACACAGTTTTATTGGAAGAACAGAAACGATTCTTCAAGCCACAAAACATTCCAATTCTCACAATTTCACCAGAACAAGTTGCAAGTTATTCAGATTATCATCGAACTAAAGATCCAGCAGTCTTATTTGAACTTTCAAATTGGCAAACGCTTGAATCATGTCCGGATGTGTCAAATAATTTCTCAGTTCATAAATTGGTGTCGTTAACTGAGAATACTTTAATGTATGGGATTCTTGGCGAGGAATCATTTGACAAAGAGAAGGAAGAATCGTGCGAGAAAATCTTGCACACGCTTTTACAGGAATGTGTTAGGACTCAATCACAAGAATATCGTCTTTATCTGAGTTTAATGAATCACATGATGTACAAGACAGTTGAGAACAAAGGCAGTAATGGATTTAAGAACATTGAATCGTTTGAGATAAAAAAGAAGTTTGGATCGTTTACAATGTTCATTGTTGCAAGTTGGTCGGAATTTTTCGATGATTATTCACATAAAGGTGAACAGCAAAGCATCGATTTAATTCTCCACACCGTGTCAAGTGCAAGAAAAGAATTAAATTATCGACAATGCATCAATGAATTGACGAAAGTTTATAAGAAAGTTGAATATGCTGAACATGTTGGCATTCCAATTGAAAGTGAGTCTTTAGATGCAATCAAGAACTTTCTTATGTCACCAACATCAGTTAAAAACGCAAAAATTTGGAGTGAAAATGTTGCACGGACGTCATATGAACATTGCAAGACGCTTTACATTGCACAAGGCCAACGTTTGGATGCAATTCAGTTTGCTGCAAGTTCTGCATGTGGAATTAATAATTGTTTGATGTCAACTGACTTTGAGACTTCCGACAAGCTTAAGCAACATTGTGTAAAGTTTTACATCAAACTTTCTGAGTGGATTCAAAATGAAAATGAAGAATCACTCGCGATCAACAACAGTGAACATGAAACGCCTTTGAAGCTTCTCGTAAAATCGATAAATGACGAAGATCATGTTGATGAAAAGATGCCGTTGATTGATGCTGCAGTTGGAAAATTACTTCAAAGTGGGGTAAAGAAATGTCCAGAAATGACGAAAGTTTGGTCAGCACTTGGCGCATGGTGTTATAGATGGGGACGAAAAATGGTGGAATCAAAGACTGACAGTCACGGATTACGACCAGTCGATTCGGATGCGATTAAAGAACTTTTACCGGAAGCTGACGACGAAGTCATTGAAAAGATTTTAAGGATTCTCAACGAACAACACATCGTCGCAGAAGATGAAGACATTGGACCAAATGAGTTAAGTTCAACTGAGATTATTGAAAGTCAATTGCGAATGATTCCAATGTTGAAAAATCGTCCAAGTGACTTCATGGATTCGATTATTGAGCTATGGAAACAAGCACATCGCGAAGTTTATCGATATTACGAAATGTGTGCGATTTCCTACTTCAAGTTTCTTCTCTTATCGTCGAATAATGATGAAAGCTCATCAGGTGACTCTTCTGTTGTCACAGCGACACTTCGTCTCTTAAGATTGATTGTGAAACACGCACTTGGACTTCAAGAAGTTCTTGAAGAAGGCTTGTCAAAGACACCATCAGATCCATGGAAAGTTATCATTCCACAACTCTTTTCTCGTCTCAATCATCACGAACCTTACGTTAGACGACGAGTTTCGGAATTATTATGTCGTGTTGCCATCGATTCTCCACATTTGATTATTTTTCCAACAGTTGTAGGAGCGCAAGAGACGAAAGATGTTGCAAAAATCACTGACGATCATCATGATGAGAAGAATATTGAAATGGAATGGAAGAACAGCAGCTTGACATTCTGCTTTACTTCATTACTTGAAACTCTTTCAATGCAAAGTCCAGACACTGTCAATCAAGTTCAGTTGCTGGTTCGTGAACTCCGAAGAATTTCTCTGCTTTGGGATGAGTTGTGGCTTTTATCATTGAATCAAGTTTACGCTGAAAATGTTAAACGCTTTGCAACATTCAACAATGAGTTTCAAAAAACCGATCAATCACCAGAGAAAATTGTTCTGTTCACGGAGAAATATCGATTACTAATGAGACCAGTGTTGTTTGTTCTAGATCGTCTTCAAGAGTGGACAACAAAATCACCAGAAACAAACAACGAAAGAAGCTTTCAAGAAAGATACACAAAATTTATAGAATTGGCGATAAGTGACATGAGGAAGCCTTTTGACTCAAATAATCCGCTTGCTGCTTTTAATAAGTTTAAATCGCTTTATCAATTGATACAACAACGCGTTCACAAACGAATGAATTACACGCTTAAGATGAGCGACGTCAGTCCGGTGCTTGCAAATTTAACAAACACTCAAATTAGCATGCCAGGCGTTCAACCATCTCATGATAACGAAGCTGTTTACATTCAGTAAGTAGATAGTTTCTCTAATGTCGAAATCGCTTCATCTTTGTTGATGTTGACTTTTCATCTAAGGCCATTGACATTGTTTATAAGGAGAAATATTTTTTCTTGAATGAACTTCTCTTGTACACGAAACGTTTGTTTATTTTCTTTCACACTCAATTATAATTAACTCAGCATTTAATCACTTTACAACTCTTATAATAATTTGCTTTTAATTAAGCTCTCTACCTAGGTAGTGTTAAAATGTCCTTCAACATGAACTCAAACTTTGATAATATGAAAGTTTATTTTAAAATCTTCCGAAAACAAATTTAACTTCTTCTTTTCTGAAAACTTTATGCTTGTTTAAGAGTCTTGAGTAGTGCCTACAATGTCATTTTAAAAGGGTCAAAGACTTTGGTAGGAAAACAGGGATGTTGGTTTGTTTAATATGAAAATGGTTGCAATTAAAATGAAAAAAGTTTACGTTTTTGCTACGTTTTCATTACGCTTTCGTTACGCTTTTGTTAACAACACTTTATGGAAAAATGTTTATTGACATTCGACATCCCTGTTTGAAAGAAAAAGTTTAAAACTTCTTTTGTTTTGTCTTTTGGGAGTAAAGTATACAAGATTGAATAATTATATTTCATAACGATCCTAAGGAAATTACAAATATCACACCCAAAGGAAAGAAAGTCTCAATTTCTTAACGTTAGTTCCGAATGACGTCGTCGTTGAGTGCTAAAAAAAATTCATTTCATGTCTTTCAATTTTTAATGAGTTTTTTTTTTACTTCTTTACATTGTGTGGAAAATAACAGGTCCGTTGATAACACGATTCATATTCTACCAACAAAAACAAAGCCAAAGAAGTTGGCGTTTTACGGAAGCGATGGAAAACGTTATACTTACTTATTCAAAGGCATGGAAGATTTGCACTTGGATGAAAGAATCATGCAATTTTTATCAATAGCAAACCTTATGATGAAGAAATCTGTCGATTCAGATGGAAAAGTTACGCATTATCGTGCGCATCATTATTCAGTCATACCTTTGGGACCACGTTCCGGTTTGATAAGTTGGGTTGATGGAGTAACGCCGATATTTTCAATATATAAAAAATGGCAACAACGCGAAGCAGCATATCCAAAAAAAGAAAAGCCATACGTTGTAATGCGACCATCAGAACTTTATTATAGTAAAATTACACCTTTACTTAAGGAACATGACATGAAGCCTTCTGATAATCGCAAAGATTGGCCATTGGCAGTCCAAAGAAAAGCTTTTGAAGAGTTAAAAGCTGAAACACCGCGTGATTTACTTGGAAGAGAATTCTGGTGTATTGCCTCAACTGCTGCACATTGGCGTCACATCGTGAGAAATTATTCCGTATCGTTGGCAGTGATGAGTGTTATTGGCTATGTAATCGGCTTGGGAGATCGTCACTTGGACAACATATTAGTTAAATTGGCTAGCGGCGATGTTGTTCATATCGACTACAATGTTTGCTTTGAAAAGGGTAAAACATTGCGTGTACCAGAAAAAGTTCCTTTCCGAATGGTAAGTAAATGATTAAAATAGAAAGCGACAAATGATCTTTTAATCAATAGCAATTATCTAATGACATTTATAGACTCAGAACATCGAGGAAGCTTTAGGACTTACGGGAATTGAGGTGAGTACAAGCACATGTTTAACTAACATTAATTTACTACGACTGACTGAAGCCTCAGTGAGTTATATCGTCACATGATGAAAAGCGTGAAATTTTCCTTTTAACTTCACTTCACGCTTTCATAATTGATTCTTGCAAAGTAGTGGGAAGTTCCAATCATTTACGCTCATAAATATGCAATGAACTTATCGGCTTTAAATAGAAATGGTTTAAAGACTTTTGAGTAGGGTTCACTGTTGATGGGGTTTGGGGATTTATCAGTGATAATTTGAAAGTTCAATGAATAAATTTTATATTGGTTAATAGTTATGTGACAATCAAATCATCAGATGAAACGACATTTTACAGGGCAAACCCTACTTTTAAATTGAATACAATTATGCATGGCTTTTCATTGTTGTTATCGAGATTTTTTCGAATTATTATAATTCTTTTTACGTAATTTAATCGGATTTATCGTTTGTTGCTAGGCTTCAGTTCTTAAGATGCTTTAACATCGTCAGCTTCTTTTGTGACTTTTCTTTTCTTTTTCTTCTTGGCGACTGAATTAAAGTTTCATCAACAACATGAAGAGGATGAATGAAAATCTCTTTGCGAAAATATTTTTTATTCATGTTAATATTGTTGAACGATGTTGTATGGAAATATTTGACAAAAATTGAGTGTAGGTAGATGCCGAGGTGAACATCTTCCTCATCCACTTAGACCATTCTCCTGTCATCGTGTTGATAGCTTATAATTCAGGCTGAAATTTGATATGTTTACCACTGCATTAATGGAGAAAGGCAAATTCATGAATAATGAAATAATTTTGAGCACTCTCAATGAAGTTGGAGTTTCTGAAAATCGATTTCCATTTCCATTCAATGTCATTGGTTGTGTAAGGAAGAAAAGGTTTTTTCAAATTCACGGTCTCAAAAGAAGACATTTATCTTTTTAATAGGATAAACGATTGATTTTCATTAACAACTGGGGATGACTTTTTAACCGATAAATGTTTCATCAAGGGAGAGCTTGAAAATAGCGTGGGAGTGTTTCCATTTGTTGATGACATGAATGATGAGCGTTGTTTTATGGGGTCTGTGAGAAAAACGAATAAACTGTTGATTAATGCAAATGAAGTCGTTTCCTTTATCTCAACTCGGTTGAACATGATGATAAACTTGACACAAAGTATGGGTTTTTGGTTTTCTCACCTTTCTGGAAATATTTCTCTATAGTTGTTTGTGTAGAAATAGGGTCGAAGTCGCAAAGTATCAGTTTCAAGCTTTGTACAAAATTTGTTGATTTATTAATGAGAAACATAGTTAAAGCTCTTTAAAGCTCAAAAGATCCACATACATTCTCATTTATAAATATTTAATTTCAAACTTTCTGATGACTTAAACCTTAGAAACACAAAGAAAGAAAAATTTTTAAAATAAAAACAAAAGTCAAAAAACACACGAAATCGATGTCTTTACAATTTCAAAAAGTTTTTTTCCTCTCCATGACATTTCATAAAGTTTGAGTTGAAGTTTTATTTTTTAAAACAGAAACAATTCTTGTATTTACATTTCATGATAAAAGTTTTAAAGAAATATTTATTCATATGAGATAATATTTCACTTTATTGGCTTAAGGAAAAGTTTCTGTTTTGGGTTTAACAACATGAGGTTAAACAAGAAAGTTTTGTCCCTTTGAAAACGGCATGAGAAAAGGTCGCTTTTAACTTAACTTCAGAAATAAATTTTCATCTGAAAAATAAAAGTTGAAGTTAAGCAAGAGCAACATGAAAAGGTTTCAAGTTTATTTAATATCTGCTCAACATAAAAATAAAAGAAAGCGAATGACCTGAGCGGCACTTGTGGTGTAATGCGATTCTTTTCGCCATTAATTGGGTCAGCTAAATGAAGAAGAAGAAGAAGAAGAAGTTAGTGCTGTTGTTTGAGAAGGATGAGTGAGTGATTTTATTAAATGAATTTTTTCCTCAATTATTTTGTTTGTGCTGCTGAAAACAAATAATAAAATCTGGAAATTTGAGTCCATTGTGAACGCAGTGACCGAGTGTGATATTTCAAAGAAGACATAACATGAACACTTACAACGAATAATAAGATTCGTGTCTTCTACATTAGTAAATCCCTCCGAGATTTGAGAGATAACAGAAATAATGATTTTCATTTTATCGTGAAAGTTTTCCATTCAATCTTGTGAAGAATTGCGTGCTGGGATTGTGTTGAAGCATGTTGGAAGATTCTTCTCCTTAATGTTATTTTTCTTGAGCTTTTTCTACTCGTACGACACTTACAAATGACAATAATATATTAATAATCACAACGGGTAGACATCAACTGACAACTTTACATGTGAACAGTGAAAAGTGACATTAAAAATTTCCTTGACTTTATATCTATATCACTTAATACTTGACATTTGAATTAACATTGTCAGTAACTTAAAAAAAGAGAATTTCGTGATAAAATCGATTTCCGTGCTACATAAATGTTGACAATTGAATTTAATTTCGAGTTAGAAGGTCAAGTTCCATAAAAAACGTTGACAGAACGGAATAAAACAAGAAATAAATTTTAATTTCTAATTGATATCCGAAAATAGAACGTTTTTAACTCACCTGTTGATTTAGTGTTGACAGTTAAATTAAAAGCAATTATAAAGTTGAGTTTTTAACACTCATGGCAGTTTATTTTTTGAGATTCTTTTGTATACATTTAATCTCATGGCAAAACTCACCAACTTTATCTGAAAATGAAATGGAATAAAAAAGTTTCTTCCATTGAAATGAAACATAATAAAAAGCTTTCGTCAATTCAGCTGAATGTAACAAGGGAGAAAAAAGAAATCACAAATGAGTTGTTTGATTTGCTGTGCGTTTGATAGCAGAGAAGCGCTTAATGTTTCATATCTGTGAAATTTTGTGTGGCTGTCAGGTTTATCTCTCGTTTTATCTTTTGCTTATCTGAATAATGAGGATTGAGGCTACGATTTACGCTAATCTACTGTTTTATCAGCATATAAAACATGGGTGGTCGACATTAGTTTGGCTTATTCCGTCACAGTCTTAATTTCTTATTCACAAGAAATCTTCTCATAGTCGTCAGTAAGATCAGTTTGTAATCTCTTCAATCTTCATTGAAAATTAATTCTCGAAAAGTAATATTTCTCTCTGTAGCATTTATAATGAAATAATCTTCCTCAATAATAAACAAAATAAAAATAAAAGGCAAGTGCTTACACATCAAACACGAGCTGTGACAACAAAGATAAGCAACATGAAATCATTTTCATTCCATCATCAGGTGGCAATTCTCATGAGTATCTATGGAAAAAGTAATTAATATTAAATGATGAAACTCATTGACAATTCCATCAGCCACAATAATTTTCCTTCATTCGATTTCTATAATTTTTCTTTTTTATCTGTCGAAGCAAACCCGCTCAATTTTTTATAATTTTTCCGCTCACACACATGCCACATTGTATGTTAGTAGTCAAAAATAGGTTAATTAATTGAGTTAAGCGTAGGGCAAGCCAGTAAACTGTTTTAAAATTGCCGATGGTAGATATCGCCTTTCATGCGGGTTGATTGAAATATAAAACTAATTGTTTTTTAAATTAACTGCATTCCTTCAATCCTCAAGTTTGCGAACGTTTCTCTCTTCCTTTTCTACAATCTTTGTAATGAATATGAAGTCAAAATCTCTAGTTTTATTAAATATTTATATATTACATCAACTTCTTTATTAAAATATTGATTTCAAGAGATTAAATAAAATAGAAATAAAATTTGTTTTCATCTTTATCTTCACTTGAAATGTTTTTGTTTTTCTTTGTTTCCATCACAGATTTAATACTTTTTCCTAAAATTTTTGTAATAATTTAAATCATCTTTAAGCATTATAATTTAATTCGACGCTTTTTCGGTTAGAGTTGTCACAACTTCCATTACTTTTGTCAAGACCTTGAGCAGTGCTTTTGCTGGTATTGAAGCTTTTCGAAATGTACTTTCGTCTAAAGTTGAAAGCCGGAAATAAATTTTTATTGACACTTTTACCTTCACTGTTTGTGTCATTATTCGAATCATTTACTTTCTCATTCATTCGATATTTTGAGTGACTGAAGTCAAAGATAGCGCCATGGCTATTGCTTTTATTTGGACTTCTCGTTATCGCTATACTGTTCGCCGACCTCGACTTTATTTTTGATTGGCCATTCATAGTAGAGCAAAAGTTGATATTTAAAGAATTCTCTTTAAACTTTTTAATATCATCATCGCTCGCATCGTATCCGTAATTTTCCATCAACTGATTCACAATCAAATTTCCTGTCTTAACAGTTTTTCCATCATTTTCATTCTGGGTTTTTGTATCGCCATTTGTTATGATGGTTGTGAGTGTTTCATCGTCTTGTAACGTTGGCAATGTTGTGGTTGAAATGACAATTGAATTCTTCATGTCTGACTCAATTTTGATTGTAACCGGGGGTGGTGGATTGCTGCTGACATTCGTCATGTCGTTGCAACGATTAACTTTTGTCTCAAATCCTTCATGCGTTGAGATTTTATCTTCGTCTTCTTCAAATGTTATTCCCATAGCATGAATCGGTTCAATTTTCCTCTGCATAAATGGCGGAGTCGAATAATTCGGAAATGCACCAGAAATTGTATCTTGATGTTGTGCTGATGAGCTTTTTCGATGAAGATTTGATCTCATACTTTGACTTGGTTCGAGAGTATCAGGACTTTTACATTTTAAAAGATTACAAAATGCCTGACGAAAATTTGAGTTTTTCCAAGCATAAATGAGTGGATTCATTGCAGAGTTGGACATGGCAAGAGTAAATGCTGCCATATATGCAACTGCTGAACTACTCTCAATGATTCTATAAATTTGTGAACATGCAACGATGAAATACGGCAACCAGCAAATTGTAAAACATCCAAGAATCAAAAGCACCATCTGAGTGAAAGAAGAGAAATTAAATGAAATTATTAGCGATGGAAATATGTGAAAAGAATTTAATAACGCAATCTATAAACAAGATTGAGTTGAATGCGAAGGATATAAAACAGAAAAATTGCATTCGATTCACTTACTTGCACAGATTTCCAATCTGACGTTCCTTCCTGTTGTCCCGTCGTTCGTAGTTGTTTTACTTGCTTAGATGCTTCTCGCCAGATACGGCAATAAACAAAAAGCATGCACAGCCATACGAGTGAGAAGACGGGAGTTATAACGCCGACCATATACCAAGGATAAAATATTTGATCAAATTCACATTCCTGTGCATGTTCCCATTTGTTCCAAATCAAAGGAATTGCTGCAATTGTTAGGCCTACAATCCACCCGAATGCCATTAAGCACAAAGCTATCTTTCGTGTCATGTATCTGAATGTATATTGAGAATTGAAGTAGAAGAAAATAATGATGAATTACTTTCACTTTTATAAAGAAGAAAGGAGAATAAAAAGCGAAATCAGTACACGAAAATAAAAATGATATTGGATCGTTCGATGTGGGGAAATTCTCTTCATAAAAATATTTCTTTATTGCATTCGTCTTCGTCATGTGTCGTGTTAAATTATCATGAAGAAAAATAAATAAAATGAAGACGATATCAATATGTTGAATGCAAAAGAAGCAGAGAAGAATGAAAATAAATAAATCAAAGAAGACTTTCATTTGAGCTTCAAGAATAAAAATCGAACACTTGCAATGTTCATGGTCACATGTTGCTTAGTTATTTTCATTTCAAATACATTTCCTTGTCATACGTCGAGGATTACTGACTGACAACATATCTCATCGTATTTTTAAAACAAAGAAAGGAAAAACCATGGCACGAGTTGCTTCTCACTAAATATCGCGTAACCATTAATTGAATGAAATTAAAGTATGAAAATAATTATCCATTGGGTCAGGTTGTTTTCCACGTGAGTTCATGTATGTAGTTATGTTTTATTTCTTTATTAAGTATTTTCTTGTTGTTATTTTTAATATAAACCACAAACAGCGGTTTATTTATGTTTGATTTATGTCACGAAGATTGCCTCGTTAAAATAATTCTTCTACTTACACCACAAAGTCTTACTTTATGTCTCGTGCCTTTTTATTACTTCAATTTTATGCGTTAACGATCATTTTACTGTTTTTTATGGAGATGACATGATTTTTACTCACCGACTGTAATGTAGGGGATAGCAAATGGCGATGTAGCGGTCGAGAGCAATTGCAATAAGATTCCATATTGAGACGCAACACGCCATTATAACGAAGAAGAATCGAAGGAGACACCAATGCTTGCTACTGCCAAGTTCAGAACCCAAATAGAAGGTTAAATGATAAGGCAGTGTTAAGCCGACCAGAATATCGGAGATTGCCAATGACAGAACAAAATGATTGGAGATAACACTTCTTAGTCTACGACTGAATCTTACAGCGAGAATCGTTAAAATATTTCCACATAAAATGGCTACTAATAACAATCCATCAATTATCGCCCATATCACAAACTCATCTTCAATCGCTGACACTCTAGTGCTTGTACTATTCACTTCCTCTCTATTTGCAATCATTATCTCAGTGACAGCAGCTGATTCTGATATTTTTGTCACCATCATTCGCGTCACTTTTATAAATTTCTTTCACAAATAATTTTTGCCTACACAATAATTTGTTCTTTATTATTTAAAACACTTCTCCATCACATGATGATGTTTCATAGAATAATTATCACTAATGCACAATAAATATTTCTTTTCTGATAAGTTCTTTCTTTTTTAATCTTTAAACAAATAATCTGCTTTTTTGATGTCTCTGTTTTGTGTACAGAGTTCGAAAGATAATTTCTTTCATAATTTCCTTTCTTTTATAATTTTAATCTGTTTTCAAATGTACTAGATACTTTGTTCACATTAATAAAATATTAATGTTGATGCGAATTGTACGAGCAAATGTATTTTATGTAAAAGAAAAATAATGGAAAGCGAAAAATCGTAATGCGATCAGGAAAAGTTCAACAATCCAGTTTTATTTATATGCGAGTACAGAATAATTCACTTGACGTTTCTTTTATTTGATTTCGGTATTCTAAAGTCTAAATAAATTGTTGGCAAATGTTTTTCTTAAAATAACTGACAAATATTCATCACGACAGCACCATAAAAGCAAGTAGAACAAGTGAAGTGTCGAATCGAACTGTGGTTAGAAAATTATAATTTTCCTCGTCTCACAAATGTTTTGGAATTTTCTTTTCTTTCACTTTTCGAACATGTGAAAACTCTCGCGCTCTCAATTTTTCTTTTTCGAACTCAGAAGCCGCACTCTCTCTTAGAATTTTTCTTATTTTGGAAATCTTCTGGTTTATGTTTATAATGATGAAGATGATGATGAGTTGGTGTAATGAGTTTGAAAATATAAAATTAGCTTTCACTTGCATTGTTTTATTAATATTTTTCTATTCATGGTTCCACATTTCTAGAAATAAATAAATAAAATACCTAAATAAATATCTTTCCAAGTTTTTCTTTTATATTTAATTTGTAGTGCAATTAAGGGCGAATAATTTGTTACGTTGTGTCATCATAAGATATTCTTGTAACATTCTTTTCACGTAGGCATCAAGAATTGCATCATGTTGTCGGCTATTTAAGGTTTTTATGAGGAAACAGAGATTTTATTTCCATAAGAACAATAAAGACTGTGAAACGAGCAGAAAGTAAATTTATGTTGTTCTGCTTGCCTTTTTCTTATTTCACGCTCGTGTGATGTGAAATGCAAACATAAGAAAAGCTAAATTATCTTCACATATGAAATATTCATCATTTCTCTTCACATAATTTTATTCAATCTTTTGTTTTCATGTCTTTTTTTAATCTTATAGGGAACATTTCGTTTGTCGTGTGAACACGTGCTGAAATCATTGAAACGAGGCCGTGAAACGTTGTTAACACTTCTCGAGGCATTCGTGTATGATCCTTTAGTAGATTGGGCAGTTGGCGAAGATACTGTGACTGGTGGCTTAGCAAATCTTGGAACAGGAGTTGAAAAGGGTTCCAGCACTGTCACAACGGATTTAACAACAGCTCGTAAACAATTGGAACGTGAAGTTACCCGTGACACTTTAGCTATTCGCTTTACGGAAGTTAAAACCGATTGGCTACAAAATAGGGGAGTTATTATTAAAGTTTAGTTATCTTGTCATGCTTTCCAATATAAAATGAAAACAACTCATCGAATGGGAAAGAAGAAAAAAGTTCGATCTGGTCTCGTGTTGCACGACACGCGATGATTGAGAACAATGAAATCGAAACTAAGTTAAAGAGGACAATAGTGTTGTGGTGAAAAGAAAATTGTATCAATTGATTTTCCTTCCATTTGTTTTCTTTTTTGCTTAAGACTTTTGCGCGATAACTGAATTTGTGGGTGAATGGACTGAACACATGACATCTTCGAATTTTCTTTTCATTTCATTTGTTTGCTCTCCATTTGAGTAAAACAATCTTAAAGAAAATACGACTGGAGTTGCTTGTGCTTTCTCCGCTAAACTGAATTGAATTTCTGAATATTCTGAACAGAAAAAATCTCGCACAAAACATTTGCTCAAGTTGTTAAAAAATTTCTGTTTAATTTAATTTGATGGTTTTGGTGATGAATTTAACTTTCTTGTTGACGTAACATGCTTACGAATCTTAATTTTATTCTTAAGACTTATGAATAATTTATGATTTGGAGAAACGCGTTAGGCTATTGACATCATAAAACAATGGCAAAGTTTAATGGAAAATTTATATTTAAACATAAGCAAGTTTCTTATAATTTAATTACTCACAACGTTTATCTCTGTCGCATTATTTTATTTATAGTTTCTCTAATGAGTTCTGGACATTTAGTTAAAAGCTTTTATGAATTATAAAAAGCTTTAAGCTCATTAAAGATACTCCATCTTATCTGTTTGAAACACTTTTCCATCATTTAATGTCTGAGCGATGCTTTAACGAAACCATTCTCTGAATTTAATTTGTTAAAATTAGTTGAAATTGCAACTTGCAAAATGCAGAAAAGTTTGAGTTAGTAAAATAATAGAAATAAATTCATTTCCTTCTTTTTCTCGAGCTTCCATTAACTTTTTATTACTTTTATGTTTTATTACTCTCATCTCATTCTTTTCATTTTTATTTTTGTCAATTTCAACAAGTAAACAAACATGAGCATGATGAAAATTCGCTGTTGTTGAGGTTTTCGCTTTCATTTCATTCAATTGAATTGAAGCATGTGTAGTAAAGAAAAGAAGAAGGATTGGAGTGGGAGATGGTGAAAAATAGAAGCAAATATAACGACATTAGCTTGTATGTAATTTTTTGTTTTCATCTCTAAGTATCCTTTCCACCCACGAACGGCGTGTGTATGCGTCTCAATGCTCGAATAATGCTTAGAAAATAGAAGAAATATGACGATAAGAAAAGAAATAAATTGAAATGATGAGGTTTCCACTGCGACATTATCTAAAAGGAAGGAAATTTGATATTCTATTGCGATTTGTCTTGAAAAGATTATTATGCGTCAATGGAATAAGAAAATTCTTGAAAATGATTCAATTTTGGGATTATTCATCACTTTCATTCAATGAAATTCATTTAAAATAGAAGTTCAATCGTCGCTTCTGGAAATAAAAAAAATTCTTGCTTCATCCTATCATAAAAATTCTCGTAAATCATTAAGCAGGAAAATTCCTTTCATTATCTTATAAATAAATATTTAGCTATGCTTATTTTTTTTTTTTTTTTTACATTTATAATTTTTATTAGATCTCTAATATACACATAAGAGCTAAGCTCTTTTTAGACTTATTAAGGTTTTTTCGTGTACATAATTCAAGTATCATTAACATTTTATCAAGTTAGAGAGATATAAAGAAAAATTATGATTTTTTTATAAAGTAAATAATTCATGAAATTAATGATAACTTATAGGTGACCATCGTTCTGTAATCAAATTGATCTGCTTGTGATCCTCTTTGTGTCAACAATGATTGAGTTAAGTTGTTCAAGGTCGAAATGAATAAAAATGAGAAATTAAGGATTAACTTGAAGTTGAAAGGTTGATTGAGAAATTCTCGTAGCTATTAAGAACGCAATTTGGTGTAGAATGATGAAGCTTTATTAATTGACAAATTGTGTAAACAAAGTCGTGAAAAGAAGAAGGAAAATGATCCCTTTAGATTATTTACTTACCCTCAACCACAATGACACAAATAATTGTTTACAAAGATATTCTGTTGAGTGAATATTAATCACAAATTTTTTTTTTCTTTTTCAAATGATTCACAGGGACGATGTTTACAATCAATTGTTGTTGATGAAGAATTACTTAAACGACTTAACGATAAATCGAGATGAAATCAAAAGCTTGGAAAGCCAAAGAAGTTTGTTGTCGAAAGAAATTTCTTTGGTTCGTGAGCTTGAGGCCCTGGGATCAGCAATGTCGAGTCATCCACTCAACACTTTGTCACAACGATATGGAATATATAAAAAGAAACGAAACGACGTTGATATGATTAAAAACATTTTATTGGAGAAAGCGATCGAATCGGAGCGTATGATTGAAGATTATTTGAGTTTCGAAGAAGACGCAAGTTCCGGTAGAATCAACAACATTTTGATTGACATCAAGTCCAATTACGTTTCGTCGTCGTCGTCTTCGGAGTTCGATTTGATCAAGGAGTTTCTGGAAAGTTCAAACCAAGGACAAACCTACGTGCAAAGTGAACAGTTGGCCAAAGAATTGCAAAGCTCATTACTACAACAAAGGAAAATTATTTTATCTTCATTCGAAGCATTGTTGCAGTATTACAACGTTGCCAAATTTTATCCAACTGACCATGTGTTGCATCATCGATTCGCTAAATATTCTCAATGGTGTCGTTCGCTTATCGCCAACAAATCGCATGAATTTCTACGTGAAATTGCATTGGCTTACAACAGCAATTTTGGTGATACAGTGATGAGAGAACAAGTGCCGGAATATGTCATCGGCTTTGGCATAACATTGCAAACTTTTCTGACAGACGCCACTTATCAACGCGACTTATCTCATCAACACTTACAACAGCTGTCGGAATATGTCGAGAAAGGTAAAAGCTTTCATGTTGCCAAAGAAGAACTGTATGAGTTTGTTAACAAACAAATGAAGAATACAAAATGTGTCGACGAAAGCTTTTCCGTATGTAATCTAACGAAAATGGTGAAACGTTTGTTAGCTGTTGAAATGTCAATATTGGATGCTTCTGCGGGTGGAGATCACTTGAGTGAGTTCACAATCAATGAACGTTGGTTTATCGATGAAATTATGATTCAAACCTCGTTCTTATCCAACATCAGTGAAATTGTTCTCGATAATTTAATATTGAAGAAGAACTCTTTGCTCAACAACAGTTGGGAGTACTTTAAGACGATTAAAGAGACATTCGAGACATTCAATCGAATCAAAAATGATTTTCAACTCAATGTTTTACGCCAAAGTCTTCAAGGAATTATATCTGAGAATAAATCAGTCTTGGAAATGATTTCTGCTTTATCGAACATTAAAACAATTAATTTGAATGAGCTTTCAATGAAACTTCAAGAAGATCTCGTAAGTTGCATTCAAAACCCAAATCAGAAAGCAATCTTAAGAGCAGCTGAATTAAACGATGCCTATAACAAAATGGTTATTCAATACGAATCAATGTCTGAAGATAATTTAGGCAGAAAGATTTTCCTTTCACTTCATGGAATGTTTAACGAACTTTGTCAATATACAAAGAAGATTGTAAGTTTCGATAAGACAATTAACGCAATTCCAGACGAATGGACACAAATATCTGAATTGGAACAATCAAAGAAACTGTTTATTTCGCCAATAAAAACCACAACTGGGATGGTATTACAACAAATATTTTTCGTGAAGCGCATTCAAGCGATAATTGATTTCTTCAGTAATTGTCTTCAAGTTGCGTGGGCGTTCAAAGGTTCTGGTGTGATGATAAACTTTGACATTGAATTTCTGACGCGACCTCTTAAATCTTACATTTCTGAATTCATCATGAAGTTTGTTCTTGGTCGTGGGTCGTACAGCTTTACACTCATCATTTGTTGCTTGTTGGAACAACAGAAGCAATGGGAGCACAGAGGAGAAAACAAACTCTTCTCGTTGGAACAAATTTGCTTCATGATGATGAATTTTAATTCCAATGTTTATGAAAAGCTTTTCATTGGACTTGAAGAGCGCTTCAGAAAAGAAGAAGCTTTGGAATATTACAAGAAGAATGTTGAGAAACAAGACGAGCATGTAAAACAGCTGACATGTCTCTTGACTGCACATCACTGGCTTAATGAAGATTTCTTCCCTCAAGTTACAACTTACTTACCTCCAATTCCCCGGGCAAATCTTCTCCTTCAACTTCAAAACTTTATTCAAGGTTTATCAAGTTGGAATGCATCGATACAGAAGATTCATGAAGAGCTTCAGCGGATGATTATAATTATACTGCAACGGTTGAAATGGGCGTCGGGGGCAAATCCAATGATCATTGATTTGATGAAGACATTCGAGACACTTTCTATATCGAGAGAAATTCAATATGAAAAGGAAAAGGAACACACGACAATCGCATTAAAACATTGCTTTTCTGTATCGAGTTATGAGATGCTTCGATTTAAGACACCGAAGGCAGTCGTAAGTGACGATGAATTTCTTAATTTCCTTCAACAATGGGAAAGTGTTTGTGTTGGCGAGAGAAATGTTGCGCACACTGTTAATCCAATAGAGGAAGCTTTAGTTGAGTTATTGGATCCTGAAGGGAAGATAGATCGCATGTGGATTGACAATGTGACATCACTGATTGATGATATGATAAATCAAGTACACAGCGATATCGATGCAATGGAAAAGAATGTGACGACAGCTCGTGACAATCTCGATATGTGCGCGCATAAACTTCGAAGCTTCATCGCATCACATCATCGCATCTCGTCTGACATCAGAAACTTATTGAAATCAATGCTAAAGCATGATGACAGCGACCGTAATAGAGCATTAAAAGAATATCTTCTGAAATATAAAATATTTATCGAAAACGTCACTGAACTTCATGGAAACGTGTTGAGTAAAGATTTTACTGACGTCATGGTGAAGCGAACAATCGAACAAGTGAACGATTCACTCATTGTAATTAATGAAATTTACAATGATTTGTTTACATTCGAGAAGACCTTGAACACCAACTTAACAACTGATAAGACAACGCAGCACCAGAGCAGTTTGATGAGAAATCTTTCCGAACTTTCGACTGAGTATTGTGGAAGTCCCAACAAAAAAGGTAAATTGAATAATTATCTGAATGATATTAATTTGGAGCTTGGAATTAGATGAAGATAAAAATTCAATTTCAATTCCAAGCTTTGCGTTTGTTTCTCAATAAATAAATACCCAGGAAATTGATCTGATTATCTTGTCTCAAATATTTATTTTCCTTGCTTTTTCTTTTCCACCATTCGCCGACTAACAGTATCGAATCACAAGGAACAGAAACGGAATGCTTACGCAGTGTCAGTTTGGCGAAGGATTCGGATGAAGTTAGAAGGCCGTGACCCAGATCCAAATCATACGTCTCGTGTGCAAGAACAGGTGGACTGGATGATTCGTGAAGCATTGAATCAAGATAATTTAGCGCTTCTATATGAAGGTTTCACATCATGGGTCTGAAGGGGATGACGTCGGTAAAGACTTCGGTTCAATGGTCAAGAAATGAAATGAAGGACAAACAAACATAAAAAATTAAACATCCAAAATTTTATCAACAAAACATCAAAAGAAGCTCTTACGGCTACCATTTTCAAACACAGTTCAAGTTTGTGAAGTTGTTTCTCGTCGTCTTCGAGTCACCGATCACCAACCATTCGAAGTTTAATCGTGGCGGTTTCAATTAAATTCATAATATAAAAAGAGAACATAAATGGAAATGGAGAAGTTACGAGCGCATAGTTAAATGTCAATGATGTGAAATTAAATGAAGAAGCATCTTGGAAAACAAGGAGATAACCGTAATGATGGTGACAAATCTTACGGTTTGATCCTTTAATATTTAATTCTTTTCTTGTACTTATTTTCTTTTATCATTTGTTTACGAAATTAGCATCACTAAACCATTTTTGCTTTCACTGATTTTTATTTCTTTCTTTCGTTTCTAAATTTCATAAAGCTTTCTTAATTTATAAAATTTCCATTCTTTATTGACATTTTTAAACAGAGAGAAAATTCTTTAATTCTGAGGAAAAATTATTTCATGAAAAGAAAATTGTTAAATCGCTGGAAAATTGAAAATAAAATTAATAAAAGCTTCTTTAGTTGCAAAATATTTTACTTCGATGTTGTTTGCTTTATGCAATGTTGTGACTTTATTGAGTTTTCTAAGTTTCAGGAAATTGTTTTATAAACTAACATGAAGCATCAATTTAGCGCAACATTTATGGTAATTTAAGTCAATCATTCCCCTGCATATATTTTTAATTGATTGAAGAGTTTATTAATTGCAGTTCATTAAATTTATATCTGCATGAAACAAGACGTTGAAATAAATATTTCTTGATGTTAAAAGAAATACGAAACTTCGACATTTTTTAAAAGTTTCCCATTTATTTTCAGATATCTCAGAGATTTCAGAGAGTTTTCATGACAACAAATTTTATTTTTCATAACTTTCAATCATAGTATCCATAAGGAAAATCACGAATTTTCAGATCGCAGTAAGCCTTTAAAAGAAAATTTTCTTGTCAATTGTAGTTCGAGGAATTTCAAAGTGGAAAGGTGAAAAAAAAGTAATTTTGTGAAAAAAAGTGATTAATGTGATTTTTTTTTGTTTCATTATAGAAAGCAACACATTACAAGCAAAAGATATCAAAATATCGGAACAATTTAAAGGAGAACGAAAGTTGTGAGTTAATTTTCTTAATTTTTTCTTTATTTTTAGAAAAATGAAGAAATTTATTGCCATTGGATTAGGATTTACAGGATTAGCCTATTTAGGCTGTCAATTGTACAATTTGTGGAAGAAATCAGAAGAAGAAGATGAAACGAAATCAAATGAAGCAATGGTTGAGGAAGTGGAATTTGTGGAAGTGGAATTTGAAGAGGACAACCATTTGCTGAACTTCGATGTGGAGGTAAACTATCATCTTTACCGGAATCGTCGGTACTATCCAACCTTGAATTTCAATCGGGAATTAGAACTTATTGAAGAAGATGACTATTGGGATGACTTGGATGTTGATTTTGAAGAATTTTTCTAAGTTTTGAATTTTCATAATGTAACTTTGTTTGATTAATTAATTTTGTTTTTTTTTATAGGTTTAAGGATTTGGTGGAGGGTTTATTTTGTGAGTATGTTTGATTAATTAATTATTTTCTTGTTTTTTTTTTGTAGGTTTTAGGATTGGGTTGGACCAATCCTAAAACCCCCCTCACCAATTTTTTTTAACAGAATTCAAGAAATTTCTCAAAAAATCAATAAAAAAAATCGATAAAATCGATAAAAATAAATTAAAAAAATCGATAAAATTGATAAAAATCAATAATTATAACAGAGAAAAATCAATAAAAAACGAAACACCCAAAAGCCATCCTCGATTTTTCTTTAACTTTATATTCATGCCATGACATGAACTTTTCAACTTATTTTCAGCTAACAATTCGAAGTTGTCACTGCAACATCTGAGTTCTTAAATTTTTTAAACTTTTACAAACTCTTTAGCATAAATTGTAAATAATTTAACTTTTTTATTAGCTTTATTTGCTTTTCTCATTAAACTAAGCTGACCTTGTTCACCTTTTGTATTTTTAAAATGAAATGAGATGTATAAATTGTTTACGTGACCTCAAAATGAATAGAATTCTTCTTTCTTATGTCTTAAATTGTGATCTTTCGACAAGTTTTTCTGTGCATAAACAACATAAAAAATTTTAATTTCATGTCTACATTAATTTGAAAAATGGATGTTATTTCATTGTGAAAGCCTTAATGTTCACAATTTCTTACCTTTTCAACTGGTATGCAAGGAATGTTACACAATCAATTGTTCTGTCGAAAATAAAGATGTGAATAAATTTATTTGCTACTCATTTATTACTAACGCCTGGCAAACAGAAGATAAATCTTGAAGTAGCTTGTGGTATTTCATTATTTACGACAATTCTTTTATGCAACACTTTTATGGCAAAATTCGACGACATTAACATCGCATGAGGAATGAAAATGGTCAAAGATGGCTATCAATGATGATACTCAGATAATCAATTTGGATCAAACATCATGTGAGTGAATTTGAAAGCTTCCAATTATTTTACAAACCCACGCATATGAGATAAAACGGGCATAAGGTTCGAAACATTGTGCAGTGATGCCTTTCAACGAGCATCAACAAATTTGAATTGCGGACAAAACAAAATAGAATTGCCAAACGTACTACGTAATAAGCTTGAATGAACTGTGTATAGACGGAAATTTGTGATAAACGAATGATGAATTAGAGAAGAAAATTGGGAAATTCTCTCATTTGTGTAAAACTGCTTTGGGTGTGAGTGAAATCAACCGTGAACTGAGTTACACTCAGAACAATTTGTCATTCTCATTCAGACAGTAATTCTCCATTCAAAATAACTCGCAGACATCACTCACTGAAATGTCCTTCGACTTTTCATTTTCACACCTGTTGATATCAGCAAATATCGATGAAAGTGAAGTTTGTCGAACATTGACAGCGTTAAAACGAAATTTCTATTTAAACACTTCGTTTGCCCATCACCAAACATTCAACTTGTGTGGCTTTGAATTTCGTTTTATTTTCTTCATCTCGAAGCTTTTTTCCGATGCTTCATACATTCAACGCTTTTATCTCAAAAACTAAAGTGCTTGATTGCTTCATAAGTCTTCATTAAAATCTTTCTTCTACTTCTTCTATTGATTACTTTTATGGCTTCGAGAGTATAAAAAAGGATTTTCAATATTCACGAAAATTGAAATTGAAAAATTTATTATTTAAGACAATTTATTTTTCTCATTATGATTTTTCTCACTCACACCCACGCTTAACTATCATTTGTATATCTTGAGAATAAGAACATGAATACTTACAGTTTGTAAAAGTTGAAGAAAAGTTTCCTTTGAAAGTTGAGAAGTATCAGAGTTTAATTAAAAGTTTACTGCTTGAATGTTCCTTTATTTAATGACTTTAATGAGCGCTTTTCGAAAAGTAAGCACAAAATATATGCGGGAAATCCTTTGAATAAAACAATCTGCAGACATAGAAATGCTGAAACTGTTTTCATCAGTGAACTATTGTTAAAAAAAGATGATGAGGTATAAATAAGTATTCACAAACTCCTACACATTCACCCAATTATATCTTGCCGTAAAAGTTCCGATAAGATTATATTTTGCTTTACAAATTCTCTCATTCGTTTTACGCCCTGAAGCTAATCATTCTTGCTCAACAAGTGCATGAATTATTTCATCGAGGAAATCTACCCAACTCTAACTTAGGCAAGAAACTTTTCTGCTGATTTCTAAAGTGAAACGATACATATTAATGTCGAAAATTTTAACTTTTCTCTTCTTCTTCTTTTGAAACAAAACTTGCGATAAATATTAATTAGAGAAACCTGAAGAAGGCCACGATAAAACAAGGAAGAAGAATATTACAGACAATGGAAGACAAAATAAGTATCTTAAACTTATTTAATATTTCAACCTTGGATCTTAAACCTTTCTCCGCTAAAACATGATTTCTAAGAAGACAAAGTCTTTGTGATTATTTTTCGTTGAAACATCTTTGCACGTCTTCTGTCTCGTACCTGAATAAATTTGTAAGGCATGTCTGAATTTGTAAAGAACTAAAATTGACCAAATCATTATCATGGGCAGTGCACACCGACGGTTTGGATTTTCCATTGGGAAAAATTCTTTTCTTCTCATTTCGGGGTAAATTCTTTCATTCATTAACTTTTATTCTTAAAATTACATATATAAAAATACTGATTCTCAAATATTTGTTCAATTTACATAGACTCAAATTGACAAGACAACAAATCTAGACAGCCTAAGTTAGATAACAAAATATCAAACTTGTAAGCCACACAACAAAACTTGCTTGAAATTCTTTTATTATTGTGGTTCACGTTCATGATGAGAATACATGAGAAAAAATGAAACTCAATCAGAATTGATGGAAAATCGAAAAATAAGAGAATCACAATAATCAACTGCGGATCTATTGCTTTTATTTATTGATTTAGGTTCATCAAAATTTAAATCAGTCGAAGCGAATGCAATACACAACAATTCGAACAAGAGAAAACTGATTAACTTCATTGTTTGTACAAACATAACGTCCATAAAAGAGATTCGAGGAAAATTTCTTTTTTTAAAGAGAGAATTTTCCGAGAGTGAAAATTTTTCTTTCGAATTTCGAAATTCTCTATTTTGATGTTCCCTTTTTTAATAATAGAAATTATTAATGTTTCTTCTTCTCAATGATGAATATTTTATTCGCATTATGACCTATTTTTAATATGTTCATGTGATGATTGTTAAGTTATGGAAATTGAATTTAGAAGATTTATGAATAAATTAGTCGTGAAAATTTCGTTAACCTTCTGGCCACTCTCAACAACTGATGAAGTTGTGAATGAAAGCAGCCACTTCAAATTTTTCTATTTTCCTCTGTACAATAATTTTAAGTTTTATTCATATGGAAGATTTCATTGAGCGATAATAACTACACGACGATGTAATGTATTCATTGAAGACAGTTTAAAACAATATTTCAGCATATTTAACAAGAAAAACGGTCATCGTCTGACAGCGTGAATGCTTTCACTTCCCTCATGCCAGCATTCTTGATTTACTTTTGAAATTCAATTTTCTTTCTGATCTTAAATATTCATAAAATGAAGATGAGAAGAAGAAACAAACTCTGTATGAACTCATTTTTGATATCATAATTCTTCGACCTTATTAATGAGAAACGAAGATAGAAAATTGATTTGTGTGTTCGTTTGATTCACACTTCACATCTTTACATCTCAATTGAATGTATGAATTAAAAATTTAGTTATTTACACCACATGTCAATATTTTTTTAAATGTTTCCTAGAATTGTTGTTTTCGCTCAGCAAAACCCAGAAAACAAACAAATTACAAAGTGTTGTGAGGTTTGATTTTGAGTAGATAAATGAAATTTGAAAGCAACGATCATCATGTTGAAGGGAAGAAAAACGAATTTTCAGATGAAAATCAAATTAGGGAAATGAGCGCATGGGGAGCTGAAAATGGTGAAATATTTCCACTTTTTTTCTGAAAAGATTTTCTTATCAAAAATGAAGATAATAAATTTTAATGAATGAAAATTTTACACATCTTTTTGCATATTTTCATACGTTTACAGTTTTTATGTTTTTTAATGCGATTTGAATGAAATATTTTTGTTGAGAATGAAATTATGTCAGAATTCATTTGCAGTTGCTCGAAGCACGATATTTACTAATAAACGTCATCACAATTATTGATTTCAAAAATGAATGATGATGATGACAGTCTTAAAGTTTACTTAAATAATTACCTCGAGTTTGAGATGAACTAGAAATTGAATTTCATGTGTTAGAAATAAGAAAATCAAATGAGATTCTAAAATTTCAAGTGGAAACAGTCACCTTCATAAATGATGGAATGCCAATGCGTAACATTCAAATTTCATCGGAATCTATCAAAAACGTAAACAATTTGATGTCTATGGTGTCGATGTTGAAATTGCTTGTAGCGTTTTATAATTAGAATGAGTAATTAATAATAAGAAATCAATCGATCAGCCGATTTCCTTTGATTTTATTTGCTGGTTTTTCATTCTAATGCGAATTGTTAATTGTTAATGATAATGAAATTCAACACGTAATTATAATTAAAGATGAAATTTCTTCTCATAAAAATTCATAAAAGGAAGAATTTCTTTCATTAATTAATTAATTAAGCAAATGAAAATAAAATAAAATTTAATTTTTCAATTGAATTCCACAAGCTTCCATTAGGTGATTCATTGGAAGTCATGAATATCAATTAAAAGGATTAATTTCATCTTTTTTTAATGAGTTTGTTTAGTTTCGCTATCAATGAATGAAAATGTCAAAAGTCAAGTTTTTTACTACTGACGTAGGTCAATGAAAATTGTTTGAATTAAATTTTTATCAAATGATTTCTTCGAGAAAATCAAGCAACGACTCTTAAGTAAACCTTTTGACTTACTTAAATATTTACCATGACTGAAAGGAATAAATTTTCTGTTCATTGAACGATGCGTGACATGAAATTAATTTTGAATCACCAATAAATAAACAAAAAACCAAAATAACTAATTAAGCAACATCACGTGAATATAAATTTGTGTAACTTCATTTGAAGCTTATCTCTCCATAAAATCAACGATTGAAGTTTTGATAAATTTAATTAAAAGAAAATTTACATTTCAACTGTACATAAATGGCAATTTATTTCAATAACAAATGACTTAGCTTTTTGCTGAATTGAGTTCTTTTTTTTCTTTTGCTACAAGAGGGTTTTTGTTTGTATTTCTTAATAGATCTGTTTGCACAATATGTTGCAAACAATGCTGATAAAATATCATCGGTAGTCCTTTTATAGTTCATGAGCAGTAAGATTGGTTGGTTGGCAAATTTAACCGTAGTATGGGACAGCTGGATGGGCAACAGCAGCTAATGAAATAATCAAAAAATAAATTAAAACGAAATTCAAAGAGTCAAATTAACTACCAATTGGTGCATGGTAGGCTGGATAAGCAGCAGCTATCATGCAAATAAATCATTAATGGAAAAAGTAGATTTAAAATTATATCAAAACTTAAAGTTACTCACCGATTGGTGCGTGGTATGCTGGAGCTACAACCTTGGCAACTGGGTGAGCGATTGCTGCTGGGTATCCATAAGCTGGGGCAACAACTTTAGCGACTGGGTGAGCGATTGCTGCTGGGTAACCATAGGCAGGGGCAACAACTTTAGCGACTTTAGCGACAACAGCAGCTTCTTTGCGGACAACAGCGTTGAATCCATTGACTGGATCAGCTGTGTAGTCAACGATACGTCTGGTTCCGTCAGCTTCGATGAGTGAGTATTGTCCAGTCACAACATCTCCTTGTCTTGATTCTGATTGTGATTTGCTGTCTCCGGTAAGGGCATCGTTGACTGAGTATGTGTATTGATAATGTGGGTTGGCATCATATTCAACAGTTTTAACGACAGCTGGGGCACCGACAACTTTAGCAACACCATAGGCTGGGGCAGCTAATCCGTAAGGTGTAGCAACAATTGGTGATCCTGATGCACAAGCGATCAAAACGAAAACTGCAACGAACTTAAACACAAAACAAAAGAAATTTTCTTTCAAATTTCAATTTAAATAACTTTGTTAACTCACTTTGAACATTTTTGATTGATTTTTGTTTTTGGTTTTATTTAATAAGACTACGAAGTATTCGAAAGAATGAAATCTATTGACTGACTTGATTTATGCTGCATGCTGCGAGCTTTTATATGAATTGCGAACAACGACAATTGCAGTATCTTGCACGCTTTACCCTAGATAAACAGCATCAAAAAGTGTATAAAATGCAATGTCTTGAAGTTTTTTTAGATAAATTTACGAATGTATAAACGCAACCGATCACTTTTCACCATGACCTAAAGTTTTTCTTTCTTTCTCGCTTTACTGTCTGCAGAAGTTTATGCACAAATTGCAATCATGTGTGTACTTAGTTAATGCTTTTTCGAATCATTCATAAATAGAATGATATCGAGTAATAATTTGTTCATGGCTTTTAAATGCGTCATCTAATAAATTGCTGTTATTTATGTAAGTAATCTCTGCTTCTATGTAGATAAACGCAATTGCATTGAACCAACGCATGTCGTTTATGTGGATTTATTTACACGTGTAAACAGCTTAATAGCAGTGATTTGAAAGTCTTTTGATATTTTACATGAGATATTTGCTTTAATGGAATGAATTAACAAAAACGTCACTAGAATATTGAACTCAATCAATTTTACTCGAATATTTTACATCAAGTAAAATGTCGCCTTAATGATCTTGTCGCAGTCAAGAATTTCACAATTTGTTGTCACCAGTTTGTCTACACTAAACTTAAATTAATTGGTTAAAGATTTTTGTTCAACTTTTGAAAGAAACTTATTTACGAAAGGTGATAAAAGTTCTAAAAATATTTCATTAAATTTTGCCTCAAATTTTCTTGAGTTTTATGGATTCACAAGAAGTAACTTTAAGTGATTTTTGAAAAGTATCTTTCGGTTAATTAATTTAAAAATTTAAGTGATTAAAAATATGCAAGCAAGCCCCACAATCATCAAACTTTTATGATGAATTTCCAATAAATTTTACGATCGTCTGACCTAAATTCCTTGTTCGTGGTAGTCTTTACTGTGGCTAAGAAAAGTAGTATCAATGACAGTGAAAACCTTTGGCACGAGTCTTTAAACTACTTAATTTTTGCAGATGATGAAATGTGATGTAATTCATGAAAAAAAATATTAACCAGGTGACATGGCATGCGTTCATGAACATTACGTCACAAAATACTAAAAGCCAACACGTTGTCTTCTTCGCTTCGAAGTTCGCACCAATTTGCAGCTTTGCATGTGTAATTGAACAAAAGAAATTGATAGTTGATCGTGATGTGCATGCAAGAAATCGAAATCGAAAACATTCTCATGCAAGTTGTGAGTTTACCCCGGTTTATCGCAATTGGAGATGGTCGATGTCATACCGATATTAGCAACAATTGCAAAGTGTGATTGCAACATTTTTATGGTATAAATATTTGGACAATTCGATCTATCAATTCAGTCGCACATTCAAAACAAGTGAAAATCAAGTTAATTTGACTTAAAAAATATAACAAAAAATAAATTTTACAATGAGTTTGCTTAAAGTGAGTTTTGCGTGAAATTTTAAAATTTGGATTACATTTAAACATTTTTCAATTTGAATTTCTCATGAATAGTTTGCATCAATCTTGTTGGTCGTGACAGTAGTGAAAGCTGGACTTGCACCATTGGCTTATTCAGCATTTCCATATGCATCTAATTTAGTGTCATCGCCAGTTCTCGCTCGTTCAGCTCCACTCTTAGCTAGTCCATATTATGCACGTTCATCACTCTTAGCTTCACCTTATGTCGCTCAACCAGCAGCTGTTGTTGCCAGAACTGCACCATTTGTCGCTAGAGCTGCACCATTTGTCGCTGCACCAGCACCAGTAGTTGCCAGAGCTGCTCCGCTTGTTGCTGCACCTGCACCAGTAATTGCTAGAGCTGCACCAGTTGTTGCACGAACAGTTGATCTTGATGATGCCTACCCACAATATCAATACGCCTACAATGTCAACGACGTTTTGACTGGAGATAACAAAGCTCAAGAAGAAATTCGTGATGGTGATGTTGTTAAAGGATTTTACAGCCTTGTAGAAGCTGACGGATCTGTGCGAAAAGTGAACTACTATGCTGATCCCGTTAATGGTTTCAACGCTGTTGTTTCAAAATCACTTCCTGTTGTTGCTGCACCCGTCGAACCTGTTGCTAAAGTTGTCGTAGCCTAATCAATTCAAAAGACTATAAATATAGAAAAATTGTTGAAATTCGCAACGTTTTTACCAGCCCAGGATGATCCTCAAAATGCCAGAAAATGACGAAGATTTAAGCTTATAAAAAGAGTCAAATTTTACTTTTAAATAAATGAAACTAATCAAATAGATTTTGAACAAAATAAGAGCAAAGCTTCTTATTCTTCTATCCAATGCAGTCATCGCTTCAGAAAACATTTTTTACAGCTCTTTACGTATCACCATGAAATATTTAAACATCAAACGCAAAATTCACAAAAATTATTCAGCAACATCACGTGCAACTTTGCATTGAAGCCTATTTTTCCATGAAATCAAATTTTTGAATTTGGATTTTATGAAAATGAATTCATTAAAATTGAACAGTTTTAAAGTTCCGAAGAAAAAATTAATTTTAAAATTGAGTCAACAACCAATTTGAGATTATTTTAATAAGTTTGATAAGCTGCTGATGTGATTAATACTATTATAAACATTTTAATGGATTTCTCCAGGATATAAAACCATGCAAAAGTTCAACTTTAAAAGCACAGATCAAAGTTTTACATGGGAAAGCTTAAAATGTGAACAAAATTCATTGGATTTAAATTTTGCAACAATTTTCGAATGAGGCTGAAAAATTTAATTTTCATACGCATTTAATTATTTATTTGTGTTAAAAATATTTCAACATTGGAATGGTGATCTTTCTATTTCAAGAAATACAAGAAGCTTTATTATTAGAAGCTCTCTCAAATACCTAATTTTGTAATGAAAAACAACTTTTCGATACGATAAAGAAAATTATCATATAAATGTACGATAAATTTAGAATCTCCATTTCAAAGAATAAACATGAAGATATTTAGTAAATGACGTCAAGAGAATGTTTAAAAATATTGAAGAAAATTTCATGAATCATCTTTTTAAACTCCCAGACGAGATGAAATGATTTCGACGCACCAACATAATTTGTAAACGTTCCCATAAATTCCACGAATTCAAAAGAAATTTAAGCCGCAATTAAATATTTTTCGATATTAAATGTTTGTTTTTTGGCATTAGAAAATAAAAAAATGAACAAACGTATTCAAATTGTTTATACAAATTTTGTTTTACTTCAAAATAATCTGAATGAATCAAAATAACATAAATAAATTATTAGACGTATTTTTAACAAATACGCTTATGTGACACGAGTTGGATTTCCAAGAATTTAGACTTTGCTTGTTGTTCAAGATTTTTATTCCATTGTATAAAATAAGATTACAAATCTCTGGAGTTGAAGCTTTTAAAACTTTCTATGACAAGTTTTAATGGATGAAATTAGTTAGTTAGTTATGTTGCATCTTGTTTGCATCATTTTCTTCCTTCCTGTTTCCCTTTTTATTTTCTCAACTTTCTTAAAGTCTCTTCAAACTTTATAGCACAACCACTTTACTCAAGTTCATGAAATAAATCTAAGTTCGATTTACATAAATGGAGAGTTTACACAGTTTGTGCAGAAATTTCATGTCAAACTCGAGTTTTCACTATCGATTACTGAAAGTATTTCACTTTTATGCTACCATTCAACTAAAAGCTTTCAGAATGTTCACTAGCTATGATTTTGTTAAAAGTTTGAACAAATAAGTACACTTCACGAGATAATCAGCACATTATGAAATACTCGAGAACGTACGTTTGTTTGGTTTGAATGTATGTATTATAAAATGAGTTTGAAAAACGAGAAGAGATTCTTGAGCAGATGTTTGCATAAAATTTTGATATTCACCCAGATAGATTTTCATAAGAATTTTCCTTTAATTATTTAGCTATTTTTAATTCATTTGCAAGATATATGATTTCAAGTTTCCTTAAATTAAAACAAGCTCGTTTTGTTGAAACAAAAAGATTTTATTTAACTTCGACACAGAGTTTATGATTCAATATGAATTCACCCTGAGCATGTTGGGGTTCACTTTTATTCAAACTTTTATTTTCCTTTCATCCCATGTTATGTAGTTGTTAAAATGTAAATACATAACAATGAAAATTTTTCATTTCTCTTCATATCAAATATTGTTTGTTCAAATATAAAAATGAAGGTAAACATATTCACTAAAATTAATTTTTAACGAAGTTTTATCATCAAGTTGCAATTTGATAAAATTAAAGAATGTATTTCAATAAAGGAAACCTTGAAGCGATTCGTGTTCTTTTTTAGTGAGAACAATAATAAAAGATTTCCAGATATTGATCTAATCATTAAAACATAAATTTCAATGTACATTAAGAGAATACGAAATTAACATTCCTCGAATTTTCCTTTGAAGAGGAAATAAAAGAAGAACAAATGAAACATGAAGTTCAATATAATGATGAATTGATCTGGAAAAAGCAAAACATTTATAATAGAACAAGATTAAAACGTACACAAAAATTATTGTCCCCAAGCATCTTTTCTTCCTTTTTCTACGTTGTAGGGTATGTTAAAAAAATCCAAAACGATTACATCTGTTTGTGAAACCTTACGTAATTTAAAATGTATTTTTGAACAAAGGCAAGAAGCGTAACAAAACGAACATCTCCTTCCATTAAAAAGCACCTACGTATTTTTAAACAATTTTGAAACAGATAAAGCGTACACAAATTTAATGCCAAAAGATTAATGACCGCAAACAGGAAGTGCTAATTGAATCATTTAATTACGATAATGAAAGTGAAAAATCATCTGAGAATTTGTTTCTCAGTTACCTTCAAGTTGTTGCTTACATTAAAATTGAAGAAATAAGCTGATTCGACTGAGGGGTTATCGAGATGTCATCAGATTAATAAAGTTTTAAAAGTCAACTTACAAGAATGTAACGAATAAAATTCAAAGCACTTTCCCTCAGATAATGCGCGAAAACAATTTTTTGTAATAATCTTCAACTTGTGAGTTTAACAATCGACTATCAAATATCAACCTTAGATGTTTGTGTTCAAGGTTGATATTCAAATGATAATTTAGATAATTTTCTCAAGTCGAAAAAATATGTACAATGTTTAAAAAATATTCTAAATAATCATGCAAACGCCCGTTTATAAAACAAATCCACATGATGAATACGAACTGATACAAAAGATAGGATCGGGAACGTATGGAGATGTGTACAAAGTGAGTAAATATTCATTTTTCACAATGTCCAAGAATTTTTGAGCCAAAGCCCAAATTTTCATAATTAATTCTCAGGGCAAGAACATACAAACAGGCGAGCTGGCAGCTATTAAAGTCATCAAAATTGAATCAGGCGATGATTTCCAACAAATCGAACAAGAAATTACCATGCTTAGAAGCTGCCAGCACAAAAACATAATCAGGTAAATTAATTTTCATTTTGATGTCTGATCCAGTCAATGAATAATTTTTATTGCTATGTTTCAGTTATTATGGTTCATATCTAAGAAGAGATAAGCTATGGATTTGCATGGAATTATGTGCAATCAGCTTGCAAGATATTTATCAAGTTACTGGACCTCTTGCGGAACAGCAGATTGCTTATGTCTGTCGAGAGACGTTACTTGGTCTTCAATATCTTCACGGGAGGGGAAAGATGCATCGAGATATAAAAGGTGCAAATATACTTTTGACTGAAAATGGAGATGTAAAGCTCGCTGATTTTGGAGTCTCTGCTCAAATAACTGCGACGATAAATAAACGAAAAAGCTTTATTGGAACACCTTATTGGATGGCACCGGAAGTCGCTGCAGTTGAAAGGAAAGGTGGCTATAATCAGTTGTGTGATATTTGGGCTACAGGAATAACAGCAATAGGTGAAAACATGAATTTAACAATTCTCACAAGGTTAAATAAATTAAAAACTTTTCTTTTTATTTTTGTAGAGCTCGCTGAGCTTCAACCTCCAATGTTTGATCTTCATCCAATGCGTGCACTCTTTCTTATGAGCAAATCAGGCTTTAAGCCTCCAACACTCAAAGAGAAAGAACGATGGTCACAAATATTTCATTCCTTTGTTAAAATCTCATTAACAAAAAACCCCAAGAAGCGACCAAATGCTGAACGTTTGTTACAACATCCCTTTGTAAATGGAGGTGGTGCTGGTACTGGCGAAATGTCAGTTCGTTTGATGCGAGAACTTTTACATAAATATCAAAATCCTCATCAGTTTAATGATGGCAGTGAAATGGATGAAGATGGAGCAATTGGTCTTTCCGTTCCACAACGCATTCCAAGCAAGATGGGAACAGTTCAACGTCGTTTACTTCATGGCGAAAGCTCAAAAATGGTTTCAAGCAATAATAATAATAATAACAACAACAATAATAGTAGTAATAGTGATCAATTGTCACCACCCGACACGTTACCAAGTGAAATGAGTTTGTCGAGCTACATGGATGAGCAATGGTCACGTATGACGTTAAATGCATCTGGAAAGAATCACAATCATCATCATAATCATCAACAACATCAACGTGGATGTAGTCGAGTTGAAGATTCTCATCCTGAACCGAGTACATCAGCAATGGCAGCATGTGATGAGACATCACCAAAGCGTCATAACTCGATGGATCGTCTTGTTGGTATGTTTAGGGACCTGAGTTCAGCTGCGAATCGGCAGAGAAGTTTAAGTGATGGTGAACAACAGCAACCGGATATTTTGAATAATACTCCACCAGTGCCCCCTAAAAGAAACAAACATCGTCATCGATCTCCGCCACCTTTACATCATCCGGTTTCGAATGGTTTACCGCCAACACCGAAGGTTCTCATGGGAGCATGTTTCTCAAAAGTTTTCAATGGCTGTCCCCTTCATATCAATTGTACAGCTTCTTGGATTAATCCAGAAACTCGTGATCAACACATCATCATAGGCGCTGACGAAGGCATCTTCAATCTCAATATGAATGAAATTCATGATGCTGTCATTGATCAACTTTACCCTCGAAGGACAATTTGGCTTTACGTAATTAAGGATGTTTTGATGAGTTTATCAGGTAAATTGTTCAAACTTTCTTCATGATATAAATGAAATGATGAAAACTTTGTTTTCAGGAAAATCTTGTCAATTATATCGTCATGATTTAGTTGCACTTCATTCCAAGCAAACAACAAGTCGCTTTACACTTCACATGCATATGCAAAGGATACCTGAGAAGTTAGTACCACGAAAGTTTGCTCTCACCACGAAAGTTCCCGACACGAAAGGTTGCTCGCAATGTTGTGTTATAAGAAATCCTTACAATGGTTATAAATATTTGTGTGGACGGACACCATCTGGAATCTTTCTTATGCAGTGGTACGATCCACTGAATAAATTTATGTTACTCAAACAATGCGAATGGCCGGCATCGACAGTCAGCATCGTGGCCAATGATAATTCAGTCTTCGAGATGATCATCACACCTGAATTGGAATATCCGATTGTTTGTGTGGGCGTGTCGAAAGTAGCTTTCGGTGGAAACGGATTAAAACTTGAACTGATCAATACGAATAGTGGTAATTTGAATAAATCTGTTAAAGTCGTAAATTTGAATTAATTTTTCTTCTTCTTTAGCTGCCAGTTGGTTCAACTCGTCACACGATGATGACGATTTGGATCGAACAGCGACAATGATACCGAAAAGAATGCCTTTAAATGTTGTTAAAGTTCATCAGGTAATTAAACACAATTATAATGAAATTCAATTTTATTTAATGTTTTATGTTTCAAGATGGAGAAAGATGTGATTGCAATTGTACACGATAATGTAATTGAAATGGTTGATCTGAGGGGACATCCAAAAACGACAAAGAAAATTGGTCTGTCAAAGTTTGAATTTGATTTTAAAGTCGAAGGAATGGGTAAGTTGCTTACAGTGATTCACTTCTGTTTGCCTTTTTTAATTCATTTTAATTTTTAGTTGTTGTGCAAAACGACAGCATTCTCGCATTTCATTTACATGGAATGCAAGGAAGATCTTTAAGAAATGGTGCCATCACACAGGAAATAACTGACATCAGTAAAACTTATAAACTTTTAGGAAGCGAGAAGTAAGTCCTTTAAGTGTATGATTTTAGTGGAAAATATTTAAAAAAAATTTAAACATTTTCAGAGTCGTTTGCTTAGAAAGTAGTCAAGTTCGTAGTGGTAATGATGGAAGTTCAGCAGCTGAAGAATATCATGATTTGTACACATTAGCTGGACATGAAGCGAGTTATTGAAAAGAGAGATAAATAATATATTTACAATTACAAACTCAACATAAGAAGATTATTCAGTCAGATTATTAAATGCAACAGATACGAACAAAATAAAGAGATGAGAATGTACACCATTAAGTTAAATAACTTCCAAGGATAAGATACACGTACTGCAAGAAAATATAATTCAATAGATCAGATTATCTAAAATAGAAGAAGACCAAATAATTGTTATTTTCTCCATTGTCTTCGTAAGCATCCCGTGGACTTCCCAGTCGATAAAAAAAACCAAATTATTGTAAAAGAAAAATATTGTTCGTGTTTTTGGTCTTGAAAGTTATGTTTACGAAATATTTTAGGCTAAAGAACTTTTGAATTTTAATCACCCGAAGTCATTTCATGTAATAAAACAAATGATTAAGTATTTTAACAATTGTTTTCAAAATTGAAAAATATTTTTGCGCCAGTTTTTTGTTTTTGAACTTTTGAACAGCTTCACTGTTTGAGTTTGTTCATAATTTTTGAGAAATTTCGTTTGAAATGTGTTGAGTTGTGCAATATTTTTAAGGCACGACAGTAAGTGTTTGAGACTCATAAGAAAAATATTTTCTCCACTAATATTTAGTATATTCGCAGTTTTGAACAGTGAATGATTAGTTTAATTAGTGCACAACTAGAGTTTAGAGATAAAAGAAGCATTTGATGTCAAATGCGAGTGTGAAATGTTAAATTTATTGGAATTTGATTAAGAAATTATGAATCGCTGAAAAATGCATAACAATTAAAAAAAAATTGTGTCTTCTTGAAGAAAATGAAAAATCCATAATGTAATATGGATAAAAATTAATTGTTAATTATTTGGGATTAATCATTTTGAAGATTCGAGGTAAGTTTGTAGATGCAAAATTTAGTTGAATGGAAGGAAAAAAAATTGTTTACCCAATGAATTATTTGACAACAAAAAATTTCTTCATTCATTTCTTAAACTGATTACTTACGATTAATTCCACACGAACTGATAAGAAAACACTTTGTTTGTGTGATGCAAGACGATTTTTTCAATATTTAATTGAGTTTTAAAGATTCTTTGGGCTCGGCCCTTCATGCTTCTTTGTAGCTTCTTCTCGGAGTTTCGCAACCTATTTCTTCTTTCATCTTCTTATGTCGTAGAGATTTATTCTCCTCAACTTCGACACCCACGACAATCAATTTTCAGCCTTTAAAATTATAAAAAATGAATCGTCTCACGGTTAACAAAACAATTCTTTGAGTTACGTAACAAAGGGATCATTAACTCAGCTATTATTATGTTAGCGCCGCCACACAATGTGCCGAAGTGATTTCCGAGTTGTTAGATTCCTTCTTCTTATGAGCGTTTCATGCACGATGTAATTTTGCTACGTATATAATAGCACGTAAAAGCAGCTCATTCATCTTCAGTATTTTCTAATGAGAATAAATGTTTGAAGTCAGCCTAAAAGTGATAGTGAAATTTCTCTCAACGCAACACACGAAAATATGTTAAAGGGAAGAAAAAGTTTTATTTTATCAAATGAAACTCGTTTGTCTTGCGGGATGAGAAAAGAAAAATGTTTTTAATGTGATCCTTTTATTATCTCGAAGTCAAGGTCACATCTAACATAAATCGATGAATGCCTTCACGAGATTTTCGTTCTTTTTTCCCTTTCCTGCCACTAATTGTAGAACAGCATGGGAATTTAACTTTTTATTTATTGCTAAATTGCTTTGAGCTTCGTTAACATATTTTTCTACCGTTATCGTCGGAAAATGTAATGGAAGAAAAGAGTTTTTTCACTTCATTGATTTGAATAGCATTTTTAGAATGAAGATGATGTGGGAGTAAGAAGAATTTTCACGATTATTGTTTATACATTGGCTTGTGAACATCCTTCATAAAAGTGTTATTGTTAGTGTTTCATAACAAAGACCCACATGGAGGAGTTTATAGTTTCAGACTCTCTTCTGCTCGCTTTTCATTATCTAATGATTTGGATAAAAAAGTTTAAAACAAATGTTTTTCCATGAAGCATGAAAAAGAAGAAGTTAATCGAAATGGTTTCGAATTCCAATCAATATCTCCCACTTTAAAACTTCTATTTGTTACTTTCATGGAAAAGTTAAAGGAAAATTCGTCTGAAAATTGTCCCATGGCGGAAATTCTAAATTGATTTTGAAAAAGCATTCGACTTTCGTCACATTGGGACGAGACGTGACATGCTCTACCAAAACACCAAACAAAGAAAGAAAACAAGACAAAAAATTCTCCTTCGCTTCACAAAAGCTAAAACTTAATTCTATTTTCGGGTGTTAGAAGTTTACGAGTTTCTTTTATTATTTTTCTTGTTGATGAAGCAACATGCATAATTTCTCTTAAAGTCCGGAGAATTAAAGTCTTTACAATGTTTGCCTGCGACATAAACAGAAATTGAAAGATTTCATTCGATATCATTTCATCATCAACATTCTGTCGCCCTTTCACCCATAATTAAATCATTGTTACTTCTAGTTCAATTGACGTCAAAGCTGAACAAAATTTATTCAGTGGTTGGGGTCGCGATGCGATCTCATGCGAAACAAGCGAAATATTTGCAGATTTGAAGTTTTTTTTTTCTTCGAGCTTCCAACTCATTTAATAAATAAAGTTCTCTTTTTTTTCTTATTTTGTGTTTGTTTATATCTAACGTTATTCGATTTGTGGGTTTGATTGAACTTGATTTGCTTATTATTTTTAAAAAAAGGAATTATTTTCCCACAGACACGCTTTCAACGTATGACTTGAGGTTTCTTTTGGACTGTAAATAGAAACGATTTTAAAATAAATGAAGCTATTTAAGTAATTGTCAATTTTACCAATAATGTATTGGTTAGTTATACTTTTATGTAATCATGCGATCAGTTTTTGAGAAATCAAAAAAGTTATAGCAGCGACTTTATGTTGTTAATCGATTCTTTTCAGTTACCTTGTAGTCTCTGCTTCTACGATTCGTAGTTGCTAATAACATTATCAAATATCTATTGACAATTCAGTAAGAAGAGACAATCGCACATTGAAGAAATATAAATGCAAATGACATGTAAAAGTATTAAAAAAAGTTGTTGGTTGGTGAAGGTCACTTTACTAATTACTTTTGAGATTGTGCCAATATTTTTTCCTGCTCGCATTTACTTACTCATAGAGCTCTTATCTTGTTAAATGCTTCGTTTCGCTATTGAATAATTTCCTTCAACACAAACAATGAACGTCATTAAAATGACAAAAAAGATTTCCCGCGATAATTTTTTTTATTTAAGGCAAAATGCAAAAAAAAAAGTTAAAGTGACATTAATGTTTCAATTAAATTTGTTTTTCGGAGAATGATATCATTCTTCCCGTAATGACTTTCAAAATATCTAATAGGCATTATTTGGGTTATGGAAATGTTCCAAGAATTTCCAAACATTCTCATATTTATGTCACAAATAAATTTATTATCATTTGCATCAAAATTTGTAGGTAACATTGAATGAACTTAAGTAAAATATTGCAATAAAAAATAGTTAAAATTATCGATGACCAAATAAGCTGTAAGAATATCAAATAAAATCTTTTTGTCTCGTTTATTGATTTATTTAAAAGAGTTGAGTCAAGTGTCACACTTTGATTTGAGCTTTTGTCTCTTCGACCATGCATGGTGGTTGAACTTAATTTCATTTCATCGTCAATTGACTCTTTTATCATTTACATAATTTGCGCCACTATATTTCATGTGTGAGACGCGAACATCGACGATGACATTACTGACAGACGTTGATATGAATTTAAATTATTTATTTTGTTGTCGAGTTCAATGCATAAAAGTTTTGTTTTGTGTTTTTGTTTTTAATGCTAAATTAAAACAAACAAATTAAGGTTACGCGTCTGTTTACTTGTAACTTTTCCCTTCATTTGTCATAGATTTGTGTTTAAATGTATTTATTTTGAGATTCGTATGATATCTTTGTAAGGTTGTTCATGTTCAGCAATTGCCAACGATAGCAACCAAAATAATGTTCAAAGTCCAAATAAGAATTTAACACGTAGAAGCTTTCCAGCTTTTTGTGGTTCGCTTAAAAGATTTTTTTTGTTAGTTCTTGCTATTAATTCATAGAAATTAAGCTCGACTCGTTTGTAAAGAAGCCTCAAGACACAAAACAGTTGTAAACAGAATGAGAAATTAAACACACAAATTGTCAGGAAAAAACGAAGGAAAAACTTTAAAGCTACAATTATCGAGATATTTCTGAAAATTAAATTTACACCAATTGATATTTCACATCTGCGTTCAATCTATTTATAATGCTGCATTTCATATTTATCTATTTTTAAGTTTTTTCCTTCCATTTCAATTTACATATCGACATGAAAATTACATTTCGAAAGTTATTGAATATCGTCAATAAATTGTTTCTTCATTCATATGTATTACAGCACTCGATTCCCTTTAAGAAAAGTAAAAGAAGATAATTTTAAATAACTCTAAGTCATCTGAAATATTAATTTAACAAAAATGGATCACGCTGTAAAAGCTTCACGGTCTCATCCCTGGAATAAGTTAAGATTCGAGAATGATGAATTAGAGGAATTATATCAACGCTACACACACAAGATTCAATGGATCTCTGTGTTTGGTTCCGTAACCTTAGTCGTTATGCTCACAGGAATTATGGCGATATTAAGCTTGGCGTATAATCAAACAGCAACAATTCATGTAAGTCTTTGAGTTTCTTCTCGTGATGCTAATCTTGATATGAATAATGACATTTGATTATCTTCTTTTCCTTCACAAACATCTTAGAACGTCTTCAATGGCTGCCTTTGTCTCTTGTTCACCATCATTTTAATATTGTTAAAATTTCGAGTAATTCGTGATCATCATTTGCCATTTTTATGTTATGCGATTTTATTATTTTCGGCTGCTTTCTGCATTATATCAATGCCCAATTTAAGTGGCTTTGAATTGCCTGTTGACACACGCGAAGTGATGGTGGAAGGCGTATGGCAAATTGTTTTTGTAATCTTTTTGGCTTACGCAATGTTACCGTTGAAGATTTGGGAAGCTTTTGTGTTTAGTGTGTCCCTTCCTTTGGTTCATATCGCCTTTACTGGTTATCACATCTACAAAGAAACTTACCCGTATCGAGCCTACAATCAATTGTCTGCAAATATCTTCATTTTTGTCGGCATTAATGTCGCAGGCGTTGTCATAAACATCATGATGGAAAGAGCTCAACGACGCGCGTTCTTAGACACAAGAAATTGCATTGCAGCACGATTAGAAATGGAAGATGAGAATGAGAAATTGGAGCGACTTTTGCTTTCAGTTTTACCACAACATGTTGCGATGGAGATGAAGAATGACATCTTGTCGCCGGTTGAAGGACAATTTCATAAAATCTACATACAGAAATATGAAAATGTTAGCATCTTATTTGCTGACATTGTTGGATTTACAGTCTTAGCAAGTCAGTGCACAGCTCAAGAATTGGTGCGATTACTTAACGAACTCTTCGGACGTTTCGATCAACTTGCACATGACAATCATTGCTTGAGAATAAAGATTCTCGGTGATTGTTATTATTGTGTTAGTGGATTGCCAGAACCACGAGCAGAACATGCTAAAAATACTGTTGAAATGGGCCTTGACATGATTGACGCGATCTCATCAGTCGTTGAAGCCACAGATGTCAACCTTAACATGCGAGTCGGAATTAACTCCGGAAGAGTTCTCTGCGGTGTTTTAGGGCTTCGTAAATGGCAGTACGACGTTTTCGGCGATAACGTCACAATTGCGAATCACATGGAATCGGGAGGTGAACCGGGACGTGTTCACATTACTCGTGCGACACTTGAAGCGCTCGGTGGTGAATATGAAGTTGAGTTGGGTAATGGTGGATCGAGAGATTATTACCTTAAACAACAAGGAATCGACACGTTCTTCATTGTGCCGCCGATTCATCGAAGAAAAGTAAGAGAGAGAAAAGTTTTTAAAATGAAATTCAAACCAAGCAAATTTTCTTTTGACAGCCGCTCATGTTGAACACACTCGGTGTGAGGTCAGCGGTTGGTGAAGCAAATCGACGAAAACTCTCCTTCCGAAATGTCTCAAATGTCGTTGTTCAACTGCTTCACACAATTAAACCGTATTCAGTGCCAGCGCCTTTCTCACATCTGGCAACGACGGGTGGTGGTTTCAATCATGAGAACGCTGGTGGATTTCAAGATAATAAAACAAGACAGGTGAGCTTATTTTAATGACATAATTAAGTCTTCTTTTTATTTCACGATGCAATCGATTGATTAAATATTCTCTGCGAAATTCTTCTTCTTGAATTATTTTATTGCACAATGAAATTTTCTTCTTTTTATTTATTTTTGCGTCAAACGAAAAAAAAAAAGTTTCAAGACGTGCAAAAAAAATTCATTTCACCGACCGACATTTGTTCTGCTTTTAATTTATTTTTTTTTTCTCTTTTTTTGTTTCTTCTTGCTTAACTGCAACCACGAATTTAATTGCATAAAAAATTTTTTGATCTTCTTCTTGCTGTTACAAAAGTATTTTGTAAGTTTTATTTCTTGTTTTATTTTTCTTCTGTTGGTTTTGAATTTGATTGATGATAAATGTGCATGTTGCATTAGGCATTTTAGAGATGAATGCTTTATTAGAATAAGGAATGAGAAAAGTTTGCACTCATGGTATGGGAAACAAGCAGAAAAGAAATAAAAATTAAAAAAAGATTTTTCTTTTGTTTGCTTCTAAACAGAACAAAGTGACGGAAAAGTTCAAAAGACCATTTAAGAAACGTCATTCGAGTGTCTATCATCAGCCTTCAAATCGTGTAAACAAATTTTTGTCTCAAGCAATAGAAGCTCGTTCAGTTGATCGTGAGAAGACTGCGCACGTGAGTCGAATAACATTGAACTTTCGTGAAAAAGAGAAAGAGAAAAGTTATCATCAAGACTTCGACTTTGGATTTACAATGTCGATGGGAACGAGCTTACTGTTGTTGATTCTTAGTGCTGGACTTCAGGTGAACTTTACTTATTTCAATAACAATAAAAAAGTAAATTTAACGCTCATTGTTCGTTTCCTTTTTTTCTTGAAATGTTTATTCAGGTTTCAGCGCTTCCACAAACTTTAATTCTGTTGCTGCTATTCCTAACAGCTTTTATCTGGATATCAGCAATTTTAATGTTGATTATGGCAGCACGACTGAAATGGATTTATTGGGATGTTGCTCAAAGTTTCTCATTAAGATTAGCAATTACAGTATTCACAATCATTCTCGTTTATTCGGTTGGTCAAATGAATGTCGTAAGTTTTTGATTGATTAGCAAGAAGATATTTAGCAAGTTCAACTCAATTTCCTTTTTGACAGTTCACATGCCTCAGTGACAGCCCATGCACAGCAAATTTCACAACACCAGAATCGAAAGACGTCATTGATCATGACAGTCATCGACGCTGTGCCTTTCCACAGTATATTTCACTCTCAGCTGCTTTTGCTTTCATTTGTGTGTCGATATTTTTGAGGTAAGTTTGTCTAAACATTTTGCGTATTTATTCAGCGGCAAATGTTAAAACAATTAACAATTTTCATCTTCTTTTTCTCTTTGTTTAGACTACCGATCATCGTAAAAACTTTATTAATCGTTCTCATGGGTACAGCTTACTCACTTTTCATTGAAATATCACATGCTCACATATTCGATTGCTATGATAACCGGTGGAATGATAGCAAATCATCGTAAGTTGGAAAAATAATATTTTAATTACAAATTGAATAAGTCAGAGATTGGAATTGTTGATTTAAAGGTTCAGTTTAGAATTTTTTTCTAAAATACTTTATAAATCTTAATTTTCATTTGTTTATTCAGTTTTAGATTCTTTATGGAATTCAAAATTAAATTTCTAGCGCAATGTTCAAAAAATCTCTGAAAATTTCATTCTTGATTAAAATTTTAACAACATTGCCAATCCCTGAATTAATTTTCCTTCTCTTTTTTCTGAAATATCATCATCAGTTCATCTGTTCCACTTCATACGATATCTCTCGCTCGAATTGTCATTTTTATGATTGCTGTTCTGACACATGGACGACAAGTTGAATGGACAGCTCGGTTGGATTTCTTATGGCAATTGCAAGCGTCACAGGAAAAAAGAGAAATGTCAGTTTTGCAGCAATCAAATAAAAGAATTTTGCACAATTTATTGCCATCCCATGTTGCCGCACATTTCTTAGGTATGTTTGGAAGATTTTAATTAAATTGAGATTTATATGGTGAATTCTTATTCTTTATTTTCTTTCAAATAATTTGAAATAGATTTCCAGTTCAGAAGTAACAATATGGGAACATTACGACAAGAGCTTTATCATCAAAGTTATCAAAAGGTTGGCGTAGCATTTTGTTCACTTCCGAACTTCCAAGAATTCTATACAGAACTTGATGGATCAAATCAAGGTGTTGAATGTTTGAGACTTCTCAACGAAATTATCGCAGATTTTGACGAATTATTGTGTGATGAGAGATTTCATTCGATAGATAAAATTAAGACGATTGGATCGACTTATATGTTAGCTGTTGGACTGATACCGGAATATAAAATTATTCCAAGTGATCCGCATTCGTCTCGTCGTCTCATGACATCGTTGATAGAATTTGTTCGATCGATGAGAGTGAAATTAAAGAACATTAACGACAATTCTTATAACAATTTTATGTTGCGTGTTGGTGTTAATGTTGGATCGGTTGTTGCTGGTGTAATTGGAGCACGAAAGCCACAATATGATATTTGGGGAAACACTGTGAATGTCGCATCTCGAATGGACTCAACAGGTGTTCCAGGATACACGCAAGTTACGCAAGAAGTTGTTGATGCATTGCAAGGCTCTCATTTTGAATTCAAATGTCGTGGACAAATTAAAGTTAAGGGAAAAGGTGACATGATTACTTACTTCCTTTGTGACACTAAACCTTCTAATGAACTTGATCACGTTCGTCATCCAAATTATCATGAGAATGCTAACTATCAAGGAAGTGCAATTAATAAAGAAATTTACATGAAAAAGAAAAACTTTGGAAATTATCTTGAAGATAAGCCGACTTCAAGTTACAATAATGCAAATTTATACAATGGAATGAACTTAACCGAGAATCTCAACTATGTTAAACGTGAATATGATAATTACAACAAAATTAATATCAATAATCACTACAATATTAACAACTACAACATTCATGGACAGCATCAACAGCAAAATCATCCACAATATAATATTCGTGAGAATTTTAATATCATCGAGAATCCCAATGACAAACAATCACGAAATAATTATTTAGATCGAAATGGTGGCGATGAGACAACAAACTATCCAAATCATTACAATATAATGCATGCAAGAAATGAACATGAACACGAACCACTTTTATTGAACGCTACGGTTGCAAATGTAATGCCCAAAGTTTTATATCGTGCTGAATCATCAAACAAATATGAACCACCGCAATATATTGGTATTCCATTTCAACGAACAATTCAACCGATGACACAAGATGGACGTTATCGACCTTATCAATCACATCAACAAATGAAGAAGCAAACAAATTCAGTTCCACGTTATCATCATCCAAATGTGAGTGGAAGTAGCAATCAGGTTGAAGCTTACATGAAACCGCTACCAAAACTTCCGATAAACACAGACTTTAATGAGAGTCGTGAGATGTCATCGACTGATGATTTAAGTCAAAGTGATCATCGGCAATCGATTAGTGTTGATTCGTCTTCTGATGAAAGCTATTCAAAGACAACAGATGATTGTGAACAAAGTAATCATAAGTTAAATATGACAAGGGATGGAGATGGAAAACATCATAGTGGTTATCAACATCGTCATGATGAACATAAAGCAATTCAAGCATTGAAAGATCTTCAAGACTATGAAATGAGCTCAACAACTGATCACACAGTCTCAACAATTCCCAACAAGGGCGAATCATGTAACAGCTTTGAATTTCATGATAAACGTGAGTTGATTTAGTTTTCAAAATAATTAAATTTTCTTTATTCATATCATGTTCATAGAATTCAAGATTTTTTCTTTTTTAGTTTCTGTTTGTTTGTATAATTGAATCGAACACGTTTCATGTTTTCCATCACGTTTCTAGGTTAAACTTTAAAGTAAGTTCGGAACGTTATGGAATATGAAACGTGAATGTTTTTGTGATTTTTAGACGTGACTGGACAGTTTTTAATTGTAAAATTAATCAAAACTTTTTCTTTCAGCTTTTCCTAAATCACCTTTCGAAAGAGAACTTCAACGTCTTCTCAATGAATCTGCTAAGAATAAGATGATGCCAGCAAACAAAACCAACAATTTAGATTCGACAAAGAAAAATAATCCAACAAATGGCAACAATAACAATAATAACAACAACAATAGCAATAGTGGACTTTATCTTAAATCTAAAGTAACAAATGCTGTTGGATCGTTGCCAAGCTCATCATCAGGAAATGGAAATAATAACAACATTAAGGTAAAGGATAGCGATGAGTCGTGCGTTGACACGAATAGCCTTAAACATCCAGTGGGTCTTGAAGCAATTAAAGAGATGACAAGAAATAAAAATGCCGATAATCAAACGTAAGTTGAATGGCAATTGAAATTTGTTGAGTTAAGACACTTGAAACTTCTTTTTTCTTTATTGAATATTTCTTTTCCTTTTATTTCAGTCAAAGTCTCGAAAAACAGCGAATTGAGACGCAGCAAAATGAGAATAATTTAGATGAACCGACAAGCATATCGAGTTATAGTCGGAATAGTAGTCGAAAAGAGAATTATTGTGAAGATGGTGACGATCTCAAGTTAAGTGCAAGCACAAGTCAGAATCTCCTTGAAACAAACATGGAGAGTCAATCAGAGTGGAGTGAAGATGAATGTCGAGATGAAGCTGGCGGATGCGAAAGTGCTGGTTACATCACTGATGACCCAGGATTAGAAAATCTTTCATTGCTCAACGAAGCTGGTCTTACAGATGCTGAAGGTGCTTTAAGTGATGTAAACTCGCTTTACAACGCACCAGACGACACTTCAATATCAAGTTCAAGGGCGAGTAGTCGATTCGAGCTAAGTCTTGATTCTCTAAGCGGCTTATACGAATGTGAAGTAGATACAAAGAATGAAATGGCAATTGTTAATGCTTCGAATATCATTACAAGCAAATTTGGCCCGCAGAATTAATTCAAATGAACTTTAACTGACGGTAATCTATCATTAAATAAGAAATTGTACATAACAAAAAGGAAATTGTGAGTCACATGGAAGTGAACTGAAAGCAAAAAGAATAAAAGTTTTTTTGCTATTCATCATGGTATTAAAAAAGAAGAAACAAAATGTGAAGCAACAGAATATTTTTAGTAAATATAGAAAGATTTTCAAAGAAATTCTTAAGGAGATCAAATGATGCTATTCCTTCTCTTTATCTGTCTTACAAAATGTAATTATTATTGTGGTTTATTAGATTTCCAAGCAAATGTTCTGCATTTAATGTGAATGCTCTCTTGTGAAAGCTTCATATGAAATGAGGGAGAAGTTCATAAGTTGAGTCATTAAAAGCTTCATCACTTTTATTCTAGTACAACACTTGTGCTAGTACAGAAATATTTATCCATAATTGTACTAGAAATTGTACAATTTGGATAATTTAAAGAGAGAAAGCAAACATTGACTGAACTTATGATTGTCCCCCTTTTTTTGCGCATAAAAAATATATTTTCTATGAAATGATAACTTTAATAGAGCTTAATGAAACTTCCTTATTTTATTTATCTGATGGAGCCATAATTTTTGTTTTCTCGGTTCACGATAATGATAATTTACTTAAAAAGCGTTTAAATGATTACAATCATGACGATGAACAAAGAAAAGTTGAGAATCAAATTATTTGATGACCAAAAAGTGAGTGCAATATTTAAGAAACGAGGGAAAAGTTTTAATTCACTTCTTTGTTTTTGGCTTAATGCGCATAATTAAAAATTTAAATTCTTATTAGGAGCTTTGCGAAAAAAGAAAGGAAAAAAAAACAGCAAAATAATTATTTAGGCTAATGTTATGTAGTTGAAGACTTTTCTTTACACTGCGGCTTGTATTCGAATCTAATGTAACTTTTCGTTGCTTCCATGAAACTATTTAAGAAAGAAGAAAACATTTCGTTTCATCAAAATTTCATTCTTATGATACTCAAAGATGTATCGCTGCTCATTTATCATCGTGAAAATAAACAAAAAGAAGAAAAAAAAATTAATCATTTTAAAAATGAACATGAAATAAGAAAATTTTTAATGCTATTAAAGATATCAATTTGATATGACACATCGTCGATTGTATGTACCTCACTTACATAGTTTACATTGAAAACTTTTTTTGCATCATACATAAATATGATAAAAGTCGTCATAACTCATTAATTGATGAAATAAAGGATTTTTTTTTTCAATGAAACAAAAATGTAGCTTTTATGTTCTTGATACAACCATTTGATCAATTTTTGTTTATTTCTTTTCATATTTTAGATATCTTATCGTACATTGAATGATGATCAATAATTAATCAGCTTAAAGTTAATTTTTTTAGACTTCAGAGTATTTTTTGTTGGTTTGTTTCGTTATCAACTTAATAATTAATTAATACTTATAAACTGTTGTGGAAGGTAATAATTGTTATGCAACAGCATTAAAATAATCATCGGAAGATTATTTACGTAGCAAATATTTATAGAAAGAAAAGAAGTCTTCTTAACTTAATTATATTAATTCTATTCTAAATTATTCAACGTAAATTCTTCTTTTGCACTAATTGTTGATAATAATCGTCGAACACTTCTTCTGTTGTTATTCGACGATGATGATGATGATCCATTAACACCAGACATTGTCATACGATGTTTGTCTTTGCAAAAATTGTTTGATAAAATATGACACGTGTAGAAAGCGAAAATCACGCCCAACAACCCACCGCATAGTACATCATACCAGTGATGTCGATTGTCTGTGATGCGACTTATGCTACAAAGACATGTCCACACCATGAGAAGACATTGTATGAAAGGAAGAAGGAAAATTGATTGTAGCTTTGGTATTCGACATTGAAGATACCAAATTAGAAACAGTGACGTGTACACTGAAATTGAAGCGTGACCTGATAGAAGAAAAATGTCGTCTTGATTAGCAAATTTAGGAAATTTGAATTGTAAATGTTGGAAAGGAAATAATTTACCGCTTGGAAAGCTGCGCGAACTATCGCGAAGTGAATACAAACTAACTTCTTCATTTGTGCATTTAAAATCAGCTACAAATTCACTGAAATGAGATTAAATGAGAGTTTGTTATGATTTTTGTGTGCTTTTCAATTTCTAGCAATTTTTCAACTTTAATGTTCATTAAATCAAATGCTGGCACAGTAGTCAAAATAGTCAAATTCATTCATTTACTTACCCAATTGTACAATTTATTGCAGTATCCGGTCGACATGTGTCAATAAAATGTGGTCGATGTCCACCGACAAGAACTTTTGAAGCGTCCAGCACAAGCAACTTTAAAACTAAATTTATTCCATAATCTTTAAACCAATGCACAGCCTTCCGCCAACTCAACTTTAATTTGTGTTTGAGGCTTCTTTGTGACTCGTCAAGTTCTCCAATAAAAATGAATTCTACGATCCATAACTAATAATAAAGATAAGAAACGAATATGAGATTAAATGTCATCGATTTGCAAGTTTCAAGTTTCTATTAACTTACCACGAGAATCGGTATGAGGCCATAAAGAATGACGATCTTTATCGAAATTGTATCAGTTTGTCGTTTGAAGGAAATCGACTTGTCACCACAAAAGAACCCTCGTTTGACATTGTCCACAAAAAACTCGATGAAAATGAGAGCAGCAGCAGCTGTGAAACATCACAAATCGTATCGGTTACAAATGAAACTCATATTGTAGTTAATGAAACTTACCAAAAAGAAGAATAAACAAGTCAACAGTTGCCGACAACGCGCGTGTTAATTGGAACCGCGGTGGCTTCCCATTAGGATTCATAACTCCTTTTAAGCACTCAATTTTGAAGGATTTTCTTTTATCGCAGACCCAACACGAAAAAAGATAATTAAACGTTTAATTAAAGTTCCAATCTGTAAATAAAAACCATAAACAGTCATCAATGATATTGTAATTTGTCACATGACTTCAAGTTCAATTGACAAAGTGTGAGAGTCAAGATTCGAACAAATTTGATTTCCTTAATTGATTTATTTAAATTATTTAATAAATATCAATTTTGTAAACTTTTTTCTTCTTATTCTCTTTAAAGTTATGCACACGCTGAAGGCTACGATGGAAAAATTCATGTTGCAGGTGACTTTCGCTAATGGCATGTGGTAATAAATAAATAAATATAAAAACGAATCAATAAAAGTATTTCAATTCAGCAAAAAATCTCGGACACTAACGAGGTTTTTTTTACTTTTTCAATTTTTTTTAATGATTGCGACTCGAAAAGGAATCTTGGTTTCGATTTTGTGAATTAAATTGTTGCTCGATTTTGTGCGTTCTCAATAGTCGATTGCAATTAATTGTATTGAGTATCAATTGAATGAATTCCACGCCTCTTCTTGTGTGAAGTTTTAAATCTTTCTTTCTCGTGACATCAAACAATTCTTGATTGTCGATTGTTGGAAGAGAAAAAAATGAGAAATGTTACGATGGATGTAAGAAGCCTACACTTGATCGCTTGAATGGGACAAACCACACTTCAATCCCTGCAACAACTTTAACTTGAATGATTTCCTAATTAACATCGACTGGAACAGGCGTTTACACAATAATAACAAAACAGAGAGTGAATGAAAGTCAAGTGGAAATAAACATGCAATTGTAATTTTTTATTACTTAAATTAATGTTCAGTGCATCAAGAATCTTGAATTCAACCACATTAACTTAAAAAAAAGTCCCATAAATGCAACAAAGAAATCAAAGCAGTAAATTTCATGAACAATTCGACTGATCTCCTTCAATTTACGCTTTTTTTTCGTGCTTTTACTAAATGAAATAAATCAGCAAGTTTTTTCACACAAATATTAATTGAAATGAACTTCACAGCAATGCAATCTGTAAGTGAACATTTATTTAGATAATTTATTTGAAATTGCAAATACAAAAAGTGCATCCATTCATCTATTATCGTGTATGTACGATAATTAAGAAAATCAACACAAGAAACGTGATTTTTCAATTTCCTCTTAAATATTAATTCACTTCAACAAGAATCATTACGAAGCATGCACTCAATGGATGGATTCGTTTCGTTTTCATTTCAACTTGTTTGTTTTTATATTTCTTTATCTTTTACGCGATGCAAGACACTTTTAAAAGCATCTGCGGAAAAATATAAAAGAAAAGGAAAACATAATGAATATTTTGATCGAACATAAATCCAATAACTCAACATGGACATGACTTGGACGGTTTTTTTGTTGTTTGATTTATTTCTTTTCATCTTTCGCTTCATAAATCAGTTCGCGGAACTTTATGAAGGTTCGATTTGTTTAGATTTTGTAAAGATTTGTGGGAAATGTCAAATGTTGGTCAACTTTTGGTCTCGTTTCTCGCGAAATATGAATTATGAAAAATGTTAAAACGTTTAAAGGTTTTTAAGGTGGAATTTGGTAATTGGAGAAGCTTTTGAAGATCCGTGATTGTAAATCAATTTAAATGTTTATTTCATGTTCGACTACCGTCCAAATCGTCGTCTAACTTTCGCAATTCTTCTCGAAACGACCTCAAATGGGGATTAGGTTTGGACACGACTTCACAATTTATTATTTGAAACTTTGCAATTCTTCTACAAAATGTTACTTTAAATTTATGTTATTGATCATCGAATGAAAAGAGAATCAACAGACAACAAATTGGTTTTAATCTCTTATTGTTTAAGTACCCAATAAAATGTGTTGATCTGTAAATTATTGATGAGTTTTTATGATGAAGAACAAGGAAGTTTGGAATTGTCAAAGACTGTCGTCTGTGTTTGAGTGAAGTTTGTCGTTTGCTAATGGTTTGGGATTAAAAATGATTTTAAGCTTGTTTTTTAATGTTTTATTAATCTTTGATATGAAAAATACTTGGACAAATGCTTCAACATCATAAATAAAAGAGAAAATTGTAAATTGCTTTGTTGTTTTAAAAGTTTCATTTTGAGATTTGTTGAAAATTCTTTTAAATACTCGATTTGGGGTGTGACTTTATTATTAAAGTTTTTAAGTGTTTTTCCACCTTATTTGTAGTTATGAATTATCCTTTTGGTATGTTTGCTATCATTAATGAGAGTTTACTTGCTGTTTACGACCATTTGTCATACAGAAATTGTAACTGAATCCAACTGACTTCTCCATCCTGATCCTAACATCGATAAGCAAGTCTTAGCAAGAGATTAATTTCAGCTTCAACTTTCTTATTATATTGAACAGCTTTAACATAACAAAAGCTTAAGATGAGCTTCTTTTTACTCGTTTCAAACAACGGTATTTAATATTTTTATGAAGTTGGTTGATGACAAAAGGTTTAGAAAAATGTGATTTTAATTATGGTCATGAATAATTGAATAGAAATTACTTTTCAATTAGTGTAAAATATTATTATAAACAAACTATTAAGGCTACTTCTTCATTTTATATCATTTAAAACATGGGCGATGACCGATTTATTGATATTTTATATCGCTATAGAAATAGTAACGTGGTTGGCTTTATAAATCAGTTCACAGAGACGTCTAATGAATTTTCAAACAAAAGCTTGTTACAGTAAAACAAACATCAAGCATGATGTGGATTTTAAATAAAATTTTTGAATTTCCAACATCTTCAAATCATATCCAATGGGTTAATAAAAAACATCCGATGGATCAAAGAGTAAACTATTAAGTAATAAAATGAAATGCATTTAAGTTTTCTCTTCAATCAAAAAACGAAAACAAAGAAAGAATTTTTCGTGTTATCAGCGAAATAAAATTTTAATTGGAAAACGATTCAACTGTTGAGGAAATTTGTTTCCATTTGGTTTTCTTCATCGATTGTGTTCGGATGAAATGAGAATTGAAATGAATGATTCAGTAGACATTCAGTCACGAGAGTGAATCAATGATCTAATTAACGTAGAACATCTGATTTTTTTGTTTCTCTCAATGAAAATGATTTTAATAGAAATTTCATGACGATCGGCTTCATTCGTGATTTCTACAATAAAACGTTCTTCCTAATCAATAAATAATTGTTATTGCTGGAACTCAAATGCAATTAAACGACCCGTAATCAGCACAAAAGCAGAGTTCAAAGTGCCTTAAAATGACTACATGAGATAAAGCAATTACGAGAATGATTTGCGAGTGGAATCATAATTTCTGATTGACATTTCACAAGAAATTAAAAAAAAAATGAAAGAAAATCTCATCACATTTGAATGCGTGGGAGTGAGGAAGAATTTTCCGAATAAAAACGCATCTGGCACTCTCTCGATGTTTTAATTTCATTTCACATTTCTTCTTCATTTCTCTTCTAATTAATTAATTAAAAAACTGTATGCTTGAATAAGATGAAGGGTCGCGCTTTTGGTGTCGTCAAGTTAAAAATATATTTTTTTTATCGTTGTCTTGTCTCTGCTTTAGCACTTGAAGTGTATTAATTTTAATCACTTAGTCAATTAGATTTCGTCTCGTCAGTTTTGTCTTCTGAAGATTCAACTTCTTTTTGTGTAATATCCGAGTTGATTGAGCGGAATGTAACGATTGACACTTTACAAGATTCCTTCACTTGCTTCTTCATTTATTTACTATCAATTTCATTCGTAGATATGAAATATGCGAGGTCGTCAATGTGTTTTAATAAATTAAATTTATCAGAAAGCATGAGAAGCTTCATCGCATTTTCAGCTTGAAATTGTTGTTTTGCGACATTTATCACGTCTTTACCTACTTTTCATTCGGATTCATCCAAGCTTCTTCTTTATTTTTTCGCTCGCTCGATTGTTTTTTCTCACCTGAGGATGAAGAAACGAGATTTCATCTTTCGCAAAATGCTTCATTAAAGCAAAAGTTATGCTTGAGATTCTCTAAGCTTATGCTTTGACATGTAGATTCAGCTTCCATCCCTGATTCAAAGAACAATGCAATCGTGATGTTTTCGTACTTTTTCCCCCGTTTCATTTACGATATTTGAGAGTAAACGAGAATTTCTTTTGTTTTGTTATCCAAGAAAGAAATAACAAAAATCAGCGAAAGTTTAAAAAGGAATTTTTATTAGGGGTTGTAGCTACTGATTTCGTCAAAAACTACATATTTGATTTTCAACCACAGAAAAATATACGAACGAAACATTTAAAT